GAGTTTTGCCTTTTCATTTTTTTTTTACCAAAATCATTAATAGGACTAGTTCCGTGGTTTTTTTTTTCTTTTTAGCTTATCATCTTATAAGAACGCTTCTTTAAGTCCATTTATTTTCTATTCATTTAATACAAATATATATATGAAATCTTATTTAAAGATCATGAATATTTTTTACATGAACTTTTGTTAAAAAAAAAAATCAAAATGTTTCTTTTCTTGTTTTATCTATTAAATCTCATTATTTAGAAAGAAAAAACAATTTTAATTATGTTTTATCAGTCATTCTTTTCAATTAATCCTAATTAGTTAAACTCTTCTAAGTTAGCACCAATTATTTCTGATTTTAATATAAAATGACTATCTAATTTGTTGATGAAATCTTTTACTCAAAATTAAATCAAACATATTAATTGAAAATAATTATCTTCTTAATTTTAAGTATTGATCATAATAATGTTATAAAAATGAATATAATCAACAATCTCAACTCTCATACTTTAATCCAATAATTTTATACCATTGGGTTGAAAAATATGAAGTGATATTAAATTTTTTAAGGATATGATGGAATATTAATTGTATTAAGTACATATTAAAATATTAGATTAATCTCATTATCTTTCTGAAATTATGGATGCTTAAAAACTGAAAAGTGTGAAAAAAGTTGGTATAAGGGAAATTAGTAATGATCTTTCATAATATTGGCAATTGTATAAAAATTTGAGATGAGAATTTTCATAAAATAACAAAATATTATAACCATGTTTATGCGATTTATCAATACCTTCTATAAAGAGTCAAAGATCCAGAGCCTAAATAAATATATGCGAATTCAGTAAAATCAGAGAACAAGAAAAATATAAGTTGAATGGGTAAAATTGTTTTGTATTTTCAGTTTGCACTCAATTTCGTCGATCCAATTTTGAATTCTCTTTTATTTGTTTCTATTATAGTCAAAAATGCTTTAAGAATATTGATATTATCTTTATTCTTTTTCTACTTTGATTCGAAAGAAATTCAATCATAGTGATGATAAATTCATCAATTTCTTAATTAGAATCTAATACTTCTTCTATCATATTGAAAACTTTTAATTTTTAGCTACCATAAATTTTTTTACATCATCCAATATGATTATAATGTCTAAAATATCATCACAAAAAGAATAACTAAAGTAATTCCTTTTGTTGAAAGCAAAAAGAATAATATCAATTTGCTGTTTAGATCAACACCAGCCTATGCAACTGGATTAGATTTAGAAATAAATTCATAAATTGAATTTTATAATATTTCAATCTTATTATTAGATCATTAATTGGCAGTGAGTGATATCGGAACACTATCGAAAGTTGATGATCCTTTCAAATATAAATTTAGTTTGATAGACTTTGATTTATTTTCAGATGGCAAACTTGATATTTTAACTGTACTTGATGCCATCATAATTTATAAATAGATTAAGGTGTTGGCTTTACTTTAATAGATAGGATAGAGCTTTATAACAATGTAAGAGAATTTGATGTTGGCATTTTTTTTCCTAAGATGGGTCTCTAGTAGAGATTATAGGAGTTTTATTCTAGAACAAGGCTGAAGTTTATTAAAATAGAATTTTTAAGAATTCTTACTCATTAGACTTTTCCTCTGCATACACTACTTTATTAAAAATATCGTAAGTACTATTGATAATTTTAAAATAAAGGTAAAACTTGCTTGATCAATACTCAAAGATTTGATTCATAAAGAAGTATTTGAAGGCATTTAAGGGATATTAATCAATTAATACATGGAAGAACTTATCTATGTTACATAAATTGATGCCAGAAGATTCGCTTAATCTAGTGTAAAGCTACAATTTTAAATAATCAGGAGATTTGACAGCAGCAAGGTATATCACCACTATTACTGCATTTGATGAACTTGGTTATTAATGTTAAGTTCTATTAAATTATAGAAGCTTAAATTAACATGATTCAGTATTGTACCCAGTCCAAGAATTAGATATATCCAATGTATTGCTAAATTAAAACAATATATCAAGTATTTGCAATTCTTAAAATTGTTTAAAGGTAACAAATCTCATCCTAATTCTTTTATTTGATTATAAATTCAATTTTCATGAAAATTATTCATAGCAAAAAGTCTTGATTGTTTTTAACAAATTGATTAATTTACAATTTTCAATAATTCCATACATTGGTTCATTTAGATCGGTCGTACAAATGATCTCTAATAGAGTGTTCGAATGATTTAAATTTAATTCAATTCCAATAAATAATGCTCTTTCTTCATATAATGAACTTCCGCAAATCTTCCAATAATAACCATCAGTAGAGGTAAACAATTATTGCCAAACTACAAAACCATCTAATTTCAAATAAAGCATATTCATTGTTCCAGGAGTCAATCTTTGCCCACAAAAATTGATCTTTATTTTAGAATGTCTTGGAATATGAAAAAAGACTTATTGATAACAGTTCCAACTCCCATCTTATTATAACCACCAAATAAAGCAACAGCTAATTCATATGTATTTTTGCTTACATCCACAATAAGTTGCTTCAGGGAATCCTTGAATTGTAGTCCAACCATTTGGATACTATTTCATTTGTCTTTAATTAGGTTTAACTAGTCGATAATATCCACCAAAGTTTGCATTAAACAACTGTATCAGTTCCCTAGCATACGGAACACCCATCGGGGCATTTATGGACAGATAAAATGAAACCTCTAAATCCCCAAGATTCCTTACAAAATAATCTAAAATCCATTACATTTCCAGCATCCTCATCTAAAATACTAGTGATCACTATTATTTCTGTAGGCCCACTATGTGCAACATTTAAGATTACAGGATAAACAAGATCAACCTTATCACTACCGCACATGTTAGCTCCTTGATCCCAACCGAATTTTTTACTCCCATACCTTCTGATAATCAACGAAAATGCTAGCTTATTCTTAATCCCAAGCATCAATTCTCTAATATTGATACAACTTACTTCAAAATGCCACTTACAAATATATCTTAAAATGAGGTTGAAGTGCAATAGTCTTGCTAACACTAGCCCTTGCTCCAAGAAATTATATCCTCCTAATATTCTTTAGACCCCTCAATCTGTGATTGATGTCACTGCTCCACTTACAACCCAATCTAAAATTGAATGAATATAATAATTACTATCCGCATCAGAAAAATTACTTCCTTAAAATGAAGTTGACATCATTTCTTGAATTCCAGCAACTTTTATTATATAATTCAAAGAAAGAATTATTGCAAAGATGGGTTCAATCATTAATATAATTAATGTGAAAATCGAAATTTAAGCAAGTTGAAATAGTAATATCAATTAAATATAAAGTATAATTCAACGAAAAATACAAAATAAAAAAGTTAAAACATCTTTGTAATTCCTTTCTTTAAGTATTAAACATTATAATTAATTTTTATTTATTTTAAGTTTTACTAACAGTAACTTTCTACTATTTTTTAAGAGTATTTAAATCGTCCAAACTCTATCAAGAGTTTACTAAATTGTGAAATTTTTTTTTATACGAAATATATAATATAATTGAATTTAGCTTTACCCATGCTATCCCAAATTTTTTTCTATATTTTTTGTATATATTGTAATTTATGAATTTGTATTTTTTTTTTTAATACAATTCAATAATTTAAAGTTTGGATTTGATTCTTCCTACAATGAGAAAGTAAATTTGATTCTTTTTTCCTAAGCCTAGTGTAGGCTTAATAAATTTTAAAAAGGTATAAATTAATTAATTTAACTATGACTAGTTCTGTTTTATTCATATCTAAATTACATTTTAAAAGAACACATTACACCCTATTAATCTGTGATTTCTTCCTTGAATTGATCTTAATAAACTATATCAGTCTAGTATGTCAGGTAAAAAATTTGAAACCAAAAATTGAAACTTATTGAGTATTAATCAATCTATTATAGATATTCAATTTACCATTAAAATATTAATGTAAAATTTTTTAAGCATATAGATTATTTTAAATTTTTTATTAAATAACTCTTTTATCATTTCCTTAAATTGTAAAATAATATCAAAGCTTCTTTTAGATACTCCTAAAATTTCAACTTAATCTATAGAAATATTAAGTGATCTTTGAAACCTAATTCCAATAATAATTGCTTATCATTACAAATTTATCGAAATAAGATCTTTGTTTCAAATTTTTCAGATAATATAAATTTTTCGCAAATGCCCCTGCAATAGGGTTAAAATATAATGAATATTATTTAGATGGCACTATTAATTTCCTATTTTAATCCATTAATAACTATTCTTTTCAAACATAAAACATCAATTCATGTTTGAAAGCTTTAATAATCTTCCTTAAACATGAATTTGATTTTGTTTCACGTTACTCTTTTTATTTTGCGAATAATATTATAATTATTGGTGATAGTATTAATATGATATCATTTTTGGATTCCTAGCTTAAGATATTTACTTATTATTAAATAGATTGCTCAAGAATAACATATGATATTGTTATTTTATTTATTGTGTAATAGAATTCATCTTCTTTGTGTAATGATTTTTATTTTTTCTTATAATTATTATTCAAAGTAAACTTTGAGTTTGCTTGTAATAAATTTTTAAAATTTGTCAAACTTGGTAGAAGTAGATTTAGATATGTTGCTTTCATTTAATTATCAATAAGCTTAAGAAATAATTGATAATCCAAATTACAGCAGCCTTGAATAGATTAACTAAGAAATTTAAATAGCTTAGAATTAAGTTAAGTTATCATTTGATGATGCAACGTACCAATCTTTTGACATCAACTCACTTCTTAATTAATGACTTAGTTATTTATTATCTATTCATTTAAATTTCTAAGGGAATCATTTGATTAAATTCAAAGATTGATAACAATTAAAAAAAAATGATTACTACTAAGGATTGGAGAGCTATTGAAGTTAAAATTATAAAACAGAATGAACATCATTATCAAATTTAGTCACATAATTTTGAATACATTTAACAGATCTCAGTGGAATTGTCGAGTTTTTATAAGAAAATTCAGATGAAAAATGTAAGAAATAATAACCAAATCAACTATTCATATTTATTAATAATTATTTTCACCTTAAACTCTTTGTTGTCTTTCTTCCTCCTATGTACCTATAATTATTCCCCTGCCTCCAAATGCTTATGTTGCTTCTTATTAAGAACCTAATTCAACCTACGGAGAAGATACATATAATTTGGGTTCTTATAAACTTTGAGATGGCTACTTAAAACAATTAATCTTTCTTAATGAACCAAATATGAATGATAGTTTTTCAATAGAATTCTATTTTAAATCTAACACAATATTACATCAGATAATCGTATGAGCATCCCATCAAAGAAAAACCATTCAAATATAGAGATCCATAATGCAAATATATAAATGAAATTTTCTCCATATAAAAAAATCACGAAAGGGATGGTGAGTAATAAATAATAGTTAGGTATCGAAAATAAGTTAAAATCTCTTTTACTATAAGGAGAGGCAACCAATCTTTATAATTTGATAATTTTCTTACTAGCTGCATAAATAATAGAGTGCTAATCCGTTGATACCATAACTTAAAGTATATTGATACTAACTATCGTATTAAGAGAGCCCAATGTTCACCAGAAAGTTTAAAGATTCTAATAAAAAGCTCTTAAAAACGAAATCAAAAATGAAATATGCACTACCCACTATTGATTCATATGGGTTTACAATTAGCTAAAAGCAGAACCAACTAGCAATAATTTAAAAGAAGCTCACTAATGTAATAAATCATAAATACAAGAACATAAAGGAGCTGTAAATAATCTCCAATATTATCCATTCGAAACTAATAGTGTTTAGTTATAAAGCATATTCATTATATCATTGGAAAAATATGAAATAATTCTAAGTGTAGCTATTGAGAAGAGGACCAATCTCTAACCAAATCCTAAATTCTTCCACCATTGTTCCACAGCAGGTGCAAAATTTGGTAATTAAGGCATTCTGAAATTATAATATTTAATGATATTATTATTAATAACCAAAGCCAATATTTGAAATTAGTGTTATATTGTGCTCTCGATTTGAGATTAATCTTTTCGATTAACTTATAAACTTAATTAGTAAATAATTATTCAAAGAATCATAATTACTTTAAATTTAATATGAATTTTTAGGTAAAACTCAAGTTGAGCATCTTAATATTATTTGTACCTGTGGGTTTTGTTGCTCTACTACAAATAATAACTTTGAATGTAATATTTATAACAAATTTCTCTAATTAAGCTGAACATTTATCATTTGCATTCTATAATGAAACAACGCAAACTACCCTGAAATTCCGCCATCAACTAGAAACCATAAATTTAGGTATCAAAGTCAATGCTGCATTTATTCTATAAGATTTAATGATGTCTAATCAGTAATTATCACTCTATCAAAACTTGGAACAAATTAAAGTGTTCCTAAATCCCTTAATTAGTAGGGGCCAAATAGAAAACTTTAAATTTGTTTGTAAGGATTCATTTGAATATTCAATTTAACAAATAGAAAGCAAATTTGAATCGTGGAATTCAACAAATTAAGTTTTTGTTGATTTATTTAAGAATTACTTTCGATTCATTATAAGCTATAATCCTAATAATGATTGCAATATATAAGTTTTCGAATCTATTTCTAACTTAGTTAATAAAGCATATAAATATGCTAAATACGAATTATTACAAAATCAATTCAACTATTTTATGATTAATAAATAATTTTATTAATTCACTTAAAATTTATTTTTACCAATTGAAAGCAATAAAATAGAAGATTAATATGGATAATTTGTGAATTAACTATTAATTTAATAAAAATTTGATGAGAATCATTGTTTGATCTAAGACACTTTAATTTAATATTATCCACAAAAGTATTTCATATATGGATGGTTTTATTCCTTATAGAAATAACATATAAAATGTGAAAAATAATAAATATCTGAAGTTTTATCAATAAAGATTTTTGATGTCGAAAAATTCAAATAATTGGCAGGTTCTTCCTAAAATCAAGAAAATCATAATGTATCATTAATTGTAGCATAAAGCTTAATTAGTTTGACCTTTTTTCTGTATGTTTGGGCAATATCTATAAGGGTTAGCAATTCCTTTTGTATTCCTCTATAAAAATTGGCAAGACAATTACAGAACCCATTAAAATATCATTTTGATTCAATGCCATACAAGTCGCAATTGCAAAACTGTAAAGAGATCAATAAAGTTTAGGAAAGCTTATAAATTTATATATACTATTATTAGCTTTTAAAAAAGCAGCATTTCTATTCTGATTAAGATTAAGGGTCACTCTATTTGATAACTTTGTCTTAGCTTAGTGAAGTTTATAAATATCATAAAAATAATTGGTAAGTAAGTGTTTGTGCAAATAACATTGCATAAGTCCATTTGAAAAACAAGAGATTCATTGAAGCACTTAAGTTTTAAGCCAAATCAGTGATTTTGGGATTCGAAGAATACTCTAGTATTAAGTAGATCGAAAAAATAAGAAAATAATTATTAAATAGTCAGAAAACTATATTATATCAATTGAAGTAGAAATTAAGGCGTTTTGTAATTAATAAATTCGCTGGGAGTACAAATATATTACATTCTGAACACATAAATAGAAATCGATTGTATTCTATTAATCTACAAAATCCATATAAATAGTGTAATATTTAATAAATTTAAATAACTGAAAGATTGCCATTAACTAATTATTTAAAAAGTGAAAATTCATTGGATAAGATGATATCTCTTCAAGAATTAGCTTTGTAACAGGATTTACACGATGATGAAAAAAGATTTTACAAATTAACCATATTATTTAGAAAATACACATTTTGTAGAATGCTATATAAATTTTGTATTAAGGAATAACCCAGTTTACTTAACGAAGCTATACGATCGCTAAGTGAATTATTTGAAGAAATTTCCAATAAGAGGTTCTCTGAAAACAAATCAATAGTAGGAATTAAAATTTAATTGCTTATAATGAAGTTTTGCTGCTTCCAAAAATTAAATTTGATGGAGAAGGCTATATTGGAGTTGTATCAAATCAAAATACTTTACTAATAATATGCAATGACAGATTAGTCAAAATTAGTATTAAATGGATTTGACATTGTGTTATTGACATCAAATGAATTTATTTAAAATGCTATTAGAAAATTGAAAATAGTTGTATTAATGAAAAATTAAGAGTATTAAATTGCTGGTGAAAAATGTATAAAAATTATCAAAAAGAATAGTTAGAACATATATAAATTGAACTCTTTTGCTTACAAGACCTTGTAAAGTATCTTTATAGAATTGGGTCTTAATCAGAATATATTATAAAAACTGTATTTAGACATAAATTCGAAATAATTTAAGATCTTCTTTTTGATTGATTACTCATCAAAGGTTTCCTTTGAATAAATCTAAGTATCGCATTCGATATGTTCTTATATAATGTAAAAATTAATACATTTACGAGAAGTAGGCTTATATTTATTTAATAATACTGTATATGAAATGCTGCCAGCATAGGAATCTAAATAGTATCGAAAATTCCTTTTGAAACAATTTGAAAGATTTTAAATTCTTAAAGGCGGTGAATGTAAAGTCATATAATGTCTTAATGAGCTATTAAATTATAAATTGAATACTTAATCCTTATAGAATGAAACTAAATCAACATAGTAATCAATGACAATACCCAAAAACTTCTAAAAATAGAAATAACAATATAATGAAATTATACAAACTTTTGTTTGTGTATTTTCTGAGTTTTCAACAAAAATAGATGAAGATTTATTATAGAACATTCAGATATAAGCTAAAAGAGAAGAGATCAATCTGGTTCTGTTTAATATTGCAAATTCAAATAGAAATCATGAGTAGGCCAAAAATTTTGCTAAAAAAGTCAATGCCAATTATATTGAAAGTGATCAAGAGACAGTTGAATGGATTTCTTAGTTAAATTAATCTTCGGTTCCAATTTATGAATAAGGGTATCTTGAGTTTTTCTGATGATCATCAATTTCTGCATAACTAAAATTTTGTTAGTTATTATCAAGGTTTAATTATTTCTAAATGAATATAAAATTATAAAAATATGAATTATATTAAGTAGGAAATGATTATAAATCATTCAAAATTGTTTTCTCTGATGCTACAAATTCATTTATTAAAGCATTTCATTTTTAAACTAATCCTTTAGCACTTCAAATTTGGGTATCATTTATTTTTGCGAAGGGAGTGCTTAAAACGTTACGAAATTAGTGAAAACTTGTTGATTTGGTTTGCTTTGTGAAGAATCCGAATCAGAATCACTCAAACTTTCATTCATATAACTAGACAATGGATCTTTCTTAACAGAAAATTATTTAGTGCTGTTTTATTATTAAGTTCCCCCTGAAGTTTCAGTATTTCGTTTTACTAAGTCTTTTTTCTCTGAGCTTTTAGAAAACTTAACTTCGTTTTGAATTTCAATTAATTATTGAGCTTATTATTTACAAATACTTCCCATTTTATTTTTAATAATAAAAATATAAGAGTGGCTTTCATTCTTATTTACATTAGTAAATTCCATTACTTATTGTTGAACTCTGTTGAAACTGCTTTTGTTTGATATTTTATTGTTCACAATAGGCAATTTCAATTGACACAAATAGATGAGTTTGAAAAAATACAGAGCATGAGTATCACTCTCGATTTATCAGTAAAAGTGTTAGAAGCTTCATTTTATTAAAAATTACAGAGCATTGCTCTTCAATCTTATTGACTAGATTAGGATTACTATACAAATTACGATTAAAATTATAATGTCAGCATAAACAGCTACTATATTTGTATCTTAAAAAATGAGTATTATGCAGGTATAATTTAATTATCCACTGAATTCTTTTTGTTATCTATTTTAGTTAAAACGATATTTTAATAAACATTAATATCACAAAATTAAGAATCAAATTAAAAAGAAGGTGAAATTAATATTGCCCTCTTTTTTTATAAAGAATAATCATATTCATGATGAATCTAAGCATTTATTAATTTAATTGATGACAATCTTATAAGTATGATATATTTTGGGTTTTTTTTTGGCAATCTTCTAAAATTAAAATCATTAAATAGTAGAAGTAGCATTTCCTCATTTAATTTCTTTCTCTTTTTGGAAAAAATAGAAAGAGAAAAAGAATCGTAATTCATAAATTCTTAAATTTATTAAATTTTATTCAAATTGTCACACTAAAATTTCACTTCTAAATATTAACTTTATTCTGAATAAAATGAGAAAGTTTAGAGAAGAAGTGGAGGTCATATAATATGATGCATACTTTCAATTAGATTCCCAACTACAGGTAGGTATAATGGTGAGGATTCATTAGAAAATTGTATTACTTTAGAGGATCATAATTTGTTTAGAAGAATATAATTAAATAGGAAATAAGGAGCAAAATTTTCTGTTCTGGGATAGATAGAAATAGCAAACCTAAGAACTATTGTAATAAAATTTAACTTTAATTAATTTCATAAAAAAATACATATAGAAAATATTGTAAAACCTACTCAAATACAATAAATATCTGCATGCAATTAGTGATTTCAGCTTAGAGGTATCTGTGTTGTCTTACGTGATACAGTAGGAAAGGATTGATAATAAACTAAAAGCTCAATATATGGTTGGGCGGTTGCTAATATGGTTTATCAGAATATTCTAGGTTAAACTGGATAGTAAAGTTGCAGTAAAATTATTGAAAATGATTATTTTAATCTATATTTTATACTAATACAAATTTATAATTTTATCATTTGGTAAGGTAGTAATCAGATTTTTCTTTTTTAGGTTCTTAATTCTTAAGATTTTGTAATTCTTAAGCTATTTGAACTGATTAATTAATCCAATCATTGAGCCAAGGGAATCTCTTGTAGTTCAACACTTGCTATGAGGGAATAATTTTTAATAATTACGTTAATTTAATCAGATTATATCAAATCAACTATAAATAGTACATACTTTTTAATTTTCTATTAATTTTCATTCAAAGCCAATTACAGATATTGATCTAATTAAATCGGATGTAATATTAATACTTAGGAAATTGGAGTAATTTTGTTAATAGGAAGTATTTTAGAATAATTGCTTGACGAATGCAATATTCATTTTCCTGATTTCTTTTTTCTCTTTTATTTATTCCTTGCTCTGACTTTATCTTTGGTACTTCATACTTTTACGAATAATAAATTTTATCATTTCTTCCCGGGTCTTCACAGCCTATGCATAAATGATGCTATATTTATACTTGTAAGTATCTAGTGAAAATCTAGAAGAAAATAGATTTAAGTGCTTTTTTTTAAGCATAATAACGAAAGGATTTTTAATAAGCGAAGATCTATTCTTTGGTTAGATAGTTGAGATGTTTCATGAGGAAATCGATCATTTTATAGACTTCCTCCTATAGTTATTCTTTAGTCAAACAGATTATTTAGTGTTATTGATTAAGGTTGAGTAATTTGCGCAGATGGTGATTCTCTTCCGTTAAGAATTAAAGGGTGGATTGGTAGTGCTCTATTTAGTTAGGAATAGAGGAATAGTTTAATGGTATCATGTAATGTTAAATATACAATTAATGTTCTTCCTAATCCATTATTGATGCAAAATACTTATTTAATTATATTATTGTCTTCTTCTTTCATTTTTTGTTGTAAGTTTGAGGATTCTAAAAAAAAAGTGAGAGATTATATTAATTTAAAGATATTATTATAATATTACCTCATCCAATATATAAACTATTATAAATATTTTATTTAATAGTTCAATGCTAAAATGTTAAACTCTGTATAAGACAATGCTAAAATATCTAAAGACATTTTAAAACTAATCATATTAGTCATGGAAATGGCACAACTATACTTAATGGGCAGATCTTTCATTCAGACCATTAATGATTATGTAAGTAATTTTTATCATCATAAAATTATCAATTGTTGCCAATAACTTATTGTTATGGATAATTTTTGGAGTGTAGATTCTGGTTCATTTGATCCTATTTTTGTGTCTTCCGAAAATCATTCACAAAGAGTCATATTTTTTGTAGTTAGTTCCTTTGATATTGCAGGAATCCTTAAGTGTGCTTTGTTACTTTGTTATAAATGAAAGCTACCTCATATTTTACACTGCCATATGCGTCATCTTTTAAAGTATGTATTCGACAATATTATGGAAAGTAATTGCTATAATAATCTTTTTAATTTAAACTATCTTGTTAGCAGATCTATCATCCTAAGAAGGACTATATCTTACTATTACTCTTTTATTCATGCAAATAGCTAGAAAAGAGCTCTAATAAATGCAGCATTTCCTTAATCTATAAGCACTGTTTTTAATAATTGATTCTACACCTTAAGCTATGTGTATAGCACATAAGGATAAAAATTGGCTGCTCTATTCCAATAAATTATTCGACAATTTAGCTAATAAGTTAGAAAGTACAAATCAATCAGAAACTGATCATTCCCCTGAAAAAGGAGCAACATCAACTAACAATTTTACTAAAAACTAATTAACTTTCTTGTAAAATTTGTAATTGGATGAATTAAATAACAATCAAAATGTAGTCCAATTTGATTTCGATGATGATGATTTGTGCTTCGATGATCAGTATAAAATTAAGAATGTTACTTATAGCAAAGATAAAAACTCTATATAATATTCGAAAGCCTTCACTCTTGAGATTCCAACAGTTCGGCCTAAAAACCATGTTCAATTTTAAAAGTTCTTCCAAGCATTTAAAAATCCAGAAGATGAATCGATAATCCAAAAAACATTCACATCTGATGTAACAATGAGAATTGAAGTTAACAATCCGCCTCAATTTCATTTATAATCAGCTGGTAAGAAGAATCAACAAAAAAAACCTAACCTACAAAATAAACCATAAAAACAACATAATTATATGGCTTCTAGTAGAAAAGTATCCGCTGATTACTTATTGAATAGTAAAGAATATCGGAATTCAGCACACAAATAGTCTCTACTAGAACAAGAATTGAATTTCTTTAATAAAACAAAACCAGTCTATGTTCACAAAATGAAATTCTTAATTAATGTATTAGAAAACTGTAGAATATTCGATAATGATGATGAATTGTAAATATATTTCATTCATGAGGTCAATCAAATTTTATTAAGAACCAAACTCAAAAAATTGGAATCAATAAAAAAGAATCTTCTGAGATCTATCTCCCATGAATTGCTCACCAACCTCAACGCGGTTTACGGGTTTATCAAACAATGTTAGGATAAATTACTCAAATAGGAATCTTGCCATATCCAACTGGAATAAGCTTTGAGTTACACAAAATTACAACAATATAAGATATATGATTTCTTTGATTACAGAGACATTTTAGAGGATAGCTTTTAATTGAAATCTGATAAATTTGATATCAACACTGTCATTTTGGAGTGTGTGGATTTATTTAGAAATCAGATTGAAAGAAAGTCCTTGATAATAAATGTAGAATTGCCTAAAACTTCATATATCATCAGCGGAGACAGACAAAGATTATGTTAGGTGCTCTTAAATTTGATTGGTAATTCAATTCGATTCACCTTCAAAGGCGGAATCAATATCATAGTTCAAAAGCAAGAGTATATTGAGTCAATGGAAGGAATAGATTTACACTCTGCTAATTATTAAGATAGTAATTTGCTTGAAGTATAAATCAATGATACAGGGATTGGGATGACAGAGGATGAGTTAAGCATTTTAAGAAAAAAGGTATTCCTTTTAATTTAGAGTAGTTACATCTAACTGATGAAGATGAAAAGGTATCTAAGCATTCAGTTGGTATCGGCTTAGGATTGTCTGTCAGTAAACAAATTATAAAGTTAATGTCTCCAAAAAGTCAAAATTACCTCTCTGTTGAATCAACTAAAGATGAAGGAACATAATTCAATTTCCTGCTGAAATACCATGATGAATCAATTTATGCTTCAAATTTCTTACAAAAATCAAACAATCACACAATTCCAAATGTGGATGCTCAAAGTACCCAATAAGTTCGTGTTATGAACTACAATAAATGGAATAATCTTCAGATCACAGAGAAATAGGGTTAGTCAGAGATGCAGCTTGATCTTGTGCTGAATGAATGCAATTGCAAAATAATTCTAATCGTTGATGATGAGGAGTTTAATATTTAAGTTCTTTCGCATATGGTTAAATAATTAGGATTTGATATCGATTTTGCTTATAATGGCAAATAAGCCATTGAGAAGGTTCAAAACCAATTACTCAAGAGATGCAATCCCCAATTTTGTATTGGATATAATTGCATCTTAATGGATATCAATATGCCCATGATGAATGGATGGGAAACTGTCTAAATAATACGACAAATAGAAAATGAAATTCATCTCACCAGAACCATTCCTGTAATTGCAGTTACCGGTTTCTGTAGCATCAAAGATCAATAGAAGAGTATGAATGAAGGATTTAATAGTGTTCTGATTAAGCCTGCTACAAAGGAATTGTTAATTGACACTTTTAATCGACTCAATATCTGATATCTATTTTTATATTTTTTACTATTTAAATTTCTAAATTATAGAAGTTAATTTAATATTCACAACATTTATATTATTAAAATTAACAATGTCATCATTAGTGAAAAAGGCTAAGGATACCTATGATTTATTGATCAAAATTTTACTCATTGGAAATTCTGGAGTTGGAAAAACACAAATTTTGTTGAGATATACAGAAAATCAATTTAAATCTTCATTTCTGAGTACGATTGGTATTTTTTATTCTTTACTCTCCATAAGGAATTGATTTCAAAATCAAAAAAATATAAGTAGACGAGAAAGTCGTGAAGATGTAAATTTGGGACACTGCAGGATAAGAACGTTATTAAACTATCACTTAAACATATTACAAGGGAGCAATGGGAATTATACTTGTTTTTGCAGTCAATGACAAAGAAACCTTTAATGATATTGACAAATGGATGAATCAAATTAAATAACATGCAAGTGACAATATCATTAAAGTATTAATAGGTGAATTTATAATATTATTATTATTCTTAGGAAACAAAACAGATCTTCCAGATAGATGCATCTCTTATGAATAAGCCCTTTAATTGGCTTAAAAATACAACATACCTTACTTTGAAACTAGTGCAAAGGAAGGAACTAACATTAATGATACTTTTTAATAAATTGCAAAAACAATTAAAGAATAACTTGAAAAACTTCCTTAACAATAAAATGGTTCCTTCAATAAGTTAAGTACAGCTCCAAATCAAGATTAATAAAAACAGGATGACTCAATATGTTGTTGATCCATCTTTATTTGATTTGAAATTCACTAATTTTCAATATTTTCATTCATATTTATTTCATTAGTCCTTCTTAGTGATTATATAATTCTTCCAATTTTATCTATATTTTATTATTATATTTATTGTTTTTTGTAATATTAATTTTACTAATATGGATTTTATATTTCTTGATATCCATAAAATAGATTATTAACAAAAATTATAATTAATTTCCATCAAAATACATTTCTTAATTTATTTTATGTAGCTTAATTAATCAACCTTGTGATATCCTCTATATACATCATTTTTATTTTGAAAGTTCAATAACAAATCTATTAATAAAGCAGAGTAATTCATGTTCTAAAGATTCAATCTCTATTACATATTTTTAACAGATTTTGATAAAACACATGTAAATTTCATTTAATTTTCTAATTACTTCTGAGAAGTATAGTTTTTAATTTAAATCAAAGCATTATAATATATTAATTTCTCCAAATAGCTAAAAATTAGATCAGTTGTAAATAATTTTTAGAAAAAACCTTACAAATGGGATTGAATTTGATGAATTAAATAATTTCTAATAAAATATATTAAATATAATGTATATTGAATAAGTTTTAGGTGTTTGAAAAAATATTATTGCAATTTTATTTTATCGTTTCTTGCCGAAGGCTATCATTTCTTTGTTAATACTTAGATATAAAAGGTTTAAATTATTCGTAATAATTTGGATACATTAATTTTATAACATTATGGTTGCAAAGAATTTAAGTATATAAACAAATAATCATGGGATTGTGGATTTTTTTTATTGAGTTAATTAAGTCTGAAATTGCTATTCACATGTTAGACAGTTTCCATGTTTAGAATCTTAATCAAAAATTGAATTTAGACATTTATTGTGGAAAAAATGATTGTATTTACAGGCTTTCGATTTGAAAACAGTGTCATTGTTGTCTTTTAGACCCAGTTAACATATACCACAAATCTGACAAGCCTGTACTTCTTATACTTATTCATAGTAATTTCCAAACTTTTTTTTTTTTCTTATGAAATATCTTACTGAGAAGATAATTACCAAAATAAAAATGATCCCTCCTATAATAACTATAGGCAAGAGCCATTCTAATAATTCTGGATTATTTCTTTTACTGTCACTTTTTTACAAGGATATCGAAAGTTATGTATTTGGATAGTCACACCAAACAGCCACAATTAACCTAGCAGGAGACTCATCCAGAATAGAAGAGCTCCCTTGATACGCCTCTTCTTCTGGATATTCTTATTTATATTATTTTTTTTCATAGTCTCGTAGGCCTTTTGATTTAATTATTTAAGCGAGAGGCATTGAATTATTAAATTATTCATAGAAGTCATAAAACCTCAAAGTGGGTAAATGGATGAAGGAAGAGACAATTTCTAAGATACTTAGATTTTTTTGACTATCAGTCTAAAATAATTCTGAAAATTACATAAAATGTTAAATCGAGTTCCTTTGACATGTTCTGTTATTGATAATAAAAAAAAGTTTCATAATTTGATAATGTTTGATTTCTCCAAGTCTAAATCTTTAATTCTGTTGCAGCTAATGAACAATCCTTCCCAATGAAATTAGAACTACACAGACATACTCCTTTTATACATTTTCCATTGTTAGTGCAATTATTTAAACATATTTAAACATTAGTACCTGTTAATGTTAAATCGAAGGAGATTGAAATGTTACTGAGAATAGTAATAAATTTAGGATTAGGTGAGTTTTGAATCAACAACTAATGATTATATTTTTTTAAGGCATAACTAAATTATTTCAGAATTAATACCTGTCATAATCCATATCTTTAAATTACATAGTTTAATTTATTTAGAAGGTTGGGGAGTGTTCATTGAATAATAGAGCAATTTTTGAATTTTCATTTGAAGTTTACTGAAACTTAACAATCAGAAATTAAAAGTCTTCTCCTTCTACTAGAAGGGTTGTATTATATTTGAATGTCGAATTATATTATGAAATGGTTTGATTATATTCGGTAATCTGAGGTGTTGATTAGGAAACTGATAACTTAGCTGCTCTTGTTTCAAGAAAAAGGAGATTGAATATGACTATCAATGATTGTAAGTTCATGGCAATTATGAAATATTAATTATTAACATAAGAAGTTCTCATACAATATAATTTGTTGTCAATGATGTTGTAATTACATGGAAACAAATCAAATATATAGAATAATTATATATGCCAAAAGGAAAGACTTTTAATAAAATATATAATTATTTATGGCAACTCCTTCTGTCGTCTCCACTTTACTATGCAAACCTTAGAGATGATAGATGCTCAAATAATTTGAAGATTAGGATCAATCTATATCATCCATAATATCAAGGACTGAGTCTGGATTAAGTTTCGTAATTAAAAGTCAAAAACTATTATAACTACAAGTGCTCCCTCATTGTTTCAAAGATAAAAAACTATTTATGCTTTTTAAGGTAAGGTTCACAAATAAAAACTAAATGTATATATTGAAGAAAAAGTAAACACTTAGATGGATAAGAATTCCAACTCAAATGTTTTAGGCAGGAAATAAAGTATGTAAAATTTTAGTAATTAAAAGTCATTAACAAATATTGCAAATTATCAAAAGCAAAGAATAACAATGATAAGAAACTTTTAATCAGAATAGAAGTGCTCATAACACTTTAGAATAGCTTGCAAAATTGGACTGGAAATGAAAAATATTAAGAGTATTCTTCGAATATAAAGAATACTAATAGCAGGTTGAATTGGGATATGCAAATTTTGAAATAAAAAAAACACTATTTTACAAGAGGAAATGAGGAATTCGAAAAAGTAAATTGGTTATAAAATTTAGTTTTTGCACATTCAATTCGATTAGATCAATCATAAGTTGCAATAATTTGACATCATAACAGGGGCAATACCTTAGCATAAGAAATTCAAGAGGACCCTTTTTTAATTATAATAGATATCTCTCAATATTTAACTACCGAATTCTTGTAAAAATGACCTGCACTTTCTGGAAATCAACTTAAATCAATCAATATTCAAATTAAATAAACAAGACATTGATGATCAAGAGTAGATAAAGGCCTTATTTGAGGAATTGCGAAATATAAGTAAGCCTATTCATTATGAATGACTGTATTTTATAATTAACCAAACAAAATTCTAATTAGCAGTGCATCCAGGGATATATAGTTTAGTTTAATAGATTTTTCATTTCTCTCCCAATCAATTATTTGCAGAATAACTTTCTGTAAAACAAGTTTGGTATAAATATTCTAGAAATCTAATTTTGAGAACTGGACATAGCTAAATATAATTATTCTTATTACTCTTCGACTCGTATGTCACAAAATGAATTAAACTGAATATAAGAAAGGCAATATTATAATTTATTATTTTCATTAAGATTATATTAAAGAAGTATAAATTATTTAAAAAGCGAAAATGAAATAATTAGAGATGAATGGTACGTACTTGCTTTCTCAAAATTAATAAGCTTTAGGGAATATTTTCCAAAGAGATCATTCAATTGCCATTTTTTTTTGTTTTTAATTAACTATAAACGCACTCATGATTGTCTAATATGACTCACAACTCATATTTACTATTACGGTTTGCATTCTAAATACCATTTTTGCTGTTACCACTTAAATGATTGCACTTACTAATAAAACTCTGCTATTTAAGAAAATATGTATATTTATCAGTAGGCTATCTACATTATTAATGATAGCATTACTCGACATTTAATTAAAGAGCGCCTTAATTATGCTCTTGCATTCTTTTGAAGTCCAAGAGGTTGATAAAAAGTACTTTCGATACTTCGAAATAATTGCAACTAGAGCAATCACCCTATTTATCATCATAATCAATTTCGATTTAATATCAATTATTTCGGTATCCTTCTAATTTTTATTGGAACTAAATAGATTGTCTCAAATCAAACATACGCAATAATTTGATTCAAATTAATAAACTCCATTAGCTTAAAGTTTAATTTCCTAGTAAGAGTAAGACAATTTGTGGAAAAATAGAATTTAAATGATTCCTGTATCATTTGTGATGATCAATTCAAAGACACAAAAAATCAATTTCAAAAATAAAACTGCACATTAGTTCTTTTCGATGTTTTGTGAGAGTGACTAGGAATTTGAGGAACTCCTCCTCCATAAGCTACAATTTAATTTAGTCCAAGACAATATAGATTAAATTTGCCAATCCTTTTCGTATTTAAAAATTCGTTAAAGACTCAGAAGCAAATAAAATCGTTTCTTTTAATAGGATCAAAGCTGTCTTACTCCAGCTCCACTCTCAGGATCCTCAGGACAATGTATATCTTCAAGATAAGCTGACTCCTTGGAACATAACACACTCAAATTTACACTAGCTGAGATTATAGCAAATCTTTCTGAAGGTCTCTTTTCAGAATACATAGTAAATAATTCATTAGAATTGCTTTGCCATCAAAATTATTAAGGGCTTGTAGAAAATGCTAATACAAATCATACTCAATAGAAGAAATTCCAATTGTCTGGATCCATATTGACTAATCAATAGAACGAAGAAATCATCCTTCTTCTTAATGATATTTCAAAACAAAATGAACTTCAATAGTTAATCTCAGAAGACGAATTCAAATCAAAAGTAATTATATTCATGATCAATTATTAGATTTTGGAATCATTCTCGCATGAATTGAGAACTCCTTTAAACGGAGCCATCAATTTTTTATCTGCTTTTCTGTAAGATACTGAATTTTCGGAGCAAATTAAAAACAAATATATTGTTCCAGCAATAAACTCTCTCAAGATCCAATCATACTTAATAAGCGACATCGTTGATTTCACATCTTCAAGTACAAACAATTTAGAACTATTGATTAAGGAATTTTCAATGAGAGAATTAATAAATGAAGTTAATTCACTCTTTATTATGTAATTTACTGAGAAGAATCTTGATTTTAGAGTAGATCTAATAGATTGTTGCACAACTACTATGATAACTGACTATAGTAAACTAATGCAAATATTGGTGAATTTACTACAAAACTCCATCAAATTCTCAACTGAAGGATTGATTGTCTTGAAAATCTAATCTCATACCAAAGACATCCTGAAGTTTACAGTCACTGATATGGGATAAGGGGTTTCATCTCTGAACATAACATAGATATAATCATATTTAAACAATCTTAAGAATCAAAAGGAGATCCAATTAAATAAAACTTGGTAAGGATTTGGGTTATTGATTTCAGCGATATTAGTATCTAAATTGGGACCCTCTGATAGGAGTACAATTAAGTTTGAATCCGATGGAGTTAACATGGGTTCAAAGGTATCTTTTTTTATTAGGAATTTATTACCAAAGTATAACAGTGTCAAATAGCCTACAATAAGATAAAATACCTAAAGATTTCAAAGTTCTGTTCATTTAACTTCCTCACTTAATAATTTAAATGGTACAATTATTTAGACAACGGATTAAGGTTTGAAAAGTATTCCAAAAAAATAAAAAACTAAACTTTGTTCATAGAAATCAAATGACAATTCCATGTTTAGTGAAAGTGTTGTTTATGACTCATTAGATTAAAAATTTGGTTTGTTAAGTCCTGTCTAGCCTTCTTTGATTACTGATATCGTTTGTAGTTCCCCTCAAAAAGTCAATATTGAAAAAAGACATTTCAGCAGGAATGAAAATTCATCATAAAGATCTAACAATTCCAAAATACTTAGCATTCAATTTATCAAATAGGCAGAGGAATAGGAGGATGAAGAACTGCTGCAAACGTATAAGAGAAGAAAGAAATGCCAATGTTAACGAATTATGTCTGTTGATGATGAAATATTCAATCAAAAATCAATTTAGATGCTCTTGTGTAAATTGGGATTCGAAGTTATTTTGGTAAACATTTTTATGTGTTATCTTAGGCATTTAATGGACAATAAGCATGTGTAGATATTTTGAACATAAAGAAATGTAGTAAGAAGTGTTCATTATTAACTCTCATCTTGATGGATTATTAGATGCCTATTCTAAATGGGTGTCAAGCAACAGAGAAATTAATTAAAATGATGAATGACAACATTCTTCCCAGAATTCATATTGTTGGTTTAACTGCTTTTACTAACTCAAATGATATTGAAAATTGCTTAAAAGCAGGAATGAGTGATGTGCTACATAAACCACTTAATCTAAAGGAATTTAAAGAAATTCTCACTTTAATTTGATAAACTAAACCATTTTTATATTAACACTTTATGTTTTTGAAAAATTAAAAATGATTTTACTGTTAAATTAAATTATTATACACTTGCTAATTATCAATAAATTGGCCTTACTTTGATTTGATCAATATTAATTTTAATAACAATAATTATTACTCATTATGAACAAGAAACCATAAACTAAAGATACATTTCTTCAGACTAATCTTTTCCTATTAGCAACATAAATAGTGCTAAATATTAGTCTAATTTAAGAATTGACAGAAATAATGACTAGCTTAATTGTTATCATTTTAAAGGTAGTATTTGACATTTTCATATTCTGTCTTTTGTATCTTTTACAGAATAAAATTACTCCGGATATAATATTGAAAATGAGGTTTGTAGATAGGATACTTTAGATACTCGCAATTGCAATTATATAATTACCAAATTGCATATTCTTATCCATTTAGATGTGCTATCCATTAGAGATTAAAGCAGATCAATACTTAGATAAAATTACCCTACTTGCTAATATTCTTGGGAAATTAACCCTCATTTTATCAGTTAGTTTGGTTTAGATAAATGCAATAAGCTTTGTTTGCTCTTTCGTTTTAATAGGCATAGACATATTGAAATTTACTCAAAGCAATTGCAAGATCTAAAACAAAAATCAATTTTTGCAATCCCAACTGAATGAATTATAATCTCCCTCTAATTATTCCAAATAAAGTGACGACATCTGGAGATAACGAGTTTAAGACATGAATGTGTAAGTACTTATTTTGGACTATTCCAATTTAAGTGTTAAATACATTAATTAATGCTTTATGAAATTGTTTAAATGTTCCGTAGAGGATGAATTATAAAAACTTATTTTATCCCAATTAAACTTTTAAATACCATAATAATGTACAGAAGACTTTAAAAGTGCATCACTTTAAATAAAAAGACTGAGGGACAAATAAAGAGATCCATCTTGTAGAGAGTTTACAAACTTAGAATCTACAAAGCAAGTTATCAAAATACAGACTAAGACTTTAGAGTAAATTATCAATGAATATAAATAAGGATATTATGATTCATTGATATAAGCTTCAAGCAACAAAGCTTTTGATATATCTTGCACTCTTAAGTTATAGAATAGTAATCCAATTTCTTTGAGTGGATAAATAATTAATGATAATCAAGAGATCACCATCTTTTTGAATGACATTTCCAAATAGACAGAATTATCTCAATAGAAAATTAAAGATGATTTCAAATCAAAAATAATAGAATCATTTTCTCATGAAATGAAAACTCCTTTAAACAGTGCCAAAAATTTAATAGAATCAACACTTTCGGACTCAACTGTAGATAATTATATCAAAAACCAATATTTGTAACCAGCATTCAACTCATTGAAGCTGCAATCATACATCATCAATGATATAATTGATTTTTCAAACTATTATGCGAATTCATTTTACCTATAAACAAGGGATTTTACATTCAAAGAATTAATAAATGAGATTAGTGGGCTATTCCAATAACAGTTTGAGATGAAAAATATGGGCTTGCTAATAGTAATGAAGAAAAATAATTTTTCAACATTTAATACTGATTATAATAGGCTAATTTAAATCATAGTAAATTTATTAGCAAATTCATTAAAGTTTTCATACGGAGGTAATGTTTTTGTTAAATTTAAATCAGTGGATTAGAATGTTTTGAAAATATCCATCAAAGATGAGGGGATTGGCATCGAATAAGAAAAATTAGAGAGAATTTAGAGAACTTTATCTCAATTTTAGGAGACATCTGATTTCGTATTTAATTAAGGCTGGCATGGATTTGGACTGTTGATATCATCCATTTTATTAACAAAACTGTGTGCCAATACAAATAAATAGTTAATGTAAATAAAAAGTAAAGGGAAGAATCTAGGAACAAAAGTAACCATATTTGTGGACGACTAGAATAGAGGATAATGTATGAAGGCTTCTAGAAAATCAGTTATAATGGGAACAAAAATCCAATCTTAGAATCAAATCTAAATTGGAACTGTAATTGTCACATCAGTTAAGAAGATGTCTAATCAAAAGAACAATGATATTATTTGTCCGTAATCTAAGACAAAAGAACTCTTTACTGATATTGTAGATTAATCAAGTGAACTTTTGACTCTGAATGGTAGAGTTAAAGAATTGCAGGCATCAGATCCTAAACTAATAAGCAATTTGAATGATTCACTTAGCTCTGATTAAAGTGTGGATATTCAGTATAGACATTTAGGGTAACCGTATGATTATCCCTCAATACAACATCAAATTAAAGATTAAAAGTCATGCAAGAGTTCTAGATCTCAGGTATTGAGTATAAAATAGTTAAAATTGTTGGAAGATTAGGAAAGTTAGTTCAATCTATTGAATTTTGTTCAAAAAAAGAAATGTCACTGCAAAAGGATACTTTCAGTTGATGATGAGGTTTTTAATTAACACTCTTTGTGCATGCTTTTGCAAAAACTGGATTTTGAAGTTTTGGTGGTCAGTATACAATATTTTAATTATAGGCTTTCAATGGTTAATAAGCAATAGATATGATAGGGCAATTATAAAAATGCTGTGATCATTGCTAATTACTTGATTTGATTTTGATGGATTATCAAATGCCTATATTAAACGGGATTGAGACAACAAAACTCATCTTAGAGATGATATAAGTCTAGAAGATCCCTCCCATCAAGATAATTGGTTTAACAGCATTCACTGGTGAATCAGATGTAATAAATTGTTTAGATGCAGGGATGACTTATGTATTATAGAAACCATTAAACTTAAAAGAATTTAAAGAATTATTGTCAAATTTATGAATTTATGTTTTATATATATCCATGGTTATCACTTTAAACTTATTGTACATCCAGCAGCTGTTAACTTTTCTTTTAATTCATTGGCTTTCTCCTTTGGCAATTGCTTACCTAAACTGGCTGGCAATTTCTCAACCAAGTCTTTGGCTTCCTTCAAACCAAGATTGAGTAATTATCTATAATGATTCTCATTGAGTACCTAACTTCTTTGATGATCTTAATTTTCTGTGCTGCGTCAATTGCACTTAATTCTACATCGTAATTTTTTTTCTTTATTTACTTATATAATTACTTCAGCTTCAACTTTAGGTGCAGCATCTGCTTTCTTTTCTTCCTGCTTAGGAGCTTCACTTGAAGCAGCACTTTGAGCTGAAGCTTGACTACCAACTGATCCAACACCTCCAAAAATGGCTTTGAAATCAGGCTATGAAATTTGATAGGAATCTTACGACATTCTCTCCAAATAGTTCTTTCATATAAGCTTCGATTTACTCTTTCTCTTTTGGAGGCCAAGTTGGTACTTCATTTTGTTTGATTACAGGCCAATTTGAATCGAGCTAAAAAAGACCTATTCCTTGAGCCTTGTAATGATTTTCATTCAACAAGCTCATCAAACATTACAATTCAAAGAGATCCAGCTCACAACAAGCATCTGCTATAGTCTTCACTCTTTATTTTTGGTCTTATGATAATGCTTATTCTAAATATTCTTATTGTCTTGACATTAATGCTTTAATTACGATTATGTTTTTTATTTTGCTATGGCTAACCATTCAGCTTATTTTTTTGTAATTTCTTCAATAGCTGAACAAAATCTAAATTGTCTGAATAATCTAATACTTTTTGTTAACATAATTTAATTTTAATTAACAAAATATGTGAACTAATTGATTAGGAAATTATGTTTTTTTTGTTTTTATATTAAAATATCGATCTAATTTTGAATTTAAGATCTAGATTGAATTTGGGATGAGATTGGATAGGAAGTAAATAAATATAAAAATGTAAGTATTAAAGAATGGAATTAATATAAGGATTGATGATAAAAGTAATAAAATTAATTAAAATTGTATTTAGTATAATTCTATTATCAAACTTGAAATTGAATGAATGTAATTCTATTATCAAATTTTAAATTCAATTATATTATATAAAACATTACAACATATCTCATGAACTTCATCATCATTACCTTCCTTATCATCCAAAACTATGCCTTTTCAACCTCAAGTTCAAGCAATTCATACCAATACGAACGTCCTCAAAGCACTTATTATCAATCTAATAAATATTTCGATCATACTAGAGGTATTGATGAAAACTTCTAAAGTTAAATTATAACTTTGAATGTTGAAATTAAATGGAGAACACAAAGTATTCCTTCCTGTCACCCTGATATTATATTTTCGTTATAAGATTCAATCGAAATCTTAGTATTAAGTTTCAATCAAAATGCTCTTAGGTATGATGCTACCAGATTGACTATTAAGTAATTTTAGTAATAAGCCAAAGATATTTATGAAAGTACAGTGTGGGCAAGCCTCAAAAAGTAATTATTTATTTAAAGAAAGACCATTATCTGTTTTGAAGGTGCTATTGATTGCAGATAGAGTTGTTTAGCAAGATTACAAAAATTTCATCGATAAATGTGAAGAGAGTGCTAGATATTTTATAGATTAATTAAAATAATGAATATTTTAGCAAAACTTTAAATTTTTGAAGAGAATCGATAGCTTCTTATTAAATTTAAACCTTATAAATTTACAAATTTAGAATATTTAATAATCTCTCTTTTTCATTTTGAATTTTAGTTTAATATAAATGATATCAAATCGAAATATAATTTAAGTTTTGAAAAACCTATTGGTTTGTAATATACTATGAAATTCTCTATATATTAATTGAATGTTCCAGATATACTGAGATATTTAATTGCATTGAAAAATAAGTTTGAAATTAGATCAAAGTTTTCTATGTTGATTTTTAAAAGGACTTAGAAATAATCTAAAGTGATTGTTATTTATAACTCATAAATCATGTGGTTGGAGATCATCTGCATAATCATCAATGTCTTCAACATCATCTTCCTCCTCTTCTTCATCTTCTTTGATCTCAATTGGATTAGCATCAGAATTAAATATTTGCTCTTTGACTTTCTCATCATAGGCGGCTTATCTTTAGATTAAAGATTCCTCATCAAGAATTTGTTTAGGTTTTTCCCATGCAGCATTTGGTGTTCGAACTAATCGAATAATTAAACTCATTATTTCTATGTTTAAATAATTAACAGTTTTTCATAATATAATTAATTTATAATTACAAGTGCAACTAGATTTTAGAGTCTCATTTTCAAAATAGTTTCACATTTTGAAGAGAATATTTTAGTTGTTATCAATTATTTAATTAAAGGAGATTTTAGACTGTTGAAAGTATTTGTAGTTTATTTTCAGAATTGGGAATTTTGTTATAGACAATATAACATCTGGTTATTATAATATATATACAAAATCACATAAAAACTTTTCAAATTTCCTTTAGGTTGGAAAGAACAAAAACAGTGGTATAGTAAATTACTGTAATTTTTTAGATTATAAAAATAAATCTTATTAAAGATAGTTACTCAAGTTGCTGACGAGCAAGGATTTTTATTATATGAAATTTTGGAACATACTTTTTAGACAATCTGGAGTTGTATTAATAAGATTAAAGAAATCTGAAATCCTGTAATCGTCTCTAATGCTCATATCCAAAATCTCTTTGATTTATTTAATAAGATTTTAAGATTTTGAAGTTGTTTTTATGTTTTCTAGTTTAGGTTCTAGAATTCATTGAATAGGATGTATACTTTTGATAATGATATTCTAAAATCTATAAATATAATTTTAAGGTATTGAATTAAATATAACAAAGACACACATAAATTAAGTAAAGCTTCGATAACTTATTTTTAGAAAGAAATAACGAAAAAAAAAATAAGATAAGGTACAGAACAATTTGGAAGCTTTAGATATTGAATTATCTAATTTATTTTTATATTTTCACCTATTTAATATATCTATTAAGGAATAAGCGCTATCTTTGCAATTATTGAATAAATAACTGTAAGGTTTCATAGCTACTCTATCTGCAATTTATAGCACCTTTAAAACAGTTACTGGTCTATTGTTAAAGATGAATTATTACTTGCGAAGGTAAACATACTCTTTAGAATTATAATAACTTGATTATTATGAATAAAATGAAGCAGTAGTAGTTCTGGTAACATCATATCGATGATTGTCAGAATGGAATCCTATTATTAAGACTTCTTAATCATTTTATAATGTAAAAACAATGTCAGGATGAGAGAGAATCCACTTAACTTTTCTCCAATATATAGCGACGGTGGAAATGATTTCACTTTTGAAATTTTGATCAATATGTAGTTAATTATAAAACATCGAGTTTGGGTAATAATAATTACTTTCGTATTGGTATGAATTCCTTGAACTTGAGGATGAAAAGGCATAGTTTTGGATGATAAGGAAGGTAATGATGATGAAGTTCATGAGATATGCTGTAATGTTTGATATAATATAATTGAATTTAAAATTTGATAATAGAATTACATTCATTCAATTTCAAGTTTGATAATAGAATTATACTAAATACAATTTTAATTAATTTTATTACTTTTATCATCAATCCTTATATTAATTCCATTCTTTAATACTTACATTTTTATATTTATTTACTTCCTATCCATGTCCTCCATTTAAAGATATTTCTTAGTAGAATACAATGGTGACATAAATAAAGAACTAATAAAACAACTTAGGATAAACTCAGTTGATATGATATTTTAATATCTCGAGTATTTAAATAATCGAATAAGGAAGGGTCAATCAATTACGTTTTTTAAGCACAACAACAAGATATGCTTTCTCATGCTAGCATTAATAATATTATAATTTTATATATACATTATAATTTCTTAGTAGATATTAATAATTTTATTAAAAATTAATAGATCAATTAGAAATCAAATAGAGATACATTACAGTTTGTATCATATATCCGAAGTCAACATTCTAAGATGGTGTGGTAACATTGGGATTTGTATTTGTTTGATTAGAGTTGTTATTGTTATTATTTTGGGCAACACAGGATTAACATTTGTTTTTACTGGTATTCCAAGTGTAGGAATACTCTGAAGTTACAAAGCATTGTTATTCGGTAAGAGTTGAGAGATCAATTTCAGCGCATTTACCTTAAGTAAAGGAGCAAGCTGTTTTGGAAGAGTAATTCCAATTAGAGAACGATTTGCATAAGCCATTACTATTTAAATAGGTATCACAAGTGTGTGAATAACAAGAACTGGTGGATTGACTGGTAGCGTATTTGATAGCACATCGATCACTAGCTTATAAGCAAGCTTCTTAGTCATCATCTGCTTAAGTGCATGACAACATCAAGGAACATGTAGAATTTTTAGCATTCCAAACACAAATGCCATCTGTTCCTCCTACATTGCAAGCAATTTTAGTGATGTATCTAGAGCAGGTATCTTTACTAATGCAATTGACCCCATTGGTAATACAATTAGATAAGGTATTTTAACACAAGGCCAATGTGGTTCCATTTTAAATATCATCGCAAGTCAGCTTTAAACATTTATCAAGGGCAATGTTCCAATTGCATTTACCCTCTAGTCCATATGCAACAGCACACATAGCTGAAGATGTGTATTAATAACAGTTTTATTTTGGAATACACTTAACACCATTGAAGGTGCAAGTGGAAAGGAACTTGTTGCATTGTTCATTGGTAATACCACTAAAGTCAGAACAAATTTAGTTTCTGCACAGACCATTATCCCAAATGCATTTCCCTGTGGCTATGATTAGGTTGTCTTCATATTATACACCGTTAATGTCTAATTAGCAGGATTCCTGTCTTTGATATTAAGTACATTGATTCAGATTAATACAACCGCTGACAGCATTAGTTGTGCAATTTTTATTGGCATACTGACATTCAATGTGGGTTAAATAGTAAGCTTCGGTGCAATTTGTGAAGAGTTTGCAAATTGGTGATTGAGTTGAATTCAAAGCAGAAACTGTTTGCATACAATTTCCATCAATGCCATCAATACAACCCCCAGTGGTATTGGTTTCAGAACAAAAAGTAAGAGGGACACATTATAGGCCATCTGTAGTACATAATTTTGAAACATATTAACATTCAACATGTGTCTAAAATTTAACACTATTGCAAGAGGTGTATTAATGACAAATATTTAGTTATTGAATCCATAGACAAGGTCCATCCAATCCCAAAATGCATTAGTCTTGATTTGAATATTCATTGCATTTTCTTAATTTTCTACATTTTTTGTTATCATCAAAAGTACATAATGCATTGAAGGCTTAACATTCTTTATGGGATGTACCATTGTAATCATAGCATTCTCCAATGTTTCTACATTTGTTGTTGTCCCAAACACATGCAATATTGTTATAACTATTAGTGCAATCAACCTCTTTGGTTACTAGATTGCATACCTTCAACGTACAATAGGTCTTGTTCCAATAACATTGTTCATTATTGATCGATTTATCACATGCAATTTCACTTAATGCTTGAGCACATGAACCTTTTGTCACACATTTAGTTCCATCTGTTGTGCAAATAGGAGTCTACTATCTGCATTCTAAATCAGTGGTATAGGTGTAGTCTTCACAGGTGATTGTTTTACATTTATTAATATCTTCAGCAGTACATTAAGGTAGCCATTGTTCACATAATAACTTAGTATTGATATTACTTGGAGCATTTTCACATGTTTTTTGCAGACATTTTGAATCAAGCCAATGGCAATCATTATTATTAATATCCTTGATGCATTGCACTTGATAGAAAATATCTGAGCAAGTAGTGGGTATAGTCATGCAACCCAACAAATCAAAGTTCACAGTGCATGTATTCAGATAGGATTAACAATTCTCATGAGTGGAATAGTCTGATGTCTTAGGAGCTGTTTTGCAACCAAAATCTATGCATTGATTGTCCACCCATTTACATTATTTGTTACTCTTATTCAGGTAGCATTGTAATTCAAATTAATAATCAGAGCAATTTGTGCTTAGCATCTAGCATCCACTGTAGATTTGAGTGGAAGAATCAGTGTTGTATTTGATTTACACTGTGCAGGTTGTATCAAAGGATTAACATTCATCGTGAGAGGTGAATGTGTATGATGCAGCCTCACAGGACTTCAATTAACAGACACTGGGACTCACGTTGTCATTCCAGACACAAGGTTTATTGTATTTATCAATGACACACTGTCCTTGAAATGTGTAATCAGTACAGACCTTCAGTTATTGACAGCCAGTTCCGTTGACTGATACTGTGCACTTTATGTTTGGAGATGCATTATAGCATTTACTGTGGGTATTGTAGTCAGTAGTTTATTCAATGAGATCACATTATAGATTGACACATGTCATATTGTATTGATTCCACCAGCAGTTCTTATTATCTAGATTAAATCTGCATTGTAATTATGTTTTGTAAGTATTGCAATTGCTAGATTTGACAATGCATCCTCCAAAGGTGGCAACAGTGCATTAATTATTTGATGATTAACATTGAGTATGTGTTGTTAAAGTGTTGGGCAACTTCTAGCAAGTGAATTTCATGCATTTATTATCATAAACAATGCATTAACCTTCGCTAGCCTATAGACAAGCAGTGACACTTTATTCTAGACAAGTTTGCTTCATTTCAACACACCCATTGTTGGTAGTATTGACAGTACATGTTTTCAGCCAGGCATTGCATTCAACATGAGTAGTAAGTGGAGTGTTTGTATTCAAACAAGTTTTGTCTTTGCAACCTGAAGTTGAATTGTTGGTGCAAGTACTCTTCAATGATTCACAGATAGTGTGAGTGTAGGTATAGGATTATCCAATAAATAACTTACTACATAAAATGGAGCTGGTGACATTAATACAGGATGCTCCACTATCGTTCTATTGAGTTTAGATGCACATGCCAGATGAGGATGAATAGCAATCGGTCAGATTGGTATATTCAGAACATTATGCTTTGATATTGACACAGGCAGAGTTGGCTCTATTGACACTGCAATAATTGTTGGAATAATCTTAACATTTCTTAAAAGTAAGTCCAGCCTCCACCACTAAATTACAATTTTTAGAATTGGCAGTAGCAACAGCCACACAGGCAGTGCCAGTGTATTTGCAAAGTCCTTCCTTTTTTGAATAAACACAAGCAGCATCTCCTGCATCACTACAGTATTATTACATGGTGATACATCCATTGTTGCTTCTATTGTTGACACAAGAATAGTCATATTCTTAACAGATGCTAAGTGAGGTTGGAGTGACATCAGCATATTCATTGCAGTCTCTTTAAATGCATTTGTTTCCTTGGTCAGTCACTAACATTTTACAGAATGATCTCTTGACAAAACAATCGTTATCAACGACTGGAGTTAGAATAGAGCCACAATCCATATGAGTCCACACACAATATAGACCCTTCATCGCACAATCTCCTTCTTTGGAGTATTTGCATTGAGTAGGATCAGAACTATAAGTTGAACATGAATCCGATTTGGTGATGCATTTGTTGAAATCAGCATTAACAGTGCATCCAGTCAATTACTCACAATCAACCTTAGTTGTATAATTGTAATCTGTGCATGCCTTACTAATACACCCAGTTTGAGTAACATTCGATTTGCAATTAGGTAAAATGTTGCTGCAATTGACATCATTGTAGATGGATATTTTGATATCTCCACATGTCAAATTCGAGACTTAATAGCAGCCATCATTAATCCACAGGCATTGGACAGAATTCGAGGATTGATGACATTGGTATGATTACTTATAGCTCTCGCAAGTCGAATACTTCTCCACACATCCTTACTATCCAACCTTACTCACAACTGTGCATGAGGAATTGAGTGCATTACATTTCTCATATGTATCATAATCCGATGAATCAGAAGCATCACTACAAATGGTGTCTCTGCATTGAGTACCATTCCAAAAGCATTGTACATTAGTAGATGTTGACCGACATTATTGTGATATGGTGTAAGATGAACATTTAGCCGACAATGAAATACAGCCATTCAGACTCCCATTTACAGTGCAACTAGACAATTAATCCGAACACTCTTGATGAGAGGATCCACTCAGATTTATGCATATTTTGTCTCCGCATCGTCCATTCACCCAAATGCAATCATTCGATTCCGCAGCAATACAATTATTGATACTTAATTGAGAACATGATGAAGGTTTAGCTGTACATCCATTGCCTAAGTTGTTTGGTATACAATTAGCCATATAAGAGAGACAAGATGCTTCATCAAAAACAGACAAATAGTTTGGTGATCCAACAATACTAGCACTTTCACATGACTACTTTACGCATCGATACACATTCCAAATACACACTGGGTTATTACCATATTCACAATTACCCTGTAATCTTCTATCTTCACAATTCTTAGTCAAATCCATACATCCTTGAGAATTGTTACCAACTATGCAATCGGGTTTGAATTATTGACATTGCTGAGTGCTATTCAAACTCACACTAGCCATACTACATGTCCTATCGATGCATTTCTTGTCCTGCCAATGACAATATTACCCACCTTTTATCATGAAACAAGACTTCTCTGATGTATATGCCTGGCATGTTAACCTTATAGTCATGCAACCCTGTCCCGATGTATCTAAGACGCAAGTATCCATATGAGTTTAGCATTCACTGCTTGTTGTGAAAGTCTTCGGCGCAGTATTGCAACTCTTAGTAAAACAAGTGCTTTTCCAAGAACACTTATTATTCGACTTATCCACTACACATTACTCCTATTGTACAACATTCTCACACATCTTGTCGAGACATCCACTCTAAGCGGTTACATTCAAAATGCAACCACTAGAATACAATTGACACTCCGCTTCTGTCTTTATAGTGGTGTTATTCGAACACGTCTTTTAAACACATGTAGATCCATTCCAATAACATTTAGTACCATCCACCATATCCACACAACCTATTTATAGCTTTGAAGATTCACAATTTAACTATTCCACACATCCATTCTATGTAGTCACACAATTGTTATTTATTTTCTTGCATTAATCATTCGTATTGAATTTTGTGGGAGCCTTTGAACATTGCTTATCTATACACGTGTTGTCAATCCAAATACATGGCTGCTTATTCATATTCACAACGCAACCCAACTCGACCTTGATATTCTCACAGGAACTGATAGTGATACATCCACCATTCTATTGAACCGTACAAGTAGACAGATAATTATTGCATTACTCGAATGTGGTATAGGTTGCAGGGGCATTTGAACATATTCTACTCACGCATTTCTGGTTGACCCATGCACAAGATTACAACTTACTTTTATCCCAAACACATTGAATCTCCAGTTTCTGATTTGAACATGCATCTCCACTATCTACACAACCACCCGATTCTGCCACTGTACATTTTGACAATTGGAATCTACATTCTGAATCACTTTATAGAGTTTTTGATATTTATGAACACTCTTAAATATCTTAACACTTATCTACATTCCAATAACACAGCTTATTATTTTTATTCTTCACACATCCTATCTCTGTTTTATAATCTTAACACAATCCGATTTCAATACAATGCACTCCGTCTGATGTACATCTATTCGAAATATATTGGCATTCCTCTTGTCCTCTGAATGAATAGGCAGTACAACCCGTGAAAGGAATGCATTGTTTGTCAACCCATGCACAACCGTTCTATTATTAACAAACCGCATCCTCAAAATATGTACAATAAGTGACGATTGGACTAATTTCCACAGGCGTATCAATGTTAATAACGCATTTGTTTTGGTCCCATGTACATTTATTGGTCTAACAATCATTTTGGGATAGTAATTGTTCGCAAGTGCATTTAATAGTTGAAAATTTGGTTGCTTAATGTAAGGAAAGTAAAGAAAGGAAGATAGTTAGTTTAAAATTCATTTATTAATATATAATAATTATCAAACAAATCCCAATTCCTTTTCTGCATCTTGAACTCTGTTCTCAAGTACAATAGTATTTTGCTACAATTTAATTCGGTCCTAATTTATTGAATCGACCTGTTATTTCAGAAACTGATGTTGTTCCAATTGCAATCCATTCTGTTCATGAAACTCCTGCATCAATCTTCGATATTCGTCATTCAGATATTTATTTGCATCATCAAACGAATCCGAGGTCTTTTGAGACAACTCCACCAAATTATTGCGCAATTACTCCTTCTCCTTTTTCACCATATCCAACTCATCCATCAATTATTGTAGTAATTGCTACGTTTAGCAGACTGACTTACATCCAACCTCTACAAATGACTCTTGACAGGCATTCTCATAGCGAATTCTTCTTAGTCATCCGGCAAGAGATCCTAGAAATCGTTATTATAAGCCATATAATTAATTAATTTATGATTCCATAAATATCAACTCTTGTACTCCTTGTAATTCGGACAGATGTAACCATCCTGCTTACTCAACTCATTCGTGTCGTCATAGTCATAATAGACCTCCGCCCCAGTCTTCTGTAGGTTGTCCAAGTAAATCAGAGAGGGTATTTCGTCAAAGAACAACTTGAAGTAATCCTGCATGGGATTTCCGTATAAATTAAGTTGAGTAATTTTCATTTCCTTCAAATATTTGATCATCGTCTTCGGGTCGTCAATCTGATTGCAAATCAAGGAAATCGAACGCAGTTCAGTGTACTTCTTCAAATAGCCGATCTGTTTGGCCTTGATGAGATTGCCATCCGCTTAGAACCTGACCAAATGTTTGAAGGATGGAAAATTGGTTAGACTTTGTAATCCACATCTGTTGATGCCGAAACTGTGAACATTCGGAAACTCTTACAGTTTGTCTCTCAATTCAGGGGTGATCTCAGGAATGTCGAGTTCCTCGAGTATGATTTCCTCGACAAACAATGCATCATATTGATCATAAATGGATTGGAGGATCTTGATGGGGTCTTTGGTATCATTCTCATGGAAATCAGCTTTGACATTGGGGGATTCATGTTTGAAAATTAGAGCTTATTTCATTTAATGAGTTGAGTTTGGTATGGACTGTACATATATAGCATAATATCATTGATTTATTTTGTAATGTAATTATGAATTTCATTAGTCTGGATCACTAAATACATTCAATCGAAGATTACGATATTCTTTGCGCACTCGACCGTACAGACTACTCCACTGTCTACAAGGCGTAATCTCACTATCCTATCATTCAAGACTGGACAAGAAGACAGGACTCATCGTAGCCATCAAAGTCATCAACTTGGTCAATCAGGCAGAATTGGCCCAAGCCGTCTAGACCTACCGCACTAAACCCTTCAGAAACATATGCTTGGTCGACAAGTGTTTTGGACAAGATGGCAAACTCTTTATAGTGATGGAATACTTTGCTGGAGGATCATTGAAGGATTTGATTCATTTGTTCAAGATCAACAAACAGACTTTGGAGACTCAATATGTGCAAGTGATCATACGAGAACTTTTGCTTGGCGTCTAAGAGATCCATTAGGAAGGTCTTGTGCATAGACATATTAAATGTGAGTTTTATTTCTACTCTAAATCTCCTTTTTAGCTGCCAATCTCTTCCTTTCCCAAGAAGCCAAAGTCAAACTCTCCTATTTCTCCACCAACAAGGAGTTTGCCGATACCATCAATAAATCGCAGTCCCATATCCTCAGTCTCCCCTATTGGATGGCTCCTGAAGTAAAAGAACTCATTCTATTAGACCATTCAATCCTCTTTGACTGATTAAAAAACTGACGTCTGGGCCATTGGCATCACTGCTTTTGAATTAATCACTTCCAAGATACCCTATGAGGATGTGCCTCCGTAAAAGGTCATCTTCAAAATAGTCCAACAGCCTCCGAGATTGAGTGGGGATTATCCAAATGAGATGATCGATTTTGTGCATTAGTGTTTGCAACGAGATCCTAGACTGAGACCGAGTGCTGCTCAATTGCTTACTCATCCCTTCATTAGGAATGCCAAAAAAACTCAGTTGCTGTTTGAGTTGCTCGAAAGGGCTGGGATGCTGAGTGGAGAACAACAATAAGCCAGTTGCGAAACTCTCAACTACACACACAATCGAGTTGTCACTTCCCTCAAGTTGGATGCCAGTGGAACCCCGATACGAGAGGATGACGACTCACTCAAAGAAGAAACCTTGAAGATTAAGCGTACTTTCAGGAAGATAGAGAAATATAAGCCCGGATTGGGCAAAATCGTATTGACATTATACCTTTGCAGATATACCATGAAATCATCCAAGTCCTTAAAGCCAAGACCCCCTGATGAATACAGCAATCTAATTACGCATTCTCATTAATTATAATAAATGAAAACCAACAATGAGCCTTCTCTCTTCAAATATCGAGTACTTTATCTCACACTTATCTTTATCTCCCTAGGTCCTTGAACAAAAAAACAAAAAAATCATCCTGGAGGCAGATGAGGATCAATTCAACTCCTTTGCCAATGCTCTCTCCATCATCCAAAGGTTTCACGACGACATCAAACAATAACTCAACCCTCAACAACCCTCCTCTAGAAAAATACGCGGTATTGCATCCCCCAATTATCCTCAGTCAATTCCGACTCCGAGAAATCCAACAATGTTTCCCATCCCTATCCGAACCCAGACATCAAGGAGGATCAGGACTTTAGAAGGTATCCCAATACACTCCCTACTCTCTAGACGTATCCCTCATTTCTTCCTGTCTCGTTTCAAGAAGTGGGCCAAAATGATGGAACAAGATGCTGCCTACAAATATCTCCAGAACGTTCAAGAATCAAAGGTACTCTCCCCTCATACCACTATCTAGACGTCCAAACAACAGCGATTCGAATTGGGAGACTTGTAAAGGTGCTTTCAGGTTTAAGTCAATGAACCCAAAGAGTCCAAGCTCTGCAAGAATTTACTCAAAGACCTTTTCATCTCCTTCCTCCAGAATGAAGCCACACTATAAATCATTCATTACAATAAAATCAGTTCAATCGAATAAAAAGTACAATGTGGAATTTTATAATTAGCATAAATATATTGCTGAAATTAAAAATATGATCCAAGAGATGTACGAACTCAAACCCTTTGACTCGTACCTCTCCTCTGAAAAGATCAAAGGAAAGAAAACCATCAACAACAACATCTGCCAATCCCCTATCCAAGAAAAACAAGAAGAGCAAAGAGACGACTTCCAAATCCCCCAAATCTAGGAAAAATACTCCAACGAAAGCTTTAAAAAATACACTCAAGCTCCCTCCCTTGTAAAAATGAATAGTTTCTAATGACCTTTTGTTTATTTTTACATTTATCAATTTAAAAATTTGGAAATTAATTATCCAATATTATTCAAACAATTATATAATTAAATTTTAAAGTTAGTTAAATTTATTGAAAATCAAATATTGTTATTATTTAATCATTTTATAAAACTGTTGTTATTTTAATTAAAAGCCAGGCAAAACCTCACACTTCTTGTTGATCAACCAACATATGTAAAGGATTTTCTATTCTTATCAATTTCAGAGAAATTAGATTATTCCCAAATAATTTTAATGTAATTCAAACAAAATACTAAATTGCAATTAAGGTAGATTTAGTGAGATCATATTTTATTTTCTATCGAAATTTAATTTAAACACAAGGATAAATAATTAATTAAAGTTTTATAATTGAAGAAAAAGCGTTGTAGAATTGCTATTGTCTAAGATCCTTGCGTAACTAATACAAGTTGACAGTAGGGTTAAATTGAATTTGAATTCGTAAAAGACTTTTTAATTAAATTAATAATTAACTTATATTCTATGCCCTTAGTTGAATTCAATTTAGACATCATACTCAAGTACGGGTAGGCCTTATACTTAGCCAATTCTCAATCTAACTGGGTTGTTGATAGAATGTGTCGTATGACGTGCATTTAGGTAAATTGTATCAGTAAAATTTAAGGATTCTAAGTGGTAAATATCATGCGATGTATAACAAAACCCTTTTGAGTACAAATACGCTATTGGAGACTATTTTCTCTAGGGTTAAAGTTCCATTTAATGGGAGAAAGGTCCAAATAGGATTTTAAATTGGAACAAGGATCTAGCCATGACCATTAGTATTAAATAATTCGTTATTATAGAAAATAAATGGGAGAAAAGGAAAATTGAATTCCTCTTGCAAACCGATTCCAAGACTTCCATCGTAATCCTCATGAGCAATCATGATTCCATACAAAAAAGATTGAGAAACAAAAAAGATAGCAAAGATAACTAAAAAATCTTTACCATGAGCTTTTATATGGACATATGTAAGATTGCTCTGGGAATCGAAGTTCAATATTATTTAATAACTTAAGGAAACAGTACGTAATCTTATTATTTCAAGATCCTATTGAATTCATTAGCAAGCCTTTTACTCTAAGTTCTGCTGACTAATAATACCTCAATTCAAAAGACCTTTAATTCTCTAAAATTTCGTCATGAATTCTATGAATTGGATAATAATTATTATACACATCAAAGTTATATGTCAATTACAATTGTTCTCGTTTTGACAGCAATTGCAATTGATCCACTGAGATAGTATCACAATATTGCGTTAAAATTCTTTTTATTTCTTGTATCAATTGAATTACATATAAATAAAAATTATATATTTCTAAACTAATACATATACAATGTTGAGAGTTAGAGAAATCAAAACTTTACTCCATTTGGCTCAAAATAATGAAATAAATAAAGAGAAACTTGAATTATAGTTTGTACTATAGATTACGATTTTAATTTAGATAAAATAAAAATAATTAAAATTCCATTTTTTGACATACTAAGAGAATAATCAGGATCTCTATTTTTAATTAAAATAAAATCAAATAAAAATAAATTAATCTATAAATCATAAGTTGATTTCATAAATAATAGATATTAATCTATCAATTCAATTATCTGAGCTATTGTATCCACTTCCTTCACTATTATTGCTACTTACAATTTGGATTCTTTCTCGAATCTATTCGGAGTCCTCTGATTTATCACTCACGTAATCATTTTCTGTTATCCTGAATTTCTTTCCTAAATCTTCCAAAATTTCCTTCACATGATTGGTTATTTCTTCTTAATTCTTCCCCAATTAACCTTCTAGTTCCTATAATTTCTTATTCTTCATTATTCCTTCTAATAATTGAAAGTCTCCAAATACATTCCACTAATTGTTCAACCTCCTTGCACTTTAAATCTAAAACTTAAAATATTTAATTACTTCAGCTAATTTCTCTTGTAATTCTTAAATGCTAAATTCATTAATTCGCTTTTAGATTTTTCCCCATTGACCTTGATATTTCATATAGCAATATAATAAAATGCTCTCCTTTTTCTAATCCCAACTTTTATCAATGGGAGTCTCAGGCTTCTCGTATTCTCCATCCTATGGTCTTCTTATTTCATCATATCGCTTTTGACAATCATTTCCATCTTTTTTTCTTAACTTTTATTTCAATCCATCCCAATTCCATTATAGTCCATCATGACTTTTTACATACTTTAACAATATCACTTCCTCGCCAATCGTCCAATATGCTCTCTCCTTCATATATTAGAGTTGTTCATTTTTTAATTCGGACAACTAAATTTGCTAATGAGCTTTTAATCTCTCCTTCACCATAAGTTATTGAGATTTATTAAGTGGCATCTAACCATCTTCTCTATCTTTATATAATCTAGATTCCTTCATTAAAATTATAATCCATCTTCAAACAGTAATTGAAAATATGAGATATTAAAAATCTATTTATTATTTTGTTCAATACCCATCAAATTTTTATTTTAAATTAAATGTGATATCATTTGTCAATTTTTTCTATAGTACAACAGATTTAGAAAGATAACTTGTACATTCTCAATTGGATGAGGTATCAATCCTTATTAAGCGAAAAAAGAACTTTTTTTTGTATTTATAGTTATCACAAGAATGCTATTATATACGTAATATTGATATGAATTTTTAATTCTTTCTGTTATGAATAATACTAACTGTTCCAAAATGAATAATCAATCAAATATTAATATAATAAAAATATATTTGTAAACTTATTCGAATTACTCATATAGGAGTACTTAAATTAATTTCTATTTTTAATGAAAGAAAATCTTTAAACATATGCAAATTACATCCACTATCTACTAGAAGCATTTTAAATGTACAATATTTATTCTCTAATATTAATTTCCATAATGAAATAGATATATATATTTGCTTGCTTGTTTTAGCATTTTAACCATTCATAGATAAATAATTTGCTCTTCATTACTTAAGCTTTATCAAAAAGATAATCAAGTCTTATAAATAAAAAACTTCATATATTCTAATCAATAAAATTTATTTTATACTCATAACCATAATTTTAAACAAAATATTTCAATAATTTATTTAAATTATTTAATGATGAAAACAAGCACTGGGTTATGATCTTATGATTATACTCCTACATTCACCTGAATGGATATTAAAATTATTATAAAATGATGACAAAGTAACGGGCGGACTTAGTTTAGTCATGCTGATTTGTTAAGTGTGAACAATCTCTGATCATTTTTTGTAATATTAACTTATATTATATATAATATACAATAATGCTCAATTGACTGGCTTTATCTAATAATATTAGGCTAGAAAAATACTCTAAAATGGAGGCCGATTAAAGAAAAGACAAAGCATTTTAAATCTTGTACCAAGTAGAAAAATACTCTCAAGCCTTCAGGATCTTAGCTGTTTTGTACATCCTGTATTGATCCTAACTTTGAGGTAGTAAATGAAATGTGATTGTTTCCAAGTTTAATCTCTAATTCTTATCTCCCAATTTTATCAGGTGCAGGCCATTTTGAATCATTTTCCCTGAATACTTAATGCATTGCAATACTTGACAATTTCTGACTCTTCTATGATGCGTTTAATCTCTGTGAGTACTGCATCTGAAACATAACATTCCTTTCTGATTAAAACATCTGATTTGTAATTTGAGTTGTTTGCATATCTCAATCTGCCATCATTTCTGAATTCGAATTCAAGAAACTCATGTCCATAAACACCTTTGTGTCCAACACTAAAGTAAATATTTATTTATACTAATATCTGAGATAAAACTCTTCATTTTAATTAACTTGCATAATATAAAATTATTATAACCAATTTATTACACTAAATGAAGTTAATAAGTTTGTTTTCTCTCTCTTTGAGTCAACTTTTCAATATTGGTTCAATAAATGGCTACACTCAATACTTGTGGGAATAGTAAGTCTTAAGGGATTTATGCATGTGATTATTTTGATCTATGATATGAATCATTTATTTTAAATTAATTCTACAATTAAATAATAACTAGAATTCTCAGGAATAATATCATTTATTTAAAAATAATAATAATATATTCTCCTAAAGCTAAAATTAGAATATATACTAAGGATGTCAAGATAATATCTGCTTTTTGAATGGTCTCAATGTAAGCCACTGGCAACAGACTTGAAATGCAAAATCAGCCGTTTAAACTTGAATGATCATTCCAAATTATCCTTAGATCTTCTGAAACTCATTTCATATTAAAAATGAGAGATTTGGGTTCAATATTTCTTTGATAATATTTTTATATATATATATATAATAATCTTTAAGGTTGATAATCAACCTTATTTGGGGGGTACTTAACCAGTTGGCAGTGGTTAAGAATTATTTGTGGGTTGTCCATTAGCTCCATCTGTTTTCTATATTAGATTCCAATCATAAATATAATCCATTTCAAATCCACTCTTTGTGAATAAGTCCTTTAATAGAGTTCTTAAGTAACTGTAATCTGGTTTTTCATCAAATCTTAGATTTCTTACATAAGTTAAGTAAGTAGCCAATTCTTATGGAAATCCTTTGCACAATGTTTCTATTGATGTTGATATCTTTTTTTCCATAATCTTTTCATATTTATCTTTTTTGTTGGAGGCCTTGAGGTTTTACCATGGAAGAGATCCCCTTAAAAAGTACATCATCACGTAGCCTAATGATTCAAGATCGTCTCTTCTTCCCTAATGTTTTAAATTTTATTTTTACCTATTCAATGCCAAGATGAGTGTTGATAGAAGCGTAACGGGCTGTTCCTGTTAAGTTTTTACCCTCTTTATAGGGAATGTGTTTTCCATCCTTTTAAATATATCTCTTTGCTAGCCCAAAATCAATTATGTACACTTTATGTGCTCTATTTAAATTTTAATACAATTTACCTTTTTCCGGTTCCAATTAGAAAGTTGTCTGGTTTGATATCTCGATGCAAAAAGTGTCTAGAATGAACATATTCAATTCTTTAAATCATTTGATCAGCCAACATTAATACTGACTTAAGTGAAAACTTCCTGCCACACAAATTGAATAGATCTTCCAAAGATGGACCTAAGAGATCCATAACCATGATATTATATTCACCTTAATTATACTAAAAATAAATACCCTCTGTTGCACAATAGTAAACATTTGGAATTCCTTTATCAATAACTGAGGGTTCTTGCAACAAGTATTAGTATAATTTTCCTTCATAAAACAGTTGTGGATGCTTAGTGTTGACGGGTTCAAGTTTAACTGCCACTTCCATGTTTGTTTTAAGATTGATTCCGTGAAATATTTCTCCAAAAGCACCTGAACCCAATTTCTTTGTTAATTTAAACGATCTTCCTATCTTTACGTCCATCTGAATTTTGATAAAGATTTTTTAAAATTCAAAAAAATAATATAATGGAATGATAATTATAAAGTGGTTTAAGTAATAACTAAAAAATAAGCTGATTTAAAGGGAACAATATCTTATAATTTATTAGGCACTAAGTATTTAATAAAAATTGACTATTTCCTTCGAATATTTAGATCAATTTTATTTTTAAAATATTCTTATATAGATATCAGTCTTGCCCTATGTCTGCGCCGAAAGAATCGTTGTCTTCTTCTTGATCAACAGTTTTTATAATTTTCTCTTTTTTCGCACTCGATTTATTCGCTTTCGCTTGACTCTTCCCATTTACTTATTTCCCTGTTTGTGAATGATATAACTCCTGCTCTTAAGAGTACCGGCTTCTATCCTATTCTGCTTGATCGTGATATTGCTAATTATTTTTTTGTTAAGATACCTGTTGGATTTCCTTGGGCAAATCTTTCCATTCACTAGCGATCAATTTTGTGATCTCTTAAAATTGTAAATCTAGTTTTACATGTAATAAAGACTTGGATATTATAATTGAAATTTGTCCTTCTTGTCCTGAAAGTAAAAAATGAAGGCCGATTTAGGCATTTTTGGTGCGAGAGGATCTTTTTGTTTTTTTTATTTTTTTGCCTTCGTGACCTATGGCTTAGGTTATTCCTCTGGTTCTGGGCTTGGAATCAAAAATGAATCAACTAAAGCTTTCAATTAAAGTAGAAAATTTTAGAACTTGCTCTGGTCTTTTTTCTATTTATGATTATTTTCATTATTACATCTAACATCTCTCAATAAAGATTTTATATAAAATAAAATATATATAGCTTATTTTAGAACAACATTCAACCAAAATAAAATAGTAAATAAATACTACTAAATAATTAATATTCTTATTGATTAAATAAAATTTGACAATTTTTTATCCAAGTAAGCACCTGCCTTCATGTGCACAATTGAAATTTAATAACAAAATACACACCCATTATTTAAATACAATTTAATAATTATATTTCATCATCATAATTGATAAATTTTATATATTTTAGTATAAAATTATCTCAATTTATATATTGGATTAGGTAATCTGGGATTATTCTTACTTTTTTTCCCTCTCAAACTTATTACTGAATATAACTTTTAATGCAATTACAACAGTCTTTATAAGTAGGCAATTTTCAAAACATTATTTTTATTTACAAAATGGTTTGTAAATTAGAAGCTTAACTTTATATATCAGATGACAATTACGAATTTTTATTTTGTAAATAATCTCATGTTTTCAGTTTAATATTTCTAGATATAATCAAGAGGTTTATAACATTTTATAATATAAATAACAATAATTCTTATTTTAATAAATTTCAAGCTAAATCGTTGGTTTTTAGTAATTACATTATTATGATCTAAATGTATGTTAATGCAAGACACCTCCTGCTTATGCTGAATTATTTATTGTGTAAGATTTATTGGCACAGTTCATTTACAGATATAGATAGTAAATTAAATCAAAAAGAGATGAAGCAGGAAATTAAAATCAAAAAAATAATTAATAAATATTTCATATTAAATAGTTCTAAACAATTAAGATACTTTATCTATTAAGTCTCATAAGATTCAATTTAAATGCAAGCAATAAGATTTTTAAAATTAATGTTTGATTGATAAATTAATCTGCCCTATATTTCTAAATGGATATTTTAAGTTGAAATTGATTTTATTTGATGATTAATAAAATTATTAAAAAACTATTAATTAAATGGATTGGGAAAAGGACTTCTATGAATTTTTAATGGAAATTATTTGCAAATAGAATTCAATTAGGTTGCAGATGGCAAGCAATGATATAGTTACTGCCATGCAAAAGCTCCCTCCAAAGCATCCAGTGAACATGCACAGAAAATAATATGGAAACCTCTAATAGTGTTTTAAGGCAAAGAAAAATCCATTTTTCAGTTACACTGACAACTTGGTTGTATTATTGCCAAAGGATAAGATGGATTAATTGAATCAACATGGAGTATGGATTATTGTTTACTAATAATAATTAGCTGGTTCCTTTGTATTAGTTGTATGTTCAAACTTATGAAAGTGTGCAAAAGAAATTGATTGAAATAATGAAAATAAACAAGGAGAACCAATGCTAAGTGTGCGGAGTGGTCTACAAGGTATTGATAAATAGACAAGGGATGTGTGGAGAAGAAGAAGATCAGAAGGCTCATGTTCCAATGCATTAATTTAATATATTATGAATAATAATAAATTGATTATATTCGGAGAACAGAGTGAAAAGAATAAAAAGAAGTTGCAACAGTTTCTGATCACACATGATATCCAAATAAACAAAGACACTCTCGAGGCAGTTGTGAAAATCAAAATGGAAAAGAATGAGAATGAATATCTGAAACAAATACAAAGCAAAATATAGTACTATTAGAAGTAGTTGGCAAGCTTGCAACAATTTAAAGGAATCAATTATGACTTGAAATAGAAACAAAAGGAGAAGTATCAGTGTCAACTAGATGAGTTACACAACATAGAGGAAATTTGCTAACGTTCAGATAAATTCTCAGAATAGTTGAAAAGCCTCTTTTACGTGTGTTTACATTATCATTATTTGCAAAACATATTTGTTTCTCAGGAGATCAAGTTAGAAGAAATCCTAGAAATATTTAAAATGGTCTTTTTCAATCTACAAACTACTACAAACAAGGATTAAAAAGTATTGTAATTTTGTGTATAACATTATAAATCCTTGTAAAAGAGTAAAGAACAATCTAATCATTCTAAAAATTTATCAATAGATACGAAATCCCAAACTTCAGGATATTCCAGAGGAGGTGTTGAAAATAAGACACCCTCCAGAAGTACAACACCAAAAAGACAATAGATGTGCAATAAAAGCATTGTCGAATTGTCAACTCCCTAATTAAAGAACTACTATACATAGATGCTTAAAAAAATCAATGTAAATAATCCAAGACCGTCAATCGACAAAAGTTCTTCCATTCAGAAAGAAAAGGACAAAACCAATTTTAGAGTTTGATAGATTTGAAAATCATTGAATTTTTATTACTAAAACATATTAAAATCTAGTATTCACTTAAAAATAAAAAATACTTAAAATCTTAATTTTTAATTATTCTCAATTTGTGATTTGACATCAGAGAAATAAATATAAAAGAAAAATAACTAAGATATATGATTATATCAAATTTCAATACAGGCAATCGATAGCTTGGTTTATTTTCTCTCTGCTTTTCTAATTTGTAATTGATCTACTTCAGCCAAAGTATTAGGTCTGAATTCTTTAATGAATTCATTAAATGGAGTTCCTAATTAATATTTAATTGAATCAGCTTGATCAACGATTTCCTACCAGTTGTCATACAAATCTTCACCCATTTTCCCATTGTTTTCTATTGTCATTTCAAAAAGTTTTTCAATTTTGCTTATATAGGTTTCATTCACTCTAATATTTTTAGTGAAGCTTGAAAGCGCATTATATTAGTTCTATGGAGGGAGATCTCTAATTAAATGATGAAATTCGAATTTATTCTTTTGAAGTTCTCTTTATCTTTTTAAAAAATCCTAACTAAAATTATGATATTTATAAAATTATACTAATAATTACAGATTCTTTAATATCTGATTGGACTGAAATATTTCAACCATACTTTTAGATGAGTTACTATTTCTTTTGAAAGATCATTAAATTTGTGTTTTTTTTATCCGATAAAATGAATCCAAGGCTCCTCTTTAAGTAATTTCAATTCTGAATTTTTAAGATTTTTATTCAATTCAGCAGACAACATCCAAGTGAGACATTCAAAAACACTTTTAATAGTATTCTCTCTCCATTAATTGACACCAGTGATCTTAAATAACTTTTTTCTCGCCTCTTCTCCTTGAGCACGACAATCCTCCAATTCAGACAAAGTCAATGATTAGGCTGAGAAGAAAGTATCAAAGTATTCATGACCCACCCAATGATAAGTGGTTGGGAATGTGAGAGCTGCTTATTCAGTTCTTCTTCTTTCCAATTTTGTTTTTGGTTTTACTTTCCTTCTCTACTCTTTCAACCTGATTTCATGTTGCATTAAGGAATTTTCTTTGGGTTCATACTCAGGTGCATATTTTCTCACTATGTCCTATATTTTAGATTTTAGGATGGTTCTCCTATAAAAAAATAATTAAAATTGATTACTCGTCATTGAAGATGTAATTTTGATTTCCTTCTTGCCTCAACACTTCCTAACTTAAGGGATGCAATTCAGCCATGATTTCCTTATATTTTTTGGTGAATGTTTTGACTTCTTAGTGATACCTATCCACAAGTTGGCCAAAATATTTCAATTGTTCGCAAAGACGAGTCAAGGTCTGTTAATTGATAGATTTAGTCAATTTGTCTGCTTTGTGTACATCCAAGTATTTCCTGATCAAATTAATTTGGCTATTAATTTTCTCTTCTAAAAATGGTGCCAATCTGTAAGCGGATCTCAAATAACTTAAGAAAGAGGAGCAGATGAATGGCCACAATTGCAATTTAAAATCTCCACAAATTCCTGTATCACAAATTATCAGTTACTCTTTCTCATCTTAAACAAATTTGTCTTCAATTGCAAAGGCCACTACACTGCCCTAAGTATAAATAAGAATCCATACAAAATTCATTAGTTTCTTAAGACTTTCCGAAGCGAACTCCTAATCAAAGTTTTCAATTTTGCATTCGAATTTAACACTGTCCCCTTTTGAATCGTTGCACACAAGAGAACACAAATACCATATTTTGAAGGCATCAACCAAAGTGACATTTTTGTAAGACTGCAATTTGACTATCCTCATCATTAAGTCATGATAAGATACAATCCTTTGTCGAAGTTGCTCAGTATATTTAAGAAGGTCTTAAGCAACAATTAAAAGCTATGGTATAAGTGTCGATATACTTTGTCTAATTCAGGCAGAGTGGTCAATTTAAGATCGCCCTCGATTTTTTAAAACTCATTAATTCTAGATGAAGCACTACTTCCCATTTTTAATTTTATTTATATAATCTAAATTTTATATGCATTATATGTTATAATTATTCATTACTCATAAAACTGCTGCAAAGGCAAAGAATCCCGTTATGGTTCCCAATACATATTAATATATTGTCTTATTCGAATTCGTGGAATTCGCATTATTGGATCCATTCTCCAAGATCCTGGAACATTGCATGCATCTGTTACTGAGAGGACTCCAAGAATAGGTATAAAAAGAATAAATATAACATTCTTCCGCAGTCAAAGTAGTTGCATCAATTTAAGAGCATTTACCTTGAATCATTTTGCAAATGTGATATTTGTCATTTTTCCAAGTCTTGAAATATTGACATTGACCACTCTAGAGGGAATAGGATAGACATGAATGTTCAGAGCAGCGAGATAACTCATTTTATGAGGAATCCCAAAGACACCTGTCATTGGCTAAATTGCATGCACTTTCATCATTATTTGCATCATTACAAGAATTCATAACTTAACATGTCCTTAAATTCTCATCCCAGACACAAATACCATCAACTCCTGAAATATTACATGCTACTTTGGTGTTATATTTGGCACATTTATCTTTGAGTACACACTTTTCACCATCAGAAATGCAATCCTTAATTGAACTGCATGCATTTTAATTAGTGCCTTGTTTTATTTCTTGACATTGTTTTATACGACAAGTTCCCTCACTCCAAAAACAAGGTCCATCAATTCCCTTTCTAGAATTGCAGATGCTTTCATCAATATACATCTAACAACTCTGCTTCTCAACACATTTCTCTCCATCCGATGTACAATTCGTTAATATTTGTGAGCATTCGTCTTCACTTTTGAATACAAGATCAGAACACACTTATTCCCTACAATTTTAGTTTGATTCATCCCATGAGCATTTACCAGTTGATATTATGGAACCCAAATCATCAAATTATATTCCCTTATTATTAAGATGACAAGATTCTTTAACAGCGTAATGCTCACACGATGTTAAATCTCTGCATCCTGTTTCACCATTGGTTGTACAGAAAGAATGAGCTTATTAACATTCTTCATGTGTCAAATAATAGGCAGTACTGCAATTGATGAATTTAGAACATGTTTTGGATTCAGTAGAATGCAATGAAGGTACAGTTTGAATACATTCCCCATCTGTTCCTGTGACACATCCTCCATTTATATTTGTGCTTCTACATTCAGTTATAGGTACACACTACTCTCCATCAGTAGTACAACTATTGGATGCTAATTTACACTCTGCATCAGTCTACCATTTAAGACTTTGACAAGAATCAAATTAAAAGCAAGCACCCTTTCCATCCTTAAAGTGTTCTATCCATAAACACACACCATCAGTGCCTTTTACACAAGACATCTTATTCAAATATGATGAACATTCTTATAAATCTGCACATTATCCCCCAAATCCTATAGTGCAATCTGCTCTATTTTTTGAACATCCAAAGTAAGTTAATTCTGTAAAGTCTGAGCACATTTGTTTTCTGCATTTGGATGTCGTTTGATCCCAAAGACATGTGTTTCCATCCTTATCGGTGGTACAACCATCAATTACATCGACATCTTGACAAGTGCTTTTTTCTCTACAGCCACCTCCTTTTTTTAGAGTACATTGAATGTTATCAGATTTGTAATATTCATTGCATTCTTTCTCTGATTTTATATACATTGGTGCAGATGAACAGGATTTATTTACACATTACGCTTTGATATTATTCATAAATTGATCAACCCATTGACAAGGCTATCCAAATTAATCTGCAATACATTTTGATTGAATATTAATCTAAGAACAAGTAGTAACTGTTAAGCATTTCTATTCATTCTCATTCCAATAGCATTTATTACCTTAAGAATCTTTAACACATGCACTTTCGAAATCAATGGCACTACACCTAGTATTCATTGTACAACCTCCTGATTTTTTAGCAATACAATTTGAATTAGGTAAGTATTTTTCACAATCATCATTAGTGATCAAATCACTTGCAGCTGTTTCACATGTCTTAGTTCTGCACCCAATCTGATCATCTGGTTTTCCAATACAAGTACTCATATAGGTAGAGCAGAGTTCATCCCCTTTAAAATTTGAATCTTCACATTTCTTCTGAGTACAAAAGACTCCAGTCCAAATACATGGATTTCCTTCTGCATCCTTTTCACAAAACTCCTCCTTCAAAGCTGATGTACATCCATGATTTATGGAGCATCCTTGTCCATTTGTGATACAATTGCTTGATAGGTATGAACACTGTTGATTAGTGACATAAGAGGGTGGAGCATTCTCACATAATTTCTCTTTACATTAATCTCCAGTCCAAAAGCAATCATTTCCATTAGTATCCTTGATACAAGCATCCTCTATCTGAGCATCATTGCATCTCAACCTCATTGTGCAACCACCATTAGCCTTGGTTGTACAATGTGACAAGAACTCCTTACATTGTGCATCTGTCTTTAGGGATGTTAAGGCATTTTCACATGTTTTATCTCTACATTTGCCTTCAGCCCAAAAGCATTCCATACCTTGTTGTCTATCACTAACACAAGATACGGCACTCACTGCATCAGCACAACTCCCAGATTCCACACATCCTCCTCCTAACTTGGTTGTACCTTATATATAAGTCTAATATAAATACAAAATTGAAGTTAGGTTCTACACTCCGAGTCACTAATCAAGAATGTGGGAAGATCATTACATTCCTTAACCTATTCACACCTCCTATTTTGAGTATTCCAGTAGCAGTATTTCCCTTTCTTACTTATGACACATGATTTTTGGTAGGTGTATGTATTACATTCATCCAATTCGACGCATCTTAAACCATCCGAAAAGCAATCCTTAGATATCTTTTTACAATCGTCATCATTAGATTTCACATATGAAGTGCATCCTGTAAACATTAGGCATTTGTTTTCAAACCAAGCACATCCATTCTAATTAGGACATTCTATCTGACTAAAGTGATCGCAGTATAACGAACTTGACTTAGCCTCCACTTACTTCAGAGGACTTGTGGACACTATGGTAGACTAGTATTGATTCGACTCCAAGCAGGTCATTTAGATAGAGTTCCATCGGCAAGATCCTCTTAAATTGCAATCTAATTCAGTTGAAAGATCCTAGCATTTGCATTGGTCTCCTATTGAAATATATTGAGAGGAGACCAATACTTAAACCAACATAAAGAGACTCATAACATTTATAGTATTCATTTTAATTTATTGTGAATCATTTAATATAATTAACAGTTCCACTTAAATCATACAAGATCTTAATAATATTTAAACCACCCACTCTTTCTTAATCGATTCTACTATCATTTTTAAATTATTCTATTAATCATTTCTCATCCATCAACATCAAAATCAACTTGAACATCAATTTCAATATCATTAACAAGTGTTTCCAATTGTGCATGACACATCAGTTTAATTTTCGATATTGTTATTAATATTAATAAAAATGAAATAAAAGAATATTCAATTTATAGGAATATTTGCCAAGGATCAATAAATGGCCCAAGAATGTCTATTCAATCTCACTTAATATGCACTTTAGTTATTAAACTAGCAATATTAGAATGATTAGGAGTTATAAAATATGCTGAAACAACTAAAACAGGTTTACAAATTTCCTCCTAGCATTCACTTGACATCTCTTTTTGTGGGCAACAATCCAAAACACTTTAAATTGCAAGCTTTCACTGACTTCAAAGAGAACTTGGAGCAAGACCTGGTTATTGATGGTATTGCCATTAGTCCCAACAACATTGTGACAGCCATTTCGAATCACAATTATTAAATACCTTTGACTAATAAAGTATGTATGATATCAAGCTGTTTTAAAAGCATTCTCATATTACTACTTTGTTGGGATCGTGGAAACCCAAGGATTCCAACACAATGATGGAGGAAATCTTTAAACAACTCTCTTATGAGGAAATGCAAAAGTAGGTATAGGAGGACAAGCTTTGGAAAATTCAATTGCTCCAAGGCCAATTTGCTTATGTGGTCTAATTTAAAAAAAAGACTGTCATACCTGGGGTATGTAAAATGCATTGAGTATAAATAACAATCAAAATTTAATAATTTGTTTAAATTATATGAATACAAGGCATGACCAATAAGACACTTAGAAGTCCTTGTTTTGGGAGCATTCCTAATCTTTGCCTCCATTCTTCGCTGAAAATATTTTATATTTAGAAATGGAAGTGGAATGCAACAATGTCACAATCGAGGTGGTCAATCAATTGTTAGAATTGTATCGAGTACTATTCATATATCCAAATAGATTGGAGTAGAATATTTCGAATCCATTAAAAGCAACAAGTTTTTGATTTTCAAAAACAAAACTTAATAGTTATTGATGAGAGGAACTGTAAATCAATGCATGAATGTTGCATATGAAGAATTGAAACACGAAACTGCCTTAAAGAAATCCAAACATGTTTAAAGCCACGACTTACTTCCTCCACCATCTCCAAAAGTCAACATTCCTTAAAAATCCTAAAAATAATAAGAGCTGGAAAATCAACTCAAATACATCAAAGAACAAGATTAAAAGTTGCAAGTGAATCAACTCCTAGAATTCCATGGTTATGAATCCCAGAGAGTTACAAGAATCCATAACAAGTTCTAATATTCATATTACATAGAGCATTACAAGAATAAGAAGATCAAGTGTAATTGAGATTACAAAGACGAAGACTACAATCAGTTAAAATCAAAGGATAAAGAGAATGATTCATTACTAATTAATAATAATTCTATCAAATTATCTGTAATTTATTTGCCATCTCTATTTATAATTATATTATGTCTAATTACTTATGATAATTACTCAAAGTCTTTTTCAAACTAGTAATTATAATAAAACTCTAAATTCTTGAGGTAAGATATCAATATCGAAAGAATCCTAAATAAAGTTAAAATAATAACATTTATACTTAATTAACATATCATCATCAATTATAAAATCTCTATCAACATTAAAGAACACACAATCCAATTAGAAGAAAAAAGGAAAATAACATAATTTTAATTAAAAGTAAAAATTATAATAACCATCCATAACGCCTATTCATTTTTAAAGCCCTTTGATGTTTGGATACAATCCCAATGATATAAATAACCCAAATCTGAATTTAAAAGTTAATAAAGAGCTTAAGTGTTGAGGTTTATGGAATTCAGAATTACATTTCCGTTTTTTAATTTAAAGACAAGAATAATCAGAAGGGCTGGGCTCAAATAATAATATCTAAGTCAATCATGAATCATTTTAGTATAAATATAAGCAAATTTTACAATAAATAAAGATTTTATGCTGATTTACTCAAAAAATCAAGCTCCAAGAATGTATAAACAATTGAAAGACTTTATAAGGCAGGGCTGAGAGTTAATTAGATAGAATCATCAGATCCTAAAAGAATGGTATGATAAAATAAAAATTTGGTTCAACCCAAAATTTAAACCCAAAATAATTAAAGAAGTATTGATTATATTACCAAAGTTTAGGCATAAAATAAACAAGCTAATAGGGTTTATTCTCTAATCAACATTTAAAGTTAACTATTGAGAATGTAATTTACAGAGATGATAATAAATTGACTACTTTATGTATTCACGATTCTTTAAGAATTTCAAGTATCTATTAATTAGACCTGAAATTTTAATTGGATGACAAATATTTTTGTGACTCGTAGAAATATGTAATGAAATTAAAATTGTAATATTTATTTATTTAAATTAAGTTTTTTTAAAATGTACAAGAATGGATTGGAAGGAAAATCATCAAATTCGTTTTTTAGTTATAGACAATTTAATCAATACAAATAAAAATCATTAATATAGTCTAGGTTGTTATCGTTGTCTTTCTCTTATATAATGTGAATTAGGTAAGTCGAATCTAACTTTTCGGGATTCTTATTGTTAAGTTCTGAATGAATCATCATTTTTTTATTTTTTTTTTAATACACTTCTTATGGTAACACTCTTTTAGTCATCAAATAGATCAGCAGTGCGTGATCTATTTTTTAATTATTGTTAATCTGTAATCACAGACAAGGACTGCTTATTCGAAATAGGTCCAATACTGACTTAGGTTATGGGATGTGAGATTTTGGTAGGAGAACTTTCTTTGGAAATCGAAGGGTGTTGATTTAATATTGGATTAGACATGGTTCGATTGTTTGTGACTTCTAGAGCAGTAGTTGTGGGCGTCTTCATAGAAGCACTAGGATCTTAGATTGACTGAATTTAATCCAGACTTTGTTTATTTTCTAAATTCTTCTTTGAATTTTGAAAATGAGGCGATTCCATTTTGATTTCATTGGTGTTTAGTTTTTTTTCTGTGACTTGCTGGAATTAAAAGTCGTAATCCTCTTTTTTGAAATAAATCTATCCTATCTTAAAAGCTTGATCCCTTATTTTTGGTTTACGCTTATTGTCTTATTAACTATGGTCAGTTGGTATGTTGCATTCTTGGGACAGCAAATATCTTTCGACTGAGTTTGGAGATTTATTAGTAGCTTTGCGATAGGTGGAGAATTTGGTTTTATTTTAAGAACCACTAGAATTCGATTAAGCAGGAGACCCAGCCCTACTTTTCTGATTTTCAAAACGATTGGATCTTCTCTATTTGTCTGAGTTGATATTGTTTACCATTTAATCCTAAGTAATCCTTCTTCTTCTAATCTCCCTCGATTGTTCCTCAAGCATAATGGTATTTTCACTACCGCACTAGCAGCCAAGTCTGCCTTCTTGGCATGTGCATCTGCAAAATTTCACTTAGCAAGTACCCATTTATATTGAAATAAATATTGCATATAAGATCAATTTTTTTATATATTTTCTATCAATTTAAGAGTTTGGACACAATCCAATTTTGCTTCCTTTCCAGGTTTAATGCACAAAATGAGAATGCCTTTATCTTTTTTATCTCTAATGAATCCCTGCAGTCCTCTACATACAATAACGTGTTAGTCACTCTGAGCAATTAATTAATAATTCTTCGAACCACTCTTGACACTTTTGATTGTCGATTTAAGATCGTCATTCACTTGAATATTGAGTTATTTGTCGATTTGATCTGTTTGGATGAATAATTTAAATTGTTTGGGCATAACTTTCTTAATGAGTTCTAAGAACAGTTTGAATTTGCCACTATGATTCAATCCCACTATTGTGGTTTGTTTTTATGGAGGAACATCATTTGAACTGCTCAATACAGGTTGCTTCAAGTAATAATATTTAAGAGAGTGCACAGTTCCATCTTGATTTAGTTTCTTGACTTCGATTCTTTGGGGAGTCATCAACTTGATCTCATCGTTCAATCTATTGGCAATAGGAAAGTAGAGATATGGCTATTAGAGGATCGATTGATGACTCGATTGAGTGGCAATCCTACTTTCATTGACTGGCTTTGATTCGTATTGATTTATGAAGCTCTTTAAACTATTCAAGTATTCCCTGGCTGCCTTTGGGGACATCGCCTATCTTAGTGTGGGAGATTGGTATTGAGACACAATTGATTGATCGTTCAGTTTTTCTTAGGGTCGATTCTATCGTACCAGTGGAGTTTTGGTAATGATCTGGCCATACGGAGACTTGATTAAGGAAGTTTAGCTGTTACTATAATACATTATTATTATAACAGATAAATATATTTATAATTGCAGAAGATTTATAACTATTTAATTAATTAACAGATTAAATAAAAATTATGAATAACTCAAGATCAACTGCTAGAAAGGGCACCAACAATCTTCCAGTCTAAACAGGAGACATTGAAGAATATATGTAGCATTCTTAATTCACCATAGTCAAATCTTGTATGACCATCAGAAGAGCTGTGAGAAGGCTGGGAAATATTTGGAGGCTGATCAAGCAAAAAAGAGACTTGCTGAGTTGAAAAAAGAATTGGATCAGAAGAATAAATATGAAGTCAAGGACAGACATACCAATGAAAAATAGGAGATCGAAAAGGCCCATCTAGATGAGTTTAATCAATTTAACGAATTCTGGGATTAAAAAATGGCTGAATTTGATTAAGAAGCTCAAAGAGTTAAAGAACAAGTCTTATAAAGACACGACGAAGAATTAAAACAATTTACAGATGAACTAGAGAACTCTATTCCAGTCAAACCCAAAGACTCTGCCGAATTACTCAGTTTGAGGAAGACTGAAGAGTCATTAGCCAGACAAGAGAAGTATCAAATTCAATCCTACCAATAGTTATTAAGAGGCTCATCTCACCCAATAAAGGATACTTGCTATGGAGAGAGATGAATATGAAAAATGGAATGCGTCAAGAACCAGCAAAATCAGAAATCTAATCTCTTAACTTAAGTTAAAACAAACCAATGAATTAGGTGCTTTGTAACAAAGAATCTTATCTGGATAGGAAGAATAAAGGAAAATTAGATCATAAGAATTAGAGAAGTATATTATACATATACATTAATAGATTGCTTTAAAAATATTAGAATGTCAGAAAGGAATTGACTAGTTAATAAAACTAGGAAATTACAAGACTTGATAAAACTATGAAGAACTAATCAATTATGTAATAGTCTAGAATGAATTCTTCCAAAATGATGAACTCCTAAATGAAGAAAGGAGATGAAGAAAACTTCTATATAAAATGATGATTCATATATAAATATATAACTATAACTTAAACATTTATATCAATAATAAATAAATTTGACAACTTTAAGAGAATTACAAAAATTGTATCAAATATTTCCCCTCCAATCAGTAATTCATTATCTAATGAGTATGATTGTTTAAATAAAGCAAGTTAGATAATTATATCTATAAGCAAACACAATTTTAAACTATAACTAAACTCGGCAATAAATTATTAATTTTATCCTTCCTATACTAAAATAATACTTGAAATTTATAATTTACAAATATTAAAACAAGCTAGATTGAAAAGGGTGTATTTAAAATTTGATGAATAATTAATGATATTAAAATAGAAGTCTCATTAACAACCTGGACATTTATAGTTTTCAATTTATTCAGCTTCTTCTGACTTAAGATTAACACAATCTAAATGAAACCATTCTTCACATGTTTCACATTGAATCACTTATAAGTCTGGGTTCTGAGGCATTCTACAGACACATGATTTCTACCATTCACTGACTTTAGGCATAGGTTCCATTGTTTTAAGATCAATGGCTGCTCTACTGAAGAATTTAGTTTCTTCTCCATATTCTAATTATGTGTACTGATCAAATGTCATCACTTCTATTGGACATTATAGTTTATTAGCAGCTAAAAATTCCACATGAGTTGAGAAGAACAATTCTTTAATTGAAATACTCCTCATTGACTTTTTGTCTAAATTTAAATCCTATTTGGTGTAATACCTACAAGTAATATGAATAAGCAATTACCATTGAACTTAGATTACTGGAACATGTTAATCATTTTTATCCTTAATGCAATAGATCTTAATTAGCTTTCCATAGTAAATATCGTTATTATTGGCACAGACAGCGACATCCTATTTCAATCTGAAGATTTAATTCTTTATTTTTATGCAACTATATTGTTTAAGTCTAAGATAAATAAATTGGTTGACCTTTGTGGATCTTTTCTAGAAATCAGTTAAATGAGTGCAGAGTATTTTTACTCTTTGATTAACTCATCTATTTTGTTTTACTAAATTGCAGAATCGTCTTCTTTCATAATATTAATTTTAATTTCTAAGTCATCACTCCTTTCTAACAAATCAAAGTCCTGAATATATTTTGAATTATTTTATAATTTTAAAAAAGTATGGAATTTATTTTATATATAATTACTTAATATTTACAAACAGTATAAGTTGATAAACATCTTAATTCTAAAATTAAATAAATTCCTACTCTAAAATAAAGATTATAATAATTTCTCATTCTCTGTATTATTCAGAAAATCAATCAAATATAATAATACTAAGTATTCTTTATTTGGAAGCATACTTTCAATCGAAAAGGACTTGAAAATAATAAAAAAATCAGTTATATTAATCGAATTTGATTAAGTATTATTTAATATAAAAATGAAAAATCAAACTAAAGTGAAAACATCTAAAAAGTAAATGATTTAACAACTTTTAGTGCTCCTCAGATAATTTTAGATCTAATAGAATAAGCCAAATAAACCAGGTTATATTTATTGAAGAGAATTGGGCCAACTAGTTTAAAGTATTGTGATGAGGATGGAAACAAATTTAAAGTAGAATTATCGACTACTATGATCTGTTCTTGCAATCAGAATAACTAGCATTGCATTCATACAATCCATGCATTATTAAAAGTGTTTCAAGTGGATGAAAAATGCCCCATTCTATGGTAACAATAATATTCTCAATATGATATCACAAATATTTTAAATGGATAATATAAAACCAAATCATAATAGACTAAAACAAGGCAATAGATAAGTGTGATCAGATAATAACAGCAATAAGTATAGTAAAATAATACTAATTCTGAAGATCAATAATTAAATCGATAATAAATAACAGAAGATGACATGTGTCCAATATGCCAAGAGACTTTGGTATGTAATGAAGCCTTAGTGCATTGCAAAAAGTAATGTGGAAACAATTTCCATGCCAAATGTATGAAGGTCTGGGTGATGCAAAAACAAACAGCTGGCAAGAAGATAAATTGCCCCATGTGTAGAGTTGACTGGGGTGACACTGCCTTGGTTGAAATAAGACAAGAGGAGAAGATATTTGAAAACCTACACAAGACTCACAACAAAATATGTAGCTATTGCAAAATAACACCTATCATCGGCACCATATACACATGCATCTCATGTCCAAATTATCATTTGTGTGATAAGTGTCATAGTAAAAAGATCCATTAGTAACACATCTTCATGTTTAAACACACGAGACTTGAGAAATATGTATTTGAAGCCAATTGTTCGTATGAATCATTAATGCTCATATTCCCTGAAAATTTAAATGCTGGTAATCATGAAACTGGAGGACTGATGTTGGTAGGCACTGGATTCCAGAAACAAAGCAAATGTTCCTTCTGTCATAAATAAAAGTAACTGAGACTATTGTAATGTGGCCATATTGCAGATGAAGGTTGTCTTAACAGAATGAAAGAACATTGTTACTTGTGTCCCATCGACAATCAACCTCAATTTGTTGGATTGTTTAATAATCTCTCATCGGAAGAAAAGGCTTTCCATCTGGTAGAAACAAAAAAATGGGTCATCCAAAAAGAAGAAGAACACAGTATTTAAAATCATAAATTACCTCCTATTGGAAAACACTTTTCAGCTAGGCCTAAATAACTTAGTTAAAAACACTTTGATAATTCTGATAATAAATAAATTAAAACCTAACAGTTAAAATAATAGTAACCAATCAAAAGATAGTTATCAGCCAATAGAAGACAACTAGACAATCCTTTATTTATTAAATCAGTTAGATCTCAAATGGAGAATATCATATGATTTTATTAATATAAATAAGTCTTTACACTTAATTTGCAATTAAAATGTACAACTATTATTCTGAATACAGAATTATAGGTATTTCTTTTCATTAATTTCTTCAAAATAATAATAATTTATTAAAAGGAAATGGTAGTAGGATTATTATATATAAAGATTATTTCAATATCTGCATCTTTTACTGATTGCCATTGATTTTCTCTCTTATCTCATACATGCATCCTAATATAATCTCTGATGTGCATTTGATTTAGTATTAGTATTAGTATTCATGTTTGTATTTGTTTTTATATTACTTTTATTTTTTATTACTCCTATCGATAATTTTGAAATTTACTATTCTGATTTAAGGATTCTGAAATTCTTTATTTACATATTGACGATTTTAAATGTTGTTGTTCTTTAGGCTTTGTAATGTTTGAGTTGTATTACAGAAGACTCTATTAAGGTGGTCGATTTTCTTGTTCTTCTTAATTTACCTTGTTCTTATTAACCAGATTCATTTAACTAGGAGAATATCACTTATAAATGGTTACATGAATTTTAAAAAGGAATCATCATCATCACTTTTTGGTTGTGGTATAACAGTCAAGGATACAGTTTAATTATTAAGTGATAAATTATTCATTTTTTAACTAGAAAGTGACTTAGATTAAGATTGCTATAATGAAAATGAATTATTTTCTGTGTTTTTTTTATCCATTTCGTATATTACTTTGTTTCTGATTTGTTCAGTTATTTAGGTATAATTAGTATTACCCTCACATTTTTATGGAGATCTATATATCAATGGTAATTATTGAGATATGTTATAAGTGCTCAATTCTGATTTTTAAGATTACGTGGACAGATAGTGTTGATGAAGTTGATGAAAATTTACTCTTGTTGATGGTAGATCATCAGTGGGTTTTGCTTAATTATAATTGCATTGTTTTTGCACTTCTCGAGAAGTCAAGTACGATTAAGAAATTGTCGAATTTTATCTTTATGAGACTTACACTGAATTTCTGTTGAAAGATGTATCTGACTATGGTTCTACTCGGTCTGTTTAAGTATCAACAGATTATCTAGTAAACTGCAATTGTGTTATTTATTATATGGGGATGCTTTTTTAAATGGATTGTTGATATGCATTTTGTTTTGCTAATTATGCTTGTTATTTTCTAAAATTGATTATGAAATCTCTGATTGATGGAGATACTTCATCCCTGAGAGCTTTAGATTCTTATTATTCTTATGAACACATATATTCGTTAATTATTATTTTATATATGCAATATATATTAATGTCATAAATAGTAGTCATTTATTTGGCTATTGAGAGTAGACAAATATGCTTTGGATTGACATGAGTATGAATTTGAATTATTACGTTAAAATTCGGTAAATAAATTTAAAATCTTGATTAATGAATAGAATATATAAATATTTAACTAAATTTGCAGTAAGATTATTGAGGATGAAAGTGGAATGCTAAGCAAAATCAGGAGATATAATACTTCTAATTTAAATTAAGAAAATATTAATCATAAATAATCTGATGCATTGTATGCTTTTTTATTTATTGAAGATAATGATTTTATAATTTCTGTGACATTGTGATTTATTGAATGTTGTTTGACTTCTTCATCGGTATCGCAATCGTCATCTTAGGTCTAAAGATATAAATTTATTTTTACTCTTTTTTTTAGTTTGCATAAAATTTCTTTAGGAAATTTTAAATATTTCTCATTATAACAAGGATAGGAGACATATGATTCTTATTTCGGATTAAAAAACTTAGCATCTGGCAATCTTCCAAGAATCTTTTAATATTGATTGCTCATTGAAAGCTTCATCTACATTTTCTGCTATTATCGTATAGTATCGTAATTGGTTAGATCATTTAACTTACGAATACCATCAGATCTGATATATTTTGTAGAAAGTGTGGAACTAAAAAAATGAGCGCAAATTTTTACTTATTCTCTTTAGTTTACATTAGATAAATTAATTATAAAAAGTGTGATTAATAATTTTAATTTATCAAATACAATCACACAATCATTTATAATTTAAAGAAATAAATAAATTTAATCTATGATATGGGAAAAATGGTAGTAGAGAACCCCCAATATAATTATAATTTATTATAAAATGATAATATTGATGATATCCATAGTCACTTGCTTCGAGGTCAATCTGACAAATCTCTAAGACAATTATTATAGCATGCCCATCCAAGCAAATGATATAACTTACAATCTATTGGTGGATACTGGAAATGAAGAAATGTGGATATTCGGCAAGAATTCCAATAGAAAGACATACTATCAATGTGAGAAGTGCGTTCCAACACCTAATAAAACATATGATAAAACAGAAGGCAGAATTTTTGGAGTTGAGTACAATCAAACATTTGTACTAATGAATCAATCTCTGACTTTGTAAGTAATTGAGGCATCAAAGGTGGAACATTTCTATTCAATTATTGCCGATGGTGCAATTGGACTTAGCAGATCATAACTGTCCAAAGAAGGTAATTTATTGAGGAAATTGTATGATTCCAAGGTGATTGATTAGATGCAATTTGGACTTTTATTAAATGAATAGAATTGTTAACCGACATCTATCTTAATTCTTGGAACACCCATCAAACATCACTACATCAATGAATTACAATATGTAAAAACTCTAAACTCATAGTAATGGATGGTAAAAGGTTCTTCAGTTGAAATTGTTGGCAAAAACAATAAGAAAGAATTGGAGTCAAGTTCCCAAATTATTGTATTTGATAGTGGAGAACCCAAAATCTTAATATCAAGGGATAAATTCAATAAGCTTATTACTATTTTTAATGAGAATTACAATCTGGATTGTTAAAAGGAAACATCGAATCAAATCAATGAAATTGTGTGCTCCTACAATGAATAATCATTTCCTGAATTGAATATTAATATTGATACTAATCTTAGTTTAACACTCTTACCTCAAGATTACATTGCGAGTTGCGAGTACAATTACTATTTGTAGCATAAATGCTTATTAAATTTTCAATAGATAGATAACACTGATGTGCTTGTATTGGGTATTGTATTTCTATAAAAGTATTATATCCATTATGATATTAATACATTTTAAATTGGCATTGCTAAATCCATTTATTATTGTAAGATATAAAATAATTTTAGAAAGGGATAAATTGAATTAATTCAGAAGCACTTCTCAAAATAATAGTATGCTATACTTCTCGCTCTTCTTAGTATTAATTCTACTAATAGCAATTTACATCGTATTAAGAATGCTTCTAAAAAAATCTATGCCTCTGTACTTATCTGTATTGGAGAAATCCTCCTCGAGATCATAGGAACAAGAAATGGAGGCAATCACATTCAAAACGCAATCAAATAGCCAACCACCATTATCATCGTGAAGTTATTGAATTGTGTATTATTCGTTATAAATAGAATATATTATAGTTAAGTCTTAAAATCGAAGCTTCAAGAAACAGACACAAATGAAGCGCCTTACTTAATTACTCAGATTGATATTTTACCTATTATTGAGTGCAATTACATAATAATATAAATGTTAGTTCTCAACTCTATTATTAGATCATAATTTAACTTAAGATAGCAAATTCTATAATTTTAACATTTAAATTTATATATATACAATACAAGATTTAATTTTTTACATATATTAATAATTATGATCAAATATAGCCAATGTGGAGAGTACAACATAATTGAGAAATTAGGCGATGGCTATCATTCAAAGTATTTTCTTAATTTAAGATTGTTAGAGTCAAATTAGGTGAGAAAGATGGAAAGAAGGTGGCGATCAAAATTTTCAAGAAGAAGCACGATACACCTTCAATCATCATGACACTTGCTAATGAAATTAAAATTCTCAAATTATTGCAACACCCTAATGTGATCAACCTCATTGAATACGGAGATGCTTATCTTTATAGGGTATTACATCACAAATATATAAATAGAGAAAAAATGGATAAGTTTAGAAACGTATTTGCTTGATCTTGGAATTAGCCTCAGGTGGAGAACTCTTCCATTATGTCGCAACTTCAGGACCGTTTGCTCCAGAAGCATCAAGATATTATTTTAAATAGATACTGTCCGCTATGATATTTATGCAAAACAAAGGAATTTGTCATAGAGATTTGAAATTGTAAAATGTATTATTGGATGAGAATTTTAATATTAAAATTGCTGATTTTGGATTTGCCAAAATAATGGATGCAGCAAATCTATCTTAGAATCTTGGGACTCCTGGTATTATTCCTTTTCATAACATTTAGGATATAAAGCTCCTGAAATAGAGGCAAATCTTCTTTATAATGGAACTAAAGCAGATATATTTTCTGTTGGAGTGATTCTGTTTATACTTAATTTCAGATTTCCACCCTTCAAAAAAGCTACTGAATAAGATTCACATTATAAATTGTTAATAACCAATAATAATGTTAAATTTTGGTAGAACTTTAAACAAAGTAACAAAAATATTGAGTTCAACAATGATTTAATGTACTATCAAATAAAAAACATTTTTTAGAAACTTGCTGGATGGAATGTTAGCTCCTGATCCAAATAAGAGAATTACTTTGGATTAATGCATGGAGCATCCGTGGACCAATGGGCCAGTCGCTACTCCATAACAGATTTAATATGAATTCAAATAAAAATTGGAAAAAATACAAGCTTTTGCCTAGGCTACCAAGCTGTAACTATAAGCCTAAATGGCTAGAGCAAAATGTATTTTCATCCTTCATCTTAGAAAATCAAGGGGAATACAGGAGCATACTTGGAGAACCAGACCAGGAAAATTTCACTTCTACAATTGAACAATATAATTTGGATTTGGACAAAAAAACCTTAAAAAAAGGGATTGTTAATGGAATACCAAATGAAATCTTACTTTATCAAGATCCAAATTTTTTATTCTGCTTCTTGTTAAAGTATTGTGATGAATTCAATTCAAAAGTGGTTAAGATCTATGAGACTAAATATAAGGTATACTAATTATAATTACTCTAAGATCAACTTCAAAGCTGAAGACACCTTAAATGAAACCATCTTATATTAAATAGAGATTCTTGATTGCGGAGATGAGATGATTAAATTGATAATTACCAAATAAGAAGGAAATTATCTAGATTTTAAAGTGCTCATCTCTAGAATAATAAAAGTTCTATAAAATATTGAAGAACAGAACTAAATTTAATAATAATGAAAGTATAATATTTAAAGAATCTAAAATTACATTTTCAAAGTTTTATTTAAGGTTGTTATAAGTTTTCTAATATTGGATTCATATTTTATCTTTAGTTCACATAATAAACATTTTTAGTTCAAATTATTTAAGAATTTTTAAACTATATTAATATAATATATAATTATAATGCTATTAGATTTAAGAACGATCTACTATAAAATTTTTGAAAGTATTTTCATCCTTTATATTGCAAACTTTATCAATTTAATATTATTTTTTAGTTATAAATTAGCTTTGTGTTGATGATTAATTAATTGTGTTTTATAAACATAGGCATTTTATGAAAAATTATAGATCAATTATTAAAATATTTCTAATCCTGGTTTTTACATAGTTAATAGAAATAACTAATGTAATATTGCTTGAATAAATGTGTACATAATTAATCCATAGTTATAAAGTTTTGTAGCTGCAATTTAAGAGAATTATTTTTTTGTAGTTAACAAAGTACTTCAATTTTGGAAGTCCTTTAGATTCAATTTTTTATTGGAAATTAAGGATTTCTAATTTAAGCCCTCTTTATTAGTAATTGGATTTAAAAATAGATTTATTGTTAAAATAGTTGATTTTTATATTACAATCTAAAAAACAGTCTTAATTTTGTTATTCCTATTATAAAATTGTTAAGATTCATCCTCCAGATGATGGGGATAGACATAGATAATGTTATAATGGTTTGAGATTTTATGTGAATCTTTCTTGAAGATAAAGGAGGAATAATAATGGCAGGACGGGGGAACAAAGATGGCAAAGGGCGGTTGAGTATGTATAAGGGGGAGCAGCGAAGAGGTAGCGAAGGGATGATAAAATAAAATTTCTGTTGAAACAAATTTAATTAACTTATGATGTACGAAGAATATGATGATTTTCCTTTGTGCTTTGTAAAAGCCATTCGTATATATTTGAATGGGGATTCTTCAAAGTACACAGATTTGAAGATTGCTTAGAATACAACATGGAATGATATTTAAACACAACTAGATTAGAAATTTGGGAAATTTAAGGAGATGAGATTGTTTACATAATAGGGTGTAGAGATCTTTGATGATGATGTTAAGTTTTTTAAGGATGGATAATCTTTCTATGCGTCTCGAGGAGGTATTATTAAATAATTGAATTTCAGATGAATTTGATCCTTATTCGCCATTCTCATAATATGAAACGATGAAATAATTGGGAGAAGGAGGTTTTGGGTGTGTGACACTTGCTAAACATAGGATCACAGGTGAATTGGTTGCAATAAAGATAATAAAAATGATAGGAAATGCTTAGGACATAGAACTAAATTTTCGAGAAGCAGAAGTTCTTCGTTCTTTGAGTCATAAAAATATTGTAAAAGTGTATAACTCATATGCATTAAAAAATACTTAAATGGCGGTGATAATGGAATATTTGGAAGGAGGTGAGTTGAGTGACAGATTGAAGTAGAAGGGAGGGAGATTTTCAGAGGAAGAGGCATGCAAATATTTTAGACAAATAGTTTGTGCAATTTCGTATTGTCATTAAAAGAATGTAGTTCACAGGGACTTGAAATTGGAGAATTTGTTATTCAGTTCAGCTGATTCGGATGAATTAAAGGCAATAGATTTTGGTATAGCTGGAATTCAATGTCCAACAAATACTGACCATGTGAATATTGGTAGTTTGCATTACATGGCTCCAGAGATTCTCGCAGGTAGAGTGACCAGAGTGAGCACTTCTGTGGATATCTGGGCCATGGGGATAATTTTGTACAAAATGTTGTTCGGGAATGTTCCTTTCAATGGGAAAACTCAATAAGATATAATTAATAACATAATATCAAAGGAATTGCCATTCCCACCCAATAATTTGAGTGAGGAAGTTATCGGCTTGTTGAATCAAATGCTGGAGAAGAACAATGAATAACGATGTCGTATAACAGATGTGGAATACCATCCTTGGGTAAACACAGATCAAAGAACTCCTCAACAGAAGCAAATGTTTCTCTAGATACCATCAGAAGGAAATATTCGTAAAGCTAGACCCTCTGCCAGTCCAAGAGCAAGAAGCAAATCACCCAATCCCACAGGCATTCTTAAACATCCTAATATATTCAAATTATGAATATTCACAATTAATAAATAAATATTAAATATTATGTTAAAATCAATAACAAGGAGAAGAAAAAAATATATTTTCTTAGATTACTTGATTGTCTTGTTAACAGCACTGTATCTAAGAATCAGAAGTGTTGATATGGATTTTTACAGCTCTCTTTAACCTAATTACTTGTGGCTACTAACCATTCTATTTGGATTGATGTTCGCGAAAATAGGTATTTATAAATTAATGGATGAAAGGCAGGGTATGGTGCATCTTTATATGCGTAATTCTGAACCTATTCAGCATCTACTTCCTGAGCAGTACAACTCATGTGGTTTTTGTATCTAGCATTTATAAAATGACATATGACAGTTTGATTCTATTAGTCATTTGTCACTCTTTGTATGTATTTAGAGAAAAAGTGATTCAAGCCTTGACCTATTGCTACTTACTTGGGAAGTATTCATCTATATTTATAAGAGTTACCTTGAAATGGCTCAGCTATTTATGAATTTGAAATATTTCAAGTACTTCCTCTTCCTCCTCATCGTCTCTATATCAACCATACGCTTACGATGCAGACCATTGCCCTCAACTAATTACTTTATCGCCATTTAACATCTGTGCACTATTCGCATGGCTGTCATGCTATTCATACTACTCTTGTAGGTCCTGTTAATAGCAATCAACCTGAATTCATTTATAGGAGCATTCACCTCCTCCCTGGCAAGATACATCATCTTATTCATATACCCCCTCTATCTCCTGCCATTGCTTCGCCATATTCAATATATGAGCGAGTCACTCCTGATATTAAATGTTTCAATCAGTGGCCTGTTAATATTTGATTAGTTGGCCGTATTTTTGGTGGCATCCATATTCATTCCCTTCATATTTATCGTGTAATTTACCTTATTCATTAACATATTTCAAGAAATTGATCCAAAGATATCACGCACAATTAAATACATTAACTATGATGCCGTTGTTCTAATTAATTACATCATTTTGAAATACGCTAATTCTAATTACGAATCATTTGCATAACACAAAACCATAGTCTATTTTCTATCCACCATAGTTGCAGTATTTATATTTATCAGAAATAAAAATATATGCAGGAACTTCACAAATAAGCAGAATTATTACAATAATACTTATGATTAATTTGAAAGTGCAAGAAATGATGATACTGTTTTGTGAATATTTTAATTTTATTTATATATATAAATTAATATCAATGAAATTATCACACAAAATTAATTGTCTTGGGATATAAACTCAAAAAATATGTTAATTCAGTTTAATATTCAAAATTGAACAAATTCATTTGCGAATCAGATAATTAATATATCAAGGCGTGTAATACATCATTTATAACACTGACAATCTCAAAAATGATGGAATTCATAATTAGATGTCATTATATCAAAATGTGTTATCATAAAAATTTCCATCAAATATTGAATCAAAATTAGGTATTGGCCCTATTTGGATAATGTTATGAAGAATTCATTAAAAAATTGATTATTTCAGATAGGTGTAGATTAAAAACTAATGTGTAAAAAAATTAAGAACAAGTTGGAAAAATTAAACAATTCAATCGGTAACTGCAACAAGAATATCAGAATGAAAGAATCCCTATAAAGCCATTGTAATTACATGTTGCATTCGAGTGTTTCTAAAAAAAGAAAATGCTTACTGGTTTAGTCCTTTCTTCTCCAAAAGTATAATTAGAGAGATAAGACAACCAAAATGGTAGGGTTTTTAGATTTATATAATTCGATCAGTCCTTTTCTTTGAGAAGAGTAAAGATTTAGTTAACCAAAAATTTAGCCCTCCATTAAACCAGAGTGCTTTTAAAAATGAGAAAGCAGTTATGAAAAAATGAATTATAGAAGGCTCTAGGACATCTTTATGAGGGACAGATAGATTTTGAAATTAATCATGCTTAACTAAATTTACTGGTCTTTGCAATGATTACCTAGAAGTATTTTAGAAAACTGGAAAACCTGCATTAAATAGATTCTATATTGAATATGTGGAATTTTAAGAAGAGGGTGGAGATGAATCAATGGACCAAGTTTATAGATTCCCTATTTTAAGTAATGTAACTAAGATGAAAATAATGTATTACAATATACTTTTGGTAATTAATAAGTACATTATGAGAATTGAGTTGGTTCAGATAATAATATAATATTCTTGGAGAGGATTGATGGTAATGAATAACTAAATAATTGATAAATTTGAGATTATATATAAATAAGAATTATTAAGATTGTTCTTGTTTAAATTCGTAATATTGAGAGCAATTAATTGTGTAATTAAATCTTTCTTGAATATGTTTTTGCCAATATTTCAATCTTCATTCTTCCAGATCTCAAGAACTTAATAGGAGGTCATTGTGAAAGTATTCTAAGAGAAATTGATAATCGAGGGTTTCATTGGATTCGAAGGCCGACAGGAAAAAATGTTGGATTTTAGCGAGACCAATTATTGCATTGAGTGGGATTATGATACGTATGAATCTTTGAGTACATCTTAGGTGTCAGAACAATTATTTAAAGGGTTTCACATTATGTCAATACGGATAGAGACAGTATTAATTTTAGGGTCAAGCACATAATCTCACTGGACTAAGGAGTGTATTAAGGGGTAGAATTGGTTTTTTTAATTGGGAAAAGGAGGTTTTGTTTAAAAAATGGATAAAGAAGTCAGAGCATAGTGAAGTAAATAATATTAAATAAACTGATTAGATTTTTCAAGTGTTACGGGGTGAAAATTAAAAAGTGATCAAAGTTCTTTAAGACAATGATGTAAAAACGAATTCTTATCCTTAGTCTAATATTGAGTTATTGGTTAACCAAATGCTAAATTAAAAGCCTCATGTTAATCTACTTCATTCGGATGAGTTCTATAAGGACGAGCTTTAAGTCTATTTATTGATGGACTTTCACGAACAATCATTAGGTGATTTATAGAATCAGTACAGTAAAAAAAGAGTACCCATAAATATTTTAAGGCCGATCCTTTAATAACTATTAGAAGGTAATTAAATATATAAATTTTAGGTGTCAATCATTTACACTCTCACAAAATAATCCATAAGGATTTGAAATATGACAATGTCTTGATAACTCAGGATGGAACAGTGAAGATCATCGATTTCGGTTTATCTCAAATAGGCGAGGCCACAAATATCCGTTCTGGAACAGGCGGTTATATAGCACCAGAGGTTTTTTCGAACCAAGCAATAACATCCAAAAGTGATATCTTCAGCATTGGAGTCATTTTCCACAAATTATTGACCGGAAAAGGAATTTATAATAACCTTAGTGAAAATATGGCTGGCCGAATGAGGATAAGTTCTCATATTAAAGATAAGAATGCCAAGGATCTGTTATTGCAAATGTTGAATTAGGATCCATCCCTAAGATATAGTGCTGAGGATTGTTTGGCCCATCCTTTTTTCACAGGCGAATACGATTAGCCTTCCTAAAAGTACTATTCGTATTAATTTATAGAGTATGTCTCAGCAACTACCTAAGTCCTCTTTCTTAATATAAATTCTAACCCGTTTCTATCTAAATGATTAGCCTATCTTTATGAAATTATTCATTATTAATTTAATATATATTTGTACTACATATATTATAAAGTTCCATTTAATACTAATCTTAAAAATATTTAAAATAATGAATTACACAGACATTTTATCATCCAAATTCGAACCAGAAACAACAGGCACAACTATCATGGCTGTCATTTATGATGGCGGATTAATCATTGGAGCTGATAGTCGTACATCTTCTGGGTAATGATCTATTAATAATTCAAAGTCAATTTGTTGCAGATAGATGTGCTGATAAAATTGATTATATTCATGATAGAATATTTTGTCTAAGAAGTGGCTCTGCTGCAGACACATAAATAATTGCTAAACACGTTAGATACTACATTGATGCACATGCATAAGAATTAGGTAGATTGCCTGCTGTGGCCACTGCTGCAAATCTCTTCAGAAACTTCTTATACGAATACAAGGAGTATTTAATTATATGAATATCCCAAGTTCATTGTCAGCAGCCATAATAGTTGCTGGATGGGATCCATACAAAGGTCCTTAGATCTTCACATTGCCATTGGGAGGGTCAGTCATTGAGTAGAAATGGAGTATTGGTGGATCTGGAAGTACCTTTATTTGGGGATTCTGCGACTCCAATTACAAAGTATGTTGAATCAAATTATGTGTTAAGGAAAACATGACACTTCAATAAGCAAAAGCCTTCGTTTTACACGCAGTAGCTCATGCCATGTTTAGAGATGGGTCATCAGGTGGAATCATAAGATTACTTAATGTAACAAAAGACAAAATCGAGCGAGAATTTATTGATTATAAAGATGTCCCAGTCAAATGAGTTTACATTCATATAAATATTATATTCCAGTATTTTCAAATTTAATGAATAAATCTTGTTTCAGAAATTCAGCAAGTCCGAGAAAGCCAAATGTCAGCTTTTCAATTGAGGTCCAAGAATCCAGGAATTAGAATAAGCTGAGGACTCGCAGCAGCATCAGCAGTGAGAGAGATTTGCAGAATCTAGCAAGAAACAAATGGAGATATTTGATTATTCAGTAACAAAGAGATCTTCGATACAATTAAATGAGGATTACAGAAAAACAGCAATGTTGCTCTGTCTTTTGATTTAAGAATATTTTTGTATTAGTTGAATACATATTTAGATTTTACATATCAGCTAATTATATAAAATTAAAAATCAAAAAGAGTAGTTCTTATTAGAGGTGTATTTTTCTTCCTAATCTGAATCTGCATCGTCATACTCAACCAAATGATCCTCCATAAACTCTACCATTTCCTATAACTTCTGACTTTTATAATCTAGCAATTTACGCACTAATCCGATCAACTAGGTTCATAACAACAGACCCAATTACTTGCTCATGTTTTATGAATTTCCTATTCAAATAAGCAGGATGTTCATAAATTATTTGATTCACAATGTCCTCTGGATTTGTCAAAAATATCAGATTATTCAATGAAATCTAGTAAAGATGCTTTTTCTTCTCCTTTTGATGCTGCTTGTAAACCAACCCTATAATGGGTGGCTCAAATTTTAACACCCACTTAATAGGTATTACTCTAATGCCAAAAGGTTCAACTTAATTCATAATATAATTATAATTATCATTTAATGTGACTTCTATAAAATGCTGTATGCGATAATATGTCATTCTCCAAAGATGTTAGCCCAGTCTTCATCTCTTGAAATCCAGGCCTCGCTCCTAAATCCTCCTAACACATCTGCAACAACAAATTCTGCAATACTGTAGAATATCCCCTGTTGGGCAGAAACTAAATGGCATTAGTTATTTGTTAACAATTCATAGTCTTTGTTTCCCAATCATAATATTGATAGGTTGCTAATTATCATTTAAATAAGTATACGAAATTGCGAAGCCAATTCCAGAATCATCAATCCTAAGCAAAACACATCTGTTTTATTTAGAGTAGCATTATCTATCTTCCCATACTAGTGCTCCTTATCTCCTTATTGCAATAAGCCCAACAATTCAGGCGAAAATGCATGAAACTCATTATTATATAATGCCTTCTAAAATGGGTTCATTCCTCCTGGAATCAGATCATGTTCCTTGTTTTTATTATTAATGTAATACAATCAGTTTAACAGACCCATCAAGATCCAAATAAACGTGTTGAATAGTCAAATCTCCATGGTATTTGCCTTATTCCTCTAAATATGCGCAACATTGGATTATTTAATAAATTATGAACCACAATCGAGATTCATTGAAAATCAACTTCTAATTCAAACTATCAACATCACATCAATCGTACTTGTATTCGAGTTCTGAAAATAAGCTATTTGGGAAGTATTCTCCCAATACTAAAACATGACTTGCATCTGAACACATGACTGATTCTTTCCCCATTACATAAAACACTCTGACTAGGTGGTCATTTATCAATAGTTTTCGTTATTAGAAATGATGTTTCAATTGTTGCAATTACTAATCTGATTAGCATAATCGCTTAAATTGAAATATTTTATGATTCTTATTTTCACTAGCCTCAAAAATCTTAACATTTCCTAATTGGTAATGATTAACATCCTAATTAAAATTGAAGTGTTTTAACACTTAATCATAATCCATATCTTCCTTTCCATTTTATGAATTTCCCATATTAATTTTAATTATTTTTATATTTGACATTTAATATTTAGATACATACATATTATTTAATTAATGAAAGAAAGATCAAGAGCAAATGCTATATCCTTTGCGAATGTGACTTTTAAACTCAAAATGAACTAAGAGTAGTTCCAAGAAGATTATCCAAAAGTGCAAGAAAGTCGTAAATAAAATGAATTGTATTTCTAGTTTATATAATTCTGAAATTGAGTGAAGCAGATGCTGATCAGATTGATACTGGAAAGACTTTTGAAATGCAGTTAAATGAAGAAAGTAAAGAATCCTGCATTTACTAATCAACTATACGACTCTAGCAACAAAGCAAATATATATATCAATATTTTCGAAAGACAAACGATAAAACTATCTATGAAAAAGATTTTAGAGGCTTTAAATTTGTCTCTGATGAACCTTAAGAAGTAGATGAGTGGAATAAATAATGGTGTAGATATAATTTCATTTATTCTGGTCAAAATTTAAGCATCTTTTCAGGTTATTAGGCTTATGTAAAGGAACATAATTAGACCAATATGATTAGACTAGAGCAAATTTCTAGTAATAGGATGAGTTGTAAAGAAATCATAGATTTGAATACGAATCCAAAAAATAGATAATTGTGTTTTATCTAAATTCAATTAGAATTGGATTATTAACCAAGAATTATAAACTCGATTTATAACTCATCCAATTTAGATGGAGAAAAGTAAATCATAGATGAATCCTTGGCAATAACTGATCTTACGAAAATTAAAAACTTTAGATCGAATCTAATCTCTGTTGAATTTAAAGAAATAGACAGTAAAATAAGAAAAAGAATGGAAAATTATTCAAGACTTTTTAATGAGGTGAAAAGATTGAAACAGGAGTTGTAATATTTAAAAAATTAAATTGGAAATAAATAGGATTTGCAATAATTATAAAATGATTATGAAAATAAACTAAAGGAATAAGAGTCTCAAAATGAAATTGATAGAATAAAATAAGAATAAGATAAATAATAGGAAATTCTTGAGTTAAAAATACAGCACTAAAAGGAAATGAAAGAAATTATAACTGATAATCAGGATAAATTTGGTCAATTGATAAAATAGAAATAAAATGAGTTTGATGATTTCAAAAATTATTCAGAAAAGATCATTTAAAAATATATAGAATAATATAATAATGCTCATCAAAAGATTATGGAATTGGAATTTAACAAGGTTAACTTCTCTTCTGAAGAGATTACAATTCAAGCAGAAGATGTCAATCAATTGTCTGAAGAAGAATAAAATAATCTTCAAGAACTTCAGAAGCGATTGAAAATTTATGAATCTAAAGTTATTGAAATGAAGGAAGAAAACGAGTGTATTAAGGAAAAATTAGAAAAAAACAATCTTCAAATAAAGGAAAAATGCATGAGTTCCATAGTTGAATTGTAAAAATGTAAGGAATTATTAGAAACATGCCAAAACGAGTATAAAGAAAAGCAAATAGAAGTAAATATTAGTTAAGAAAAATAAAATCGATATTAATAAACATTAAAAGATTTCAAACGAAAATTGGAAAAATAAGAAAATGAATTAATCACTTATTAGAAGGCATTGGAAGATTTAGACAGAAAATATAAAGAAGAATAAGAAAAAAATATCATTTAGAAAAATGAATATCAATAAAAAACCAAAGACTTGAAAAAAGAATACGATGTAGCAATTCGCGATTTATAAGAATAAAATCGACGAAAACTAAATTAATAAAATGAAGAATGTAAAAAATTAGAAGAATAAAAAAATTAATTAGAGAGAACCAATTTGAGTTAAATCATTGACTAAGAAGCAAAGCAAAAATATAAAAGAATTATAAATGAAATACCTCCTTAAAATTAATTTTACAAAAATTGTATCAGATTTATCCTCCTCAAGAAAAATCCCAGACAAAAGCCAATATCGGTTGCTTATTAAGAATTTAAATAAATAATTTAAGAAATATCAACGCATTTAAATTAATTATAAGAATATAAAATTAAAAATCTTAAAGATTTAGGAGTTTAAATCATTTCAGATATATAGAACATCTATTTTAATTCAGATGCTTTTGAAAATTTACTTAATGAGAACTTTAAGAAATAAATTTGCAAATTAACCTTGATATTAAATAAAATTAATGAAGATGAATGCATTATCAGCTAAGAATTAAAAGATAATTAAAATATCATTGATTTAGAACAACTAACTAATTAACTTTCGGAATATCTTACAGTTCTAATGAAATAGTAATAAGAAAAAAAAAAATATTTAGTTTAGAAAAAATAAAATAAATGGTTCGATAAAATAAATTTACTGCCAGCATTTGTTATACTCATAATGATAGTTTTCTTTTATTATCAAAACCTGCTAATATGAAATAATAGAGTGTTGAAATATTATTAACAAGTTATTTTTATAAATTGGATATATCGATTAATAAACTCTACTCTATATTAATATTTAATCTTTAAGCTAAAATATTATTCAAATTATTATGTTACAATGCCTTAATTTATATCGAGAAATTGAACTTCTACCAATGACCCATTAATTTATTAATCTAAGATTTTGTTGAAATTGTACTTTATTGAAATGTTCCAACCTATAAACAAATTTCCATGAAATATTCACCTAAATTACATATTTAAAAATAGTTTGAATATAAAATGTAATGGATATATATTATAATTAAATTATCATTTTGATTAAAAATCCATTTAATCACATGCTATCGATGAGAGCTAATGCCTTTTATTAGAAATTTTCAAAAGCTTTAATAACTATCTCTTAGTTTTCTTGTAATATAGTTAATTCATCATTTTTTCTTTCTAAAACGCTATTCAATTTAATCACAATATCTAATATTTTTTCCAGAGTTTAACAATTATTATTAATTAAATCAATCTAATCTTGATCCTATTATAACATGTTTTCTACTGAATATGCGAAATTTTTAATTTCTATTATTTTTTGTTGAAACTCATTCATAAGTGATAACAAACATTTCATAGTTGAAAAGTCTATATTCTCTTTATATATCTGAATCTACTAAATGATTTAGTTGTGGATACTAATCAAATCTTCCTTCAAATTATTAAATGAATTGTTTGTGATGATATTGATTCCATCCGCAGCAATGTTTATGGCTGTTTCAAAATTTATAAGCATTAAACATTTGATATTACGTATTTCACTATCTAAACTAGATGATAACTTTTTTTAGAATGTTTCTTGATGAACTTAATAAGGTTTTAAAATTTCTGTGAGCACATTTTCTAAGATCCCTTCGGAACAACGCATAAAAAGTTCATGTTTCTACTTTAATCTTATAAGTTATTCTGCATGTTAATTTTCCAATAATAATTAATTTTCTTACTAAGTTTACGTGATCTATTTTTGATATTCGCAAGCCATGGACTGAATTTAATTGGATTTTTCTTCTATCCGCTTTTCGAATTCTGCATCATCAATTCTCTTTTAATTCTCTAACTCTATAAATTATTGCGTTTGTTTTTCATATTTCTCCAATAGCTCTTAATATTATTATTTATATTTCTCAAGATCCTTATATTTCCCTTTCACTAGTTCTAGTACCCTCTTGAGCTTTTAATAACGTTCAACCTCTTATTAATTATTTTGTTCTAAAACTTGATTTTTTTAAATATAATCTTGAAGTTAATTTTTTGTATTTTCCAAGTTTGACATACAATTATCGTATTTTTTAATTTACTCATTGATCTTTACCCTAAAGGCTGATTGTAATCTATCTTTCTTTGAAAGTTCTGATTCAATCTCTTGGTTCTTAATATTCAACTCATGAAGATTGTTCTTATACTGACTCAGCGTTTCTTGTAAACTCTTCATTTAATTAATCTCTTCTTTTGATGCCTTTTAATCGCCATCAAGTAATGTTATAAATATTTTATCATTAATTTGGCTATCATCTTCAACAAGATTTTAATTATTATTTTTACATTAAATCAACTAAAGTTCTTAGATTTAAACAGTTGTTTACAATTCTTAAAGTTTAACAATATATTCGTCTAATTTTTTGGAAGCATTCAACTAAAATTAATTGAAATCCTGTTAAATTGAATTGTACTAATCATTCCATTCTATAGCTTAATCTGAAAGGCGTTTAAATTTTTTATCAAATTCCATAGTTAAATTTTGGGTTTCTTAACAATGAAGGATAGAAAGAGAAGCTTTTTCTTACTCATATTTATAAATGAGGCTATTTATTTCTTTTCTATGAAGTTCATCTTTTTTTTTAGTTTCCATTTGTAATTCAAATAAATGCTATTCACTCATTTTTTACATATTCTTCAATTCACCATATTTTTGTTCGAACTCTTTTATTTTTTAATCCTTTTCTTTAATTTATTCCTCTAATATTTTTATTTTTTCACTAAAATTCCATTCTTAATTTGTCTCAAATACCTATAAGAAGTCTTTAATTTCATCCTACTTTTACTTTGGAAATAACTGCAGGTCAAATTCAATAAACAAACTATTCATCTTAAATTTATTAATATTCTAAAATTGAATGTAAGAGCTCAGATCCTCCTTCAAATTGGATTTTGATTTTAATGAAAATTATACAATCTTTTAAGTCATATTATTGTCTGATAATTCATAAAAATCCTTTGCTGGAAATACAATTGCTGATTTTTTAAGTTCAAAATATTGCCCATTTTGACAATTCTTTATCTAAATCTGATAAGCCTTAAATATTTCATCAGTCTTTGGACGAATTCTGTAGAGACACCAAACTTTATTCCATTAATCAATTTACACCTTTTCAGTCTCAGCAAATTAGAAATATCTGCACTCTAGCTCTGTATCTTTTTAATTAGTTGTATTATCTAAAGCATCGTAATAATATTTGTAGATGCAGTTTTCTTTGAGAAGTAGTTCGATTGTATATAACTATTACTCTTACTTCATTTCAGAAACCTTATAAACCTCTTCATTTAATGTTTTGTTGATGAATCTGATATACAATGTTGAATTATTTTTCTCTGTGTACCACAGAGACAACTTGACCATTCTAAACTTATCAGTCTTTCCACCAATAGAGACCCGAGCTCTTGGTTCAAAATCTTACATTAAAAATAATAATACTTATCAAATAGATTGAGTTTAGAATTCTATTATTCAATTATTAATAAGTTATATATTGAATTTTACAAAAACATAGAATAAATCATTAAATGTTTAATAATAGCCAAACCTTAATTTTCAAGTGACTTAAACAATCCCTTTATCTTTTGTAGCTATTTAGATTCTGATTTTTGATTTCTCATTCAGTTTAAACTCATATATACATATATTTATATTTTTCATTCCTATTCTATATCTCAATCATATTAACTTTAAAATCGGTATGTACTCTCTCAATCAACGACATACTTTTTAGCATAATTCTCCTTGAAATTTAAAGAGCTATTAAAATTTATTATATATTTTCCTATAATTAACTTTTAAGAGAAGCATTTAGATATTATTCTTGTTAGGCAATCATCAAATAGAAAGAGAGGTCTTCAAAAAACAAGAAACAATGAAAAATAATTCTAATCAATACTTTTTCATTTAGATATATATTTATCATTATCAATAGGATGTTATTGCAGTGTCCATCAATGAGTCAATAGGATACATTTATGCTTGCTTCTCAAAATAACCAATTTCAGATAATAAGCATTCTAATTATATTCGATTAATTTGTTACCTTTGATTTATAAACCTTAAGTCATTGCTCTTCTATAATTATGTAAGTGCTCACTAATTTTTGATAGCTTATTTTGAATTTGTTCTAATAAAAATTAAATATGAAGTATACCTTCGCTTAATTAATTATTAGTTGGCTTGAGCTTTTCCTTTTGTTTTATCATTTCCATTTCGACTATTTTTCCTCTTTAATCTAATATCTCTTACTCGATCCTTTAGGTTTATTATCTAAATTAGATTTAATTTAATACAAAATTGCTTCTTCATGTTTTCTTTAAAGAATCTCTTAATTTCTTCTATTTTCTTCTTATAATCTCTTTTTTTCCTATTCAAATTCTTATTTTAATTAATCATTCTTGATTTATTCTTCTTCAAGCTTTTTGGTAATATCATTTAAAGCACCCATGTATTATTATAATTCTTTTGATTGTTTATCAAAATTTTCTTTCAACTTTAAAAGCTATTGCTAATACTTTTACTAAACTTCTTTGGCTTTATCCTCTAGTTCTGACTTTTCCTTAAGTTATATCTGTAATTTCAAAATTTGGTCTTAACATGCTTTTAATTTGGATTCACAAATTTCATTTCTTGCTTTTAATTTTTCTATTCCTTGCTATTTTGATTCCAATTTTTTTTCCATCTATTGTTTTTCTTATTCCTTTTCAGATAATTAAGATTTAGTAGACAAAAACAATATTCTTTCAGTCTCCATCTCTTGAACTGATTATTCATATTCTTTAATAGTATTTTACAGCAATTCATAAGATTCCTTGTCAATATTGGAATTTGATAAATCTTGGATACATTATTTACATTCTGATAAAGTCTACTATGATTAATTCATTTATATTTTTTCAATTTCAGCATGGGTTAATTATGTTTATAATTTATTGTTTTCTTCCATAAGTTTATTAATGGTCTTTTGTAAGGAATATTTAAATGTTTCCATTTCCCTTTCATGCTCTTATATTTGTTTTTAGTTCATCTTTTAATAGTCTTCTTAGATTAATCTGACGTTTTTCTTTATTTCCTCTTAAGCCTCTAACTGTTTCTATTCGGATATTTTTTTAAAATCAATTGTTAAATTATCAAAATCCTTCTTTAACTTTACTTTATCTAAATTTTATTGTTCAATTTAAGCATTATGTTCTTACCTTTCCTTCTCTAATTGTTCAATTTAGCTTTACAACTTTTATTGTTCTTTCTTTAAGTTTTCTATTTCCTAATCCTTCACTTAAACTAAATTATCAAATGAGCTTTGTGTAATTTCAACAACTTTCTATTGAGCATTGGCTATCAATTTTTTAGTGTTATTCTTTTCATTATCAACAAGAGCCTTAACTTAGTTGATCTTCTCCTTTAATTATTTATTAAATTTTTCTTAGTCTTACCCATATTCCTTTTGTATTCTTTCATGCTCTTTTTGTATTGTCTCTATGTATTTTTCACACTCTGTTTTGTATTTGGTTAATTCTTCATTGACTTGCTTTGAAATTTCGTCCTCTCTCTCCTTGCACTTCTTTTTGATCACTTCTTCTATCTCCTTCATATCAAACTCAGGCTGCTACTACATCTTATATAAAAATGTATTATTTAATTTAATATATGATTTTCCAAACGAATCTAATTAAGCTTTGAATATTGTAATTCTATCATTAACACAAAAAAAATCTTTTATATTATTGAATATAGTTATTTATATTATATTAAAATTTTTAATACCTTATCTAACTAATTCATGAATATATAAAAAAATATTTACTCAAAGTTTTAGGTTAATATTTGCCTGCTTATAATCGATATTATATAATAACATGTAATTAGCATTATTATGTTATCATTAAACTTAGAGCATTCATTATATTTATCATCTACAAACTTCATAGATTGCATCTACAAGCAAAAGTGAGATATCAGCATTTGTCAAAAATTTGAAAATAGAAAAATGGAATCTTTCAAGATTGTTTTAATAATCCATATTCAATAAGAATACGAATTAATATTGACTAATTCAATAAAAAACTTTCTTTCTTGTTATTGCCTTTTGATTATTTCCTGTTAATTATCTTGTTATGAATAAACAAATTATTTTTAATATAAACTATTTAAGATTACTTATTTAATGTTCATCTAAAGAGGGCATATGCTAAACATAATAAAATTTGTAAGATGATAGATATGTTTTTCAGAATGACAAGGAGAGTCATTATTCTGGATGGATTATAAGATTTTATATTGGAGGTAGCTGTAATCAAGTTTTACTGAGTAAAGCAAAATTTTAGGAAGGTGCACTAAGTCTCAATTACATTCAGTCATAGTATAATCTTCTTTCAAATCTAACATTTAAGAAAGTGCTTTGGATTAGATGAATTTACTTGATGAAGTTTTCAAGAAATAAATTATAATTTATTTTAGGAATTATATTTGATGATACAAGAATTAATCATGTTTTATGAGCATTTAACTGCATTAATTAACTTCATTACAAACCTTTCTAATAATAATAGGTTAATTTATTACTTAGAAATTTAACTGCATAATTATTCCTAAACATGAATTTTCTAAATCCTAATTAGTTCTCCTAATTTTATTTTTAATATCCTCTAAGCATTATATAATAGTAAGGTTCTCTATATAATGGTGTATTTAAGTAGTTTAAGTTTCTAATTATACCTATTCTTAATTTATTGTTTATTCTTAAACTCTTTCTGTTTATTATCTAGATAGGTTAGAATATTTTTATACATTATAGCTTCTTCATTTTCATTTTAAGGGTCAATTTCAGATTAATTAGGCTCCTATATTATCTTTAAAGTATTTTCTAATATTGTTTCAAATTAGACAATTGCTTAATCCTATTATGGTAGATTGCATTCTTAATTCAATTTTTAAAGCTATTGCTAATTCTCTTTTAAACTGTTTTCGGCTTTTTTTTCCTATTCTTCTGCTTCTTATAATTACTTTTTCAAATCTGATATTTTTTTTTCATAATTTTCTTTCAATTTTTAAACCTATCGAGAATACTTATCTTTATCATTCTCCTACTACTATTAAATCTCTTTGGTATATTCTAATGATTTCGCATCTAAATTTTCTTTGGCTTTTTGCTCTATTTCATGTATTTTAAGTTCAAATTACTCCTTTTATTTTTTAATTTATTCTTAATAAAGTTTTTTCTAATTTTCGGCTTTCTCATGCTCTTGTTAAGTTTCTTTGTTTTGGTTATTGATTTTTTCAACCTCAGCATCAGCGTTTCTTAATTGATCTTCCAATTTCTATATTTCTTAATCAAAATTTTCTTTGTATTTTTTAAGCCCATCCTAATATTTTTATTTTTCTTCTCTTGTTTTCTGGAGCTCTTCTTCAGTATCTTTGTTTGATACTTTGAGTTTCTCAACTTCATCATCAACCTGTTTTATTTTCTATTCAAACAGACTCTTTTCTTTTTCATAGTCCTCCTTTTATTGTTTGAGCTTTTCCTAACACTTTTTTTTATTTTCATTTGTTTGTTTGAGAACCTCTTCAAATTCTTAATTTTTTATTTACATATCCTTAAGTTTAGTATCAGCTTCTATTAATTGTTGTTCTAGTTTAGTTTGCTCTATTTTAGATAGTTCTTCCAATTCTTAAATTTTTTTTTTATTCTCCTCTTATTATAATTAAAATAGATTGGTATTTTCTAGTGCTTACTTTTTCAAATCTTCGGCTTCTTTTTATAATTTAAGCTTTTCTTATTCAAATACTTTTTCTTCATCGTACAGCATTTTCTTAAACTTATCTAAATTATCTTTTGCTTAACTTACTTAACATTTAGCTTAATTAACTGTTTATTCTAATTCAGATATTTTTTTATTCGATATACTAAGTAGCTCCTTTTAATTCTCAATTTCTTTCAAATTATACTCAGATTAAGATTGCAAATTTTTATTTTTTTCTTTAAGTTCCTTTAGCTTATCCTACTAAATTTCAACCTTATTGGTTAATTTTAATGTTTCCGCTTCAAGTTGTTCTTTGGCTACTTTTTCTTTATCAAGGCTTTATTTTACAACTTAAAGTTTTTCCTAATACCTTTGTTTCATTTCTTTAGTTTGTTAGAGAAGCTCTTCAGTTTCTTTATTTTTTGTTTGGATCTCTATAAATTTAGAATCAGCATCTTTTAATCGTTGTTCTAATTCACTTAGCTCTATTTTATATTTTTCTTCCAATTCTTAAAAAATTTTTTAATTCTCCTCTTATTATTTTTAAGAAAGATCGATATTTTCTCTGACTTAAATTTACAATTTTCCTTTGGCTTTTTCTAACTCACGTTCAAATTTCTCTTTTTCATCTTTGAGGTGTGCTTAAAGTTTTTCTTTTTCTTTAGATGCTTCATTGAGTTCTGCTTCAATTTTATTTTTTTTTTCTTATTCTATTAATTCCTTTTTTAAAGATTCTTATAAATGCTATTCTAATTCTGATTATTCCTTCTACAATTTTTCAAGCTCTTATTTATAAACTTTTGAAGTTTCTAAGGCTTCTTCAAGTTATTTAGCTTTTTCAAAATATTCGCCTTAAAGTTTTTAAATATCTTTTTCAGCTAATTTGATATTTTATTTGTATTCATTTACTTGTTTTTGATGTTGTTATTCTTATTGCTAATGCTATTTTTATATTTCTTATTCCCTTTCTTTGCTTATATTATTGATTGCTTCAATTTTTTTTTAGTTTATTGAGTTTTACTCTTCTGTTTCTTTTTTAAATTTTTATTCTAACTACATTTTCCCTTCTTCGAATTCTTTTTCCTTTTACTAAAGTATTTGGTTTAGTTTATTATCTGCTTCATTTGTATTTGCTTTAATTAATTTTTATTATTCATCAAATTCTAGTTACAATTTTTTCATTTGTTAGACATAGTCTTCTTTAATTTTTTTAGCTATCTATTCTTATTCTTAAATTTCTTTCTATTTTTATTCGGCTTGTTTTGCCAAATTTTCTTTTGCCTTTTTTTCTAATTCTAGTTTTTATTTTTCAAAATCAACTTGTTCTTTTTAAAGATTAATTTAAAATATATCTTTTTATTTTATGATTTATTGGTACTCCTCTTTAGCTTTTAATGCTTATTATTCTAAAAAATCTTTCTATTATTTTAATTTAAGTGTTTCGTTAATTAGTTATTAATCATGTTATTTTTTCTAATAATCTAATTATGACTATCCTGTCTTAACTTGTTGTTTTAAACTAATATTTTGATTTTAAAGTTCTTCCAGACATTATAGAATTTCATTGATATATTATTTTAGGTCTTGTATATCTTTTTTGTAAATATTTTCTTATTTCTAAGTTTATTTCAATTATTATTGATTATCTTTAAGTTGATTAATTAAGTTTTGCGACATATTTTAAAGTGTCTCCAATTACTTCTCAACCAATTATTATTTTTCTTTTGCCTTCTGTAGGCTTTAACTTTCATTATTTTTACTTTACCTTAGATAATTCAGCTCTTTTTTTAAATTTTCATATTCTTAATTTCTTTTATTAAGTTCCACCCTCAATTAAATGACACCCATATCCTGAAATTGATTGCTACTTTACGCTAAATTTTAAAGGTGCTATTGAGATTTTTCTATTAAATCTAATATACTATTCTTTTCCTATTCTACAAGTTACTTTAGTGATCTCAACTTCTAAACTATACGTTTATTAAATTCTTCTAAATCATTTCTATTTTGATTTTGTATTCTCTCATGCTCTTATTGAATATTTATTAAATATTTTTCACAATTTGCCTGATACTTGTTTAATTCCATTTCGAATAATCTTCTGATTTCTGTTTCTCTGTCCTTACATTACTGTTTAATAATTTGTTGGACTTCTTTAAAGTCTAAGTCAACTTAAAGTTGCATTTTAGATAGGAATTAATAAATAATAAGTTTAAGAAAATCAAATGTTGCTTAGCACCTACTATTTCTATTAAAAATCAATCTATTAATTATTATATGTACTCATATTTATTATATTAATTTAGGTTTATCAAACTATATTATTTTATGGATTAATAAACTTAAATTATTATAATTTCTATCTATTTTACAGCATTCGAGTAATTTAATCGCCTACAACATACATAGACTTGTATCTACAATCTCGATCATAGAAAATATTTTTACACTCTTTAATTGAATATTTTTTATCAGTTAATTTATTTAAATAGACTGCCCTAATATCATCATTTTAAGGTATAAAGAGAAGTAATGTGAATCTTATTATGGTTCATCAAAAATAATAAATTGTTTTGATGACAAATCATTATCTAAGATATTGAAAATGGTAGAGGACTATGACTATTTGAAAGAAAATCTCTTTTGCACTTTATTTTAAGAATTTTGCAGAGTTTTTTACGTAAGACTTCATAAGAAACGCCAATTTTAAATAATTATAACTATGTTTTAGACTTACCTAAAACCCTTGAAAGGTTCATTGTCGATGTTGTGTTTTGAAATGGAAATATTTCTAATGAAGGAGTTTGCACTCTTTAAAGAACAGATCTATTATATTTTCTTTAGTTAACTTATTTTGAAAGAACAAAGATTATCATTTTTGGAAATAAATCAAAATATTGGAATTTTGATCATTACTCATGAATATCATAATCTTGCTTAAGATTCTTTATAAATTAGTACAGTATTAATAGGTTTTCTAACTTCTCGATCTGCTTTTTCGCATATTGTTGTAGCATTCAAACCTTTTTTATGAGATTTAATTCTCTATGATTTAAGATGTCAATTTGGTCATAATTTCTCGTATTTTTCTTTATTGCTTAATTCGGTTTCTGAAAATTTTTATTTTTAGATCTAACTTCTGATTGGCCAAAACTTAGGCAATGATTAAGATCGAATCCAAGTGGACAATTTGTCTTTATTTATCAAGTTTTATAAATAGTTCATATTTATTAAATTCATAATTTATCTATTTCTGATTTGTTAAATTAAGAGATTTAGCAACTTCAAGAGGATAAAAATAAGTGATACAACTTGATTAATAAACTGGATGATAAAATCTTTGATAACGAAAGCCATATCAAATGCTTTAAGATCAAATAATTAACAATTATGAACTTGGCTTTAGCAAAAGTGATGTTGAAATAATTCATTAAAATTGTGAGGCAGGATTTTAATAATATTATTAGAAGAGTTAAATTAGGTATGTTGATGAAAAAGCTATTAAATTCAGTTTTATTGAAATATCAAGTTTCTATCCTGCTTATTATTAACATTTATTGCCTTAATAATGTTCATCTCAAGGGAGGTAATATTAAATCTAAAAATTAATTAGAGAATTATCTTAACAACCCCAAATATAATTAAGGCTTGATTTGTTGAATATATTAAGTTAAAAGAATAATACTGTTAATTGTTTCTTATTACTTTTTCATAATTTTCAATATTTATAAAATTTTTAAAGCTAAAGATTGAAACATTGTTTTTCCTCTTTGATTGCCATATTATGATCTAATTATTTAGTTTCTCAACTCAACAATAAATCATATTTGGTAAAATCGGCTTATTAAATAATTTGCAAACTTTTTTTATCCTAATTGATAGTTGCTTTTTATTAGATTAATTATTACTTAAGCTAAATTAGTTTACATCTTTCTTTAATAATCTTTATGTCCATGTTAGCACATTCCATACGTTTGCTAAACACTCCTCTTAGAGAGTTTAGAAATGTGATCGTTAGTGTTGACCTAACACTATTCACAAATTCAACCAACCAATAAGTTGAGCCTAGAAGAATATTTTAAACATATTAATCAATAGCAAGTTTCGATTATGCGTCGATATTTGTGAACTATGTAAATATTTCTAAGATTCTGGTTAGTATACATTTTGTGCACAAATTTTTTGAAATTAGTTGAATTAAATAATCTACTCTTTATTTCACAATGAAATTATTTTTATCATTTAAAATAAAAATGCAGGAGTTAAAGATATGAATTAAAAATTTGTAAGGATGAATTGAAAAATTGTTAAGAATTATTAGAAAAATGCAAAGGGCTTCTCAAATAATGAGAGAAGAAAACGAAATAGAAAAAGATATATGTGACAAAAAAAAAATTAGATACAATTAATAATTGATAAATGTCAAATAAATACTTTAGATTAAGGAAGTTGAATTAATCAATTGCAAGAAAGCTTTGGAAGAATCAGAATGAAAATATTAATAATTATAGATGTAAAATGAAAGGAGAAGGAAGATTTTTTAATACTACACCTAATAATTGAGAGAACATATGATTCAAAATTTAATGAATTAATATCTTAAAATGATTGCGTATTAAAGTANTCTTATTATGGTTCATCAAAAATAATAAATTGTTTTGATGACAAATCATTATCTAAGATATTGAAAATGGTAGAGGACTATGACTATTTGAAAGAAAATCTCTTTTGCACTTTATTTTAAGAATTTTGCAGAGTTTTTTACGTAAGACTTCATAAGAAACGCCAATTTTAAATAATTATAACTATGTTTTAGACTTACCTAAAACCCTTGAAAGGTTCATTGTCGATGTTGTGTTTTGAAATGGAAATATTTCTAATGAAGGAGTTTGCACTCTTTAAAGAACAGATCTATTATATTTTCTTTAGTTAACTTATTTTGAAAGAACAAAGATTATCATTTTTGGAAATAAATCAAAATATTGGAATTTTGATCATTACTCATGAATATCATAATCTTGCTTAAGATTCTTTATAAATTAGTACAGTATTAATAGGTTTTCTAACTTCTCGATCTGCTTTTTCGCATATTGTTGTAGCATTCAAACCTTTTTTATGAGATTTAATTCTCTATGATTTAAGATGTCAATTTGGTCATAATTTCTCGTATTTTTCTTTATTGCTTAATTCGGTTTCTGAAAATTTTTATTTTTAGATCTAACTTCTGATTGGCCAAAACTTAGGCAATGATTAAGATCGAATCCAAGTGGACAATTTGTCTTTATTTATCAAGTTTTATAAATAGTTCATATTTATTAAATTCATAATTTATCTATTTCTGATTTGTTAAATTAAGAGATTTAGCAACTTCAAGAGGATAAAAATAAGTGATACAACTTGATTAATAAACTGGATGATAAAATCTTTGATAACGAAAGCCATATCAAATGCTTTAAGATCAAATAATTAACAATTATGAACTTGGCTTTAGCAAAAGTGATGTTGAAATAATTCATTAAAATTGTGAGGCAGGATTTTAATAATATTATTAGAAGAGTTAAATTAGGTATGTTGATGAAAAAGCTATTAAATTCAGTTTTATTGAAATATCAAGTTTCTATCCTGCTTATTATTAACATTTATTGCCTTAATAATGTTCATCTCAAGGGAGGTAATATTAAATCTAAAAATTAATTAGAGAATTATCTTAACAACCCCAAATATAATTAAGGCTTGATTTGTTGAATATATTAAGTTAAAAGAATAATACTGTTAATTGTTTCTTATTACTTTTTCATAATTTTCAATATTTATAAAATTTTTAAAGCTAAAGATTGAAACATTGTTTTTCCTCTTTGATTGCCATATTATGATCTAATTATTTAGTTTCTCAACTCAACAATAAATCATATTTGGTAAAATCGGCTTATTAAATAATTTGCAAACTTTTTTTATCCTAATTGATAGTTGCTTTTTATTAGATTAATTATTACTTAAGCTAAATTAGTTTACATCTTTCTTTAATAATCTTTATGTCCATGTTAGCACATTCCATACGTTTGCTAAACACTCCTCTTAGAGAGTTTAGAAATGTGATCGTTAGTGTTGACCTAACACTATTCACAAATTCAACCAACCAATAAGTTGAGCCTAGAAGAATATTTTAAACATATTAATCAATAGCAAGTTTCGATTATGCGTCGATATTTGTGAACTATGTAAATATTTCTAAGATTCTGGTTAGTATACATTTTGTGCACAAATTTTTTGAAATTAGTTGAATTAAATAATCTACTCTTTATTTCACAATGAAATTATTTTTATCATTTAAAATAAAAATGCAGGAGTTAAAGATATGAATTAAAAATTTGTAAGGATGAATTGAAAAATTGTTAAGAATTATTAGAAAAATGCAAAGGGCTTCTCAAATAATGAGAGAAGAAAACGAAATAGAAAAAGATATATGTGACAAAAAAAAAATTAGATACAATTAATAATTGATAAATGTCAAATAAATACTTTAGATTAAGGAAGTTGAATTAATCAATTGCAAGAAAGCTTTGGAAGAATCAGAATGAAAATATTAATAATTATAGATGTAAAATGAAAGGAGAAGGAAGATTTTTTAATACTACACCTAATAATTGAGAGAACATATGATTCAAAATTTAATGAATTAATATCTTAAAATGATTGCGTATTAAAGTAGTAAAATGAACAAATCTAAAAATATGAATAAGCATATAATAGAAGGTAGAAAGAAGAATTTGAATTCTAAAATTAATAATTGAGAGAAACAATTAATCAATTAAGAATTTAAAATAAATCCCTTGAAGAGAATATATTTATTCTATAATATAATTAACTTAAATATTAATAAGAAGACATAATTTTGAAAAGAATGATAGATTTTTAAGCAAAGCTGGAATATGAACTAACTATAAATTAAGTGAATGATAAAATTCAACTTAGAAAGATTTTATCAATTTTCTCAACCTAAGAATAATTTTAAAAAATAAAAAAATTCTAAAAACTATTAATAATCTAAATAAATGATATTAGAAATATCAAATTTCTAATAAATTACAAGAAGACAAAATTAAAAAATCTAAAAGAAAACGGGGTTTAAGTCATTTCAGAACTCTTGGCAAACTATTTAAATTCAAAAACTTTAAATGGTCTCCTGGATGAAAACCTTTTCATGCAAGTTTACAAATTAATAGCAATAGTAAATCACATTTTACAGGTAAGCTTCAAAAGATACTTAACACATTATGAGTTTGGAACAACTTTATGTTTAGCTGAAGAAAAATATGATGATCCTAATTCGTAAAAAATAAAACACAGAACACTAATCTACTAAGGTGCATTTAAGTTGAAAAAAAATATTATATAATTTACCAATTTTTTATCTCATCTATAAATGATTATTTTTTCTAATTTCTACTAAATAATAGGAAAAACCTATTATTTTGATTTCACAAAATTGGTACACCTACCTATGCATATCTCCTAAAGATCCATAAATTAAATAATTTGTGAGTAAATATAATTTGACAAAATTTGATTAATTAACATAGATAAATTGTTAATGTTAATTTAAAATTATAAAATTAGTAATATTTATTAATATACAAGATTTATTTTAATAGAAAAAGTTAGTGTTAACCAAATTCGATTTCTTAAACATATTATTTTATAAATTGCTAGCTAAAATGAAACCAAGTAATGATTTTTACATTGATTAACTTGGATAATACAAAGTAGAAAATGCACAGTTAAAGTTGGATATTTTTTAGCAACAGTCTAATTTTTAATGTTAATTGGAAAACGAATAGCTAAAGTCCAAAGAAATTTTAAAAGACTATTAAAAACAATTATAAGAGCATTAAAGGGAAATGTAAACATATAAATCTGTCTTTGAAAAGACCATTAATAAACTTATGGAAGAAAACAATAAATTATAAACATAATTAACCCATGCTGAAATTGAAAAAATATAAATGAATTTATCATAGTAGACTTTATCAGAATGTAAATAATGTATCCACGATTTGTCAAACCCCAATATTGACAAGGAATCTTATGAATTGCTGTAAAATACTATTAAAGAATATAAATTAAAATTTCAAGATATAAAAGCAAGAAATGAAATTTGTGAATCCAAATTAAAAGCATGTTAAGACCAAATTTTGAAATTACAGATATAAATTAAGGAAAAGTCAGAACTAGAGGATAAAGCCAAAGAAGTTTAGTAAAAGTATTAGCAATAGCTTTTAAAGTTGAAAGAAAATTTTGATAAACAATCAAAAGAATTATAATAATACATGGGTGCTTTAAATGATATTACCAAAAAGCTTGAAGAAGAATAAATCAAGAATGATAAATTAAAATAAGAATTTGAATAGGAAAAAAAGAGATTATAAGAAGAAAATAGAAGAAATTGAAATTTAAATAATGAAACAGAATAAAGTAAATAAAAATTTTGATTTATATCATACCCATAAAACTGTTTAAATTGACATAGAAATAACCTCACTAAATATATTAATAGAATAATCTTTGCATTATTCTATTTCTTATTATGTTATAAATGTTTTTTACAAATATATCTGAAAATAATCTCTTATGATGAAGGAAGTATCTCAACATCTTAAACTCATTTTGAATTGAAGCTAAAAAACCATGAAAACCAGTCTCTCATAATTTTAATAATATTAATGATAAATCTAAAAATGTTTTATAACAAATTACTATATTATTATACTTATGATATTATAATTCAAATGATTTCTACAAATGCTTTTGGATGTTAAAAGATTGTAGCTGTTGGTTTGACAATTTCAGCACTCCTTGGTAACACAGGTTGTCTTTTAGTAGAGATGTGTTATTTCAATTTATTAGCTTCAGTCTTTTTCTTATCATTGACTTAAACTCTTTTAACAAATTCCTCTCTGCATTTTGATGGTCTCAAATGATCAGCTCTAACATGAAATCTTTTCTCCACATATCTTCCTCTTACTCTTCTTTATAATGAGACACCAATTCCTCTTGGATTCACATTGAAAACTCTGGCTGTTCGTCCATGATAATATTGGAAGGGGACTCCTTTATGTTATGCTCCATCAACCAAAATATCAACGAAATCACCTTTTGTAATAATAATAATTTACCTCTTCTGAATGTTTGAAGTGTTTTACGAATGCTTATATTTCCATGTCCTCTGAATGGTTTTGCAAACTTGCTTCTTGTTCCCTTTTTCAAACCATAACTATGTGTCATTGATTCAAGATATTAATTTTTTTTTAAATTATTTATACAAATAGCCAGAAAGCATTCAAGATGCTCGATAAATGAAAGAAATTCAAATTGTATAATGTATGTTTGTATTAGATATATCATTAAGCTGCAACTGGAGCTTATGGTTTTGGGGCATCTTTTTTTTATGTTGATTATTAAACAGGTCGTTTTCTTTCAATAACACGAATTTTTCTGTCTTCAGATGATCTCACTCTAACGATACGTGCATGGATGGCACAAGAAACGCAATACTACCATTAAAAATTAACACTACTTGAAGTTTGTCAAATAATTTTGGAATTGACTATTATTATTTGGTTTCATAGGCAGAGGCTTCCAAAATGTCTTTCTTTGATGATGCATCAACAATGTCTCTCACTGTGAATCTTTTGATGGCTTTATCTTTGCCAACTAATCTGCAACAATTTGAGCATGTGACTGGCTTGACGTGACCTCTATTTTTCTTTGAACGACCATTATTTCTTCTCTTTGATGGCATTTCTTAAGGAATTATTTCTTTTTTTTAATAATTTATTTAAAAGGATTTAATTTTTTTTCATTTTATTCAATTTTACTAATGTAACAAGCATTGATATTCATTAGGCAAATAATTAATCAGTTCTTTTATACTTTCCCACCTCATTCTGTTCTGATATTTTTTATCTATCATAATCAATGTTGTCAGCATCCTCTTCTTTAATCTAAAATATTTGATAAGTGGTAATAATAATTATTAGATTACTGTTTCATAATATTTCTGATCTCGATTCCCACTATCTAATATTCCAAATTCCAATATTCCATTCTGTTTTATTAATTATTCAATCAATTGATCATAAAATTGCTTACTAGAATTGCTCAACTCACACATATCGCATGAAATTATTATTGAATTACTCTCCTTAGCATAAAAACTGAGATACTGAATGAAGCATCCGATTTCTCTTTGAATGTCAAGGTAGTCTTTCTCAGAAATCGAATATATTGATCTAAATAGCATTATTTCAATTACTTCTTATCTGAAATTAAATAATTCATCGCCCCTTTTGAACAAACTGAATGGTATCTTGGAATCAAGGAATAATTATTGTATGTAAAAGTTCCTTTGTTTATTAGAGTCTATTGAAATTCATGAATCATCATAATGAAAGAGAATAATAGAAATTTTACATTATTTGAATCATCCTCCTATTGAATATCTACTTTCAAAGATTAAAATAATTTGCAAGTTGTGATTGTCTATAGTAAAATTATCAGTCCTTCCTAATAAATATCTTGTGGATCCTCATGATGTAAATTGATATCTAGATTTAGTTCTTATCTCTTCATATCTAATTCGAAATGAATCTCCAGAGGCATCAGAGACAATAAGATAGTTTAAATTCTTTTATTATTTGTTAGCAATATTTTGATGATCAATGAATTGATCTTACTCATTAATTGAGAACAATTGATTTGTTCTTCATCATAAATCAAGGCGTAGTCTAAGATTATTTCATCAGTATTATCATTCATAGATCTTTAAATTTGACTGTGCAATATCTCGAATTACGCTACTAAATTGTCCTATCTTTCCTTAAACCATTCATTATGAATGAACAACTCTACTGATCTAACTTATTCTTCACTTTCTTCGAATATTTTGGTATGGATTTTTAATTTTATTATTGAAGGGAAGTAGACATAGATAGTATCGTATTGATTCTCTAAAATCATTTCAAATAACTCTTACTAATCATAGATATTACTAACATATTATCATAATCTTATCATACCTATAATCACCTATTTTATTTAACAATTTAGTAAGATTCCTCTTTAGTAGCTACCTCTCCAATTCTAAGCTAGTGCATTCGGCATCTTAAATGGGATCTCTCCATTAAAGTGTCAATTGATATTGATTCTAAATAGATTCAAAATATGATTGTACCTCCTCTTGTATTTCAAAATAAAAGTAGTTGGTATTGTCAGATTGTAACCATTTTAATTTAATCAAAGCTTAGATATCTTCATTTGAAAAGAACTTGAATTGAACTTCTTAGAGATCCTTGATTATGTCCATGTCAAATAGGATTTTCATACCTCCATATAAATTAAACAATGTATAGTTCTCTTTAGGGATATTCCAAAAATTAACAATGATTGTTTTCGCCCAAGGCAAAGAGACAGCAGTTTCTTCTTACTTTTAAAATAATATCTCTTCTAAAATGTCGAATTCTAAAAATTTAAATTGATATATGTCCTTTGTACTAATATTTTCTAGAGTGTTACATTTATCCTCTATATGTTAGACTGATTTGATCATGAGATATCATGTATGCTGAATAGTCATCAATATTATAATTAAACATTAAATTATTAAGAAAGAAAAAATCAAATTACTTACTTTTCACTCTTAATTAACAATTATTTTATTTCCTCCTGATCGTATTTCCTTATATCTAGATTTAGACCATAAAAAATGAAGGCATTTATTGTTTTCATTTCGATAAAATAGAAATGCAAATGGTTTCTGCGTATTATTTCAAAGAGTATATATTTTTATTATACATATTATGCCACTTTCTTAATAAATTTGAATTCAATAATATGTACTTATTACACAAAATAAGGTTTTTAATTTAATGAATTTATATAAGATGTTTTTCGTAATAACTGAATTCTCAAAATAATAACTATAATCATATAGAGAACGATCATTGCATCTTCATAAAATAATTCCTAATTTAATTAAAAACAACAAAATTTGATAGAATATCTCTTTAAATTATAAAGTTTCCATCAAATTATATGATTGGATAAAAAGAAATAATTAGAAGAATATTAATAATTTATAACAATTTATAATCAGTAATCATTAATAGGAAATAATACATTCAAAATTGTTCTAAGTTCATTTTAATCCAAAGGCTTAGTTAAGTAATAATCCATGCCTGCCTCATAACTCTTCAGTTTTGTGTCCAAATCACAGAATCCTGTATTAGCAATGCACCAAGTCTTATTGATAATTTGTTATTTCATTAGATGTTTCAATTCTTTAACTGTTTTGTAGCCATCTAAAATTGGCATATTAATATCCAAGAAAATCAAACTGTAATATCTATTCCCACACTTTTTGCAAGGATTATGCTTCTTGTGATTTACAAGTTATATAGCTTCTTTGCCATTATAAGCAGAATCACATTTAGATTAATATTTGGTCATCAGCAATTTTAGACATTGTATATTAAAGTACTCGTCATCTACAATTAAAACTCTTGAACAACAATCACTGTTAAGACTGCATTGTACAATAGATTACTAAAATTTTGGACTTAAAATAGGAGGATGAATCGATGATAAACTATCTTCTTCACTCTAATTTTTGCTTTCTTGATAGAAATTGATTCTATTAGTGGATGGAAGTTTGAATTATTATTATGAGTTTGTGTTTGTTTAAATTTGACTCTTTTATATTTGTATTTTTTATTTAGATTGTCCTTTAACTTAATCTTCGATATATGTATTGGCTGATATAAATCGAATTGTTTAACTACTTTTTTTAATGAACCCTGAAGACTATTTCCTCATAAATTCCTTTGACATCTCTAATTGATGATTCTTTATAAAGAAGCTAAACTAACATCCTCTCTCATTATTTCGACTAAGCTAAATGGAATTATTCTTTCCACTCATTTATTTAACTAGCTAATTTGATATTCCAAGTCCTAGCCCAACTCCTACTGATTATTCCGACACTTTTACGAATTTATTAGATTGCAACAACGAATTCATATTTTCTGCTTCCTATTCAGTCTATATAATATAGTATTATATAATATACCATTCCAATTCCATTGTCTGCAATTGAGATAAAACATTCCAAAATATCATTCAAAATTGTAATAGTTATTGAACTTTCAAATGTATATTTCACTGCGTTTTACATCAATTGAAATAAAACCTATCTAAACCGTATTTTATCGTTTACCAATACATTAGACTGTAAATCAAAATGATAATCTATTTTAATGTTCTTATTTTCAAAGCTCTCGTTTAGTAATGAAACAATAAATCGAATTTCTGCTTCTAAATCCAATTCTTCTAATTTCAAACTGAATTGCTTTAAATTTATTAAATTATAGTCTCTAATCGTACCCACGATTAGATTAAGTTATTCACTATTAATTCTTATTGGTTCTAAATATTTACTTTTAAGATGGGAATCGACGATGTCATCCTTTAATGCCATTTTTGTAAATGTTACGATGCTATTTAAATTTGTTCCCAATTCATGAGATAATGATCTGCACATATCTATTTCCATTGATTCATCTGTCTCTTTATTATTATTAATTTATAGGGGGAGAGGAAAAAATTGAATTTAAAAACACTTAATTCCATTGATTACAATACAATTTATCAACATGGCATGATTTTCATATTTGAAATACTCATTCTTATCTATTGTCAAGAGTAGTTGCTCATCAATTTGCATTTCGAATACTATAATTCTAAGTTCACATTATTTTAGTGCAGTTTCTTGAATATAATTAAAATTTAAATTTAAAAGTATTTCAAATGCTTAATTATATTAATTTTGATGAGTTAGCAATTCTGCAAAATTAATTTGTGTTTCTAAGAGTTCAAATTAATCATTAAATAATAATGAATTTTGTGGTGAATTTATTCTCTTCGTTGAATTTGTTTAAATAAGATTCTATTGTTATTTAATTGTATCGACTTAGATATCGATTGTACATTGTTATTAATTCTATTGTTCACGAACTTCAATGTTACCTCGTTATTTTATGCATCTATCTCTGTATAACCATAAACTAAAAATAGCTAATTAAACGATAATTATAATTATCTACTCATAATCAAGCACAATTTATTTTAAATTGAAAATGAATAGAGACATTTAACCCAAAATTAGAATAGGATATTAAGGCTTCGATTTTAAGTCGGTATTATTAAATAATATTTGGGTTTATAGTAAAGAGCAAAGAATGTATTCTTATTTTGCTTGATATGCAAACCAGAAGGAAATCATTTTAATTGAGTATCCAATTTGATGGATTATTTGATTTCTGCGTTCATTTTTCAGTATTACAGATAAAATCTCAAAAATTAGACTGCTAGCATAAAGTACAGTTATCAAAGATAATAAAATAATGGAACTGGCTAATGATTAATAAAATATAAACCTTGATTAATATACACTAAGTAAATGAGTTGACAGAGGTCACTAAATAAAAGATGCTGTTTTCCAATCAACATTTTATATTGATATTATATTAATTTCAAAAATTTTTTTGTAAAAATGACCGAAGCGAAATACTGAATGAATTTATTAAATCTAAAGGAATAATTTATTATATATTTTTTTAATATTTATCTTTTCCCCAAAATTTCCAGAGTTTAAAAATACTTCATTTTGATGAAAATTTGGTAATTTATAGAAAATAAAAGTGGTTCTATATGGGGTTGTGGAACTCTGTAGAATAATCTAAGTATTTTATACATTTAATTATTTTTATTTACGAAATTTTAAATTGGCAAACATTTTGTTTTAGTAATTTTATTCTCTTCTTATGAGCTAAATACTAAAATTATATTTTGAAAACAATTATAATACATAACCAAATTATTTGTTTCGCAATTGGATTGGATAATATTGTCTTAGTTTAATGTGTTAATTAAATTGATTATTAACATCACTCCAAAAATAATTCAGAATTGTGTAATTGTATTTTATCCTGATTCCATGAACTCAAACAAATAAGTGATAATATTAAATTTAATATAAAAAAATGGTTTATCAGTGGACAAACTTTGTCTGGGAAACCAATGCCTGGTGGTTGAGAAGAATCAGACCTGTATTTTAAGCATATCTATCATTAAGTTTGTTGTCTTGGGAGCCTTTGCATTCACAGCATTCTATGGAGGTAGATACTACTTTTTTGGAAAATGGGCATATTATAAATAAAGACAATTCTCCGAGGCTGAATTAGTCGCTTAAGCAGAAGTCAATAAAAGGTTGTGTTCATACATGAATTTTATAGGAATTGGGGTTATGGTGTTTGGTACAAACCAACTCTTGAAAGAAGCAGAAAGAAATTATTATAGGATGCACTTAAAGGTATGACAAAATGAAATATTGTAGATAAATATAGGTATGCTATGACATGGGAGGAGTTATTTTATGAAGACCCAAGGCCAGTAGAGGAAATTCTTGAAGAAGAGAACTCATGGGAGGAATATGAAATTTGACAAGATTTAATATTCTAAATATAAACATAACTAATTATCTATTGTTATTGAATTCCAACCATTATCAATGATTTCGTGAATATCCATATTGTTAATTATAATTTAAGTTTTAATTTTATTTTGGATTGTAAAAATCTGATTTTATAATAAAATAAGATGAGATTTATGGCGAATACTTGAAATATATAGAAGTATAATATGATATTAAATAATTGAAATTATTGCAAATGAAATATGAATATGATAATGCAAACTAAAAGTAAAAAATAAATAATATTATTATTATTATAATATGTTATCATTATTATTGATTCACTAATTATTGTCCAGCATAGGACATAAAAGTTGGGTTGTTTCTAGTTTTACTGCCACCTATTCTTCCATTTTTCATGTCATAAATGTATTATTGCAATTCATGCGGTCTAAATCTATTAATCACTAGTTTTCTCTCATTTTCTTCTATTTCTTTAGATAAAGAATCTCTCAGATTTTGATTATTATCTCCATCAAAACCTTGTGATTTTTGCATTTTAGGAGGTTGCAGGATAGCCCCTATGAGTTCACTTTTGGATGCAGGTGGAGGAGTGAATCCTTTTCTAAGACTTCCTTCCTTATTACTTTCCTATTATGATCTCAAATCTTGAGCGTACTACTATTTTTAGTTTAATGATTATTATCTTTATTATTACATAATTTGATAGTCTTAATCCTGTTGCATTTTAAGATTCTGTTACTCTCTGATTTTTTCATTATATTATTGCTGTAATCTTTGAAGACTCTCTAATCTTTATTACTCCCATTATTTTTGCATTAACAATTATTACTATCTTAATCGTTCATCTTCCAACTAATATTGATACTGAGAAACTTACTAATGTAGTTACTCAGGTTAGTTGTATAATTGAGGATTTTAGGGCTAAACCACTAGATTTGGTTAAGATTGTGAATTTTGTAATTGAATTAATTGTTGTTAGTTTTATGTTTGTTAACGCAAAGCGATCAAATTTGGATCATCATATGATTATGAATATAATTACTTTTGATGTTAAGCTTCATTAAATTGTTGATTAGCCTTGAAAGTGGTAGAATCAGGCTATTGAATGGTTTCTAGATGTTTATCACTTAGATCATCTAGTTTCCTTTTAGAATCCTGATTATTAGTGTAGATTGCACTTCTATTTTTATATGGATCATTCTCATCCCATTTTGCCCTTGGTTAATAGGCTTAAGATTCAAGATCACTAGGTTTACTACCCTATTCCCACAAGGATTTCTGCTTTTCTTGTTTATAAACTTATGCTAATTCCATGTTTTTTACAACTTTGCTACGTAGCGTATTTGTAACTGCCCCATCGATGTCCTTTGTATTTAAAGATCTATCGTAGTCTTGAGCTAATCTATGAGGATAATAAAAAAAATTTACCTTTTGGGTGGGTCAAAGAGATGTTGCATTCCCTAGTAGGTTTCCAATTCTCCCCTTTGAAAATCTGGATAATGTCTTTTGCCAGATGTTGAAAAAAATGCTATCCCTTGTGGAACTACTTGATCTTAAACTTTGTATCCTAATTGATAAAGGGGTCTGTTGATTGGTTGATTATTATTATATATCCTATTCATTAAATATTATTAGAATTAAAAATAAAAATCAATCTAATTCAACAGATATTACAATATCAGTACTATTTGTATAAGTAGAAGCTTGCATCTAGCTAAATTTGAATGTATCCTTCAAAATGGAATTAGACAAATATTTTTCAGCTATGTTCTTTGAATATTTAATATTGATCTACGGAGTATTATAATAAATATAGATGTACCTATTCTGATTTGGTGTCGCCTTGAATGGTCTTAACCTAAAATGGATAGATTTGGCTTTGGATATAAAATTGACCGTCATATTCAATGAATACCTTGTATGATATTCTAATATATAAACATTTTAATCGAAAATGGAAAATTGCAATTTGTTCAATCGACCCCCCAGGATGTCTTTCTAAGAATTATCATTTACAATAAATTTGAGGTCTTTGTAAATGAAATTTCTATTCTAATACTCTGCTCTGACAAGGAACTCCAAAGGTACCCCATGAGTTGGTAAGTGAATCAATTTGTTTTGGTAATCATTTAAGGTAGTTCCCAAATAGAGCTTGAGCACACCATTGATGTCTATGGGATGTTTGAGATTGGCAAATTGCAAACAGATGTGATTTTCAGTTGAGAAGGCCAACAAGAGATCCCCATCAGATCCTAGTGCTTATTTCGCAGAATCTAATAGGAATTGGAATTCCTTTCTTCATTTCAATGCATAATTACTTAAATCCATGCTCGAATCCAATCATATACCAATTATCATCGTCCAATTAATAGTACATGGAGGCTTGACAGATTTAACAAACATCTTCCCCGTCGCATTCCTGAATGTAATCATCCACATCCATTGCATTAGAGATTATGTTTAATTGTTATTTTAAGCTTTCAATAATCTTAGATTCTTCTGGGTACAATTCCAATTTATCAAGACGATCCAATTAACCCATCAAATCAAAAGGTCTTTGTCTCAAACTATCATCAAATACATTTTATCTTTATACTAAGAGAGCTAATTGATTCACCTATTGTATAATCCCTTCCAAGATGATACGTTAATCATTCAAATCTGCAGAAACCTACACAAATCCAATCTCTTTATTCTTGTGTTTATGATGTTTTCCATTCCCTTTTATCTGTTACCCCAAAGCTACTAGAACAAAACACAAAGCCAAAAAATATTGCATTTAATACGTTTTTATATATATTAAATAATAAAGTTCCTGAAAAAACTTATTCATTCCTTTAACCTAATTACATCATACTAGCACACAATCAAATTTAATCAAAATAACTGTTCAATTCAGCAAATTGTATTAATATTAGAAATCGATATTCTTATTATATTTATCTATCTTACTTATATAGAATTTAAGAACATTTGTAATTTAAATAAGAATACATTAAGAGTGAAACAAACTTAATAATAAATCATTTAAGAGTGAATGTTTTCATTATCATAAGATAAATCACTAGAATTAACAAATAAGTTAACTTGAATAATGAGTAGAGTAGTATATTTAAAGAAGTTATTTTATAATAATAAATATGGATACAAATTACAAATTAATACTAAAAGTAATATAAAGGTATAATTAGTTTAATAGTAAGAATTACGGTCGAAAAATGAGTTGGGTGAATAATATTTAATTAAAATAATCATTATACTATTTCTACATTTCTTTATTATAATTGCTTGTTTGTTAAGGCTTTGATCTCAATGGATTTTTCGTACTTCATGTCAGGTATGGCTTGTCTAGTTTATTCAATGAATTTGATATCGTGATTCCTCAAATTGGGCAATTCCTTTTGTAATTCATTTTTATATGCGCTATATTTTTAGTAATATTGTAAGAAGCATTCTTTCATCGCCTTCAAATCTCCGGCTGTAGCCTTTGAATAATTTGAATGATTTATACTTGTGTAAGGTCTTCCACAACATAGGGGAATGGATTGCTTAAGTAGGGTTCAGCCCATGTGTGGGTTTCAAGGAGTACATCCAATAGTGCCATTTTTTCAATTTAATTTTCATCTGTTTCTCCAGTTCTTCTTGGTGGGATTCGAGTGGCTTCTGTATAATTGATACCATGAGGAGCCTCGACCCAATAATTATTGATGGGCACTAAGTGAGGGATTCCCACATAGGCGTTGATTGTTTCGCAACCTTCGAAGGCACTCTTCAACATTCCAGTCATATACAAATCCTTAGGGGTTTAAAAGACATGCGGCAAGAAATCATAGGCAGCTTTTCTTAGAGTGATAGGGATGTCATTCATTTATTTAGTTTTTTGTAGTGTGTATTTGAAAAGATCTCTGGCCTCTTGGATTTCAAGAGTGCCACCCAAATTTAATTTGTGCAAATGATCAGGCATGTCAGCCAACAGAACTTTGTGTTTACCCATAAGGGCTGTGTAGAGGACACGATTAATGAGATAATATTCTGAATATCTATGGTTGATAATGTGTTCGTCGATAGTTTGAATGAATAGATTTTTGTTAGCTTCTTGTATTTCTTTGGATTGGATGTTGGCATATGAATAAGTACTGAGACCTTTAGACCAATCGATATCTTCCATGTTTTTATTTGCATTGAGCATATCCAAGACGACTAGATTGACTACTGCTTCTTCCCAAGCATGTGGTTTGAGGGGATCAATCAAGGGAGTGTCATACATTTCGTAGCCTTCCACATTTTGGAGTGCACATTTGTGAGCGAGGAATCGTTGTCTTGCAAGATAAGGGGAGGGATCCAATTGCAATACGATGAGATCTGGATGCATTCTAAGTAGAGGAATAGGATATACTAAGTGTTAAGACTGTTGAAGAGATCGTAATTCTGGAATTTGTCTTTGGTTTAACCATAGGGTACTCCAGTCACATAGCAAGTGTCAGAACTTTCGTGATTGTTCGCCAGATATCCTTGATTGGCTGCTTTCAATGGTTTGAGTTTGACTGATTTGGGTGTTTTGGCTCCATAGCAATCTCTTTGGTTGAGGAAATAGAGCTCAGCGGAGAGCTATTCATAGCGATATCTCAATGTCTAATTGAGTGATCTAACAATTTTAATTCTTTATAACATAAATAATGTTAGAACACAAGAGAAATCACTCATAGAAAATTAGAACTGTATTGATAAGATGCTTTGATAAACAAGTGGCCATTGATATAGCAATGGACAAGAGTGTAGCTGATCTCCTAAACAAGGTATGAGTATTTGAGAGTTATTCATGTTAGCTTCGTGAACATCCAGCAACACCAAATTCATAATAGTTAGTTGCGTTGAAAACAGTCTCCAATTCAATCACGATGGATTACATGTTGTCTGTGCCAGAAGAGAGAGGTAAGCCGTTTATATTCATATTAAATCAGCTTAACTGCCCATACACAAGTTAAAACAGGAGGCCTTGATTGCAGTCTATAGATAAAATGCTCACAAATCAATTTTCAGTCTTCTGGATTTCACATTTGAAAGATGCATTGGCAAGGGAGGCACTTCAGAAGTCTACTTGGTGCGTCATCAAGTGTCTGGACGATTGTTTGCTCTGAAGATGATCAAAAAATAATATATTACTGATTGCAGAAGACTGGAACAAATCCTGAGAGAGAAGAAAATTCTGTCGCAGGTTCTGAATCACTCTAAATTCATCATTCCATTGTATGCCACATTTGCCACCAAAGATCATCTGTGTTTTTTAATGGAATACTCTGCTGGGGGCGAGATGTTTTATCATCTTCAAAATTACCGTTTTACAGATGAAGAAGCTCGAGCTTACATTTGTGAAGTCATATGCGCCCTTGAAGAACTCCATTAGCATCGAGTCTTATACAGAGATTTAAAGGTAATATCTCAATAACTCATATATCTAGCCAGAGAATATACTCATTGATCTCAGAGGTCACATTTAACTCACAGATTTTGGTCTATCTAAATTGGACTTGAGTGAAGAACAATTAACCAACAGTTTCTGTGGTTCTCCTGAGTATATGCCTCCAGAGATAGTCAATCGATAAGGTTACTCTTATCCTGCAGACTTTTATACCTTGGGGTGCTTATTATATGAATTGTTGTTAGGCTTGCCACCTCATTATTCCCAGAACACTGAGGAGATCTTCCATAAAATCCAAAATGAGGATATCTCTTTCCCTGAAGACTTGAGTGGTGATGTGATGTAGTTGTTGTAGAGTCTCTTGAATAAGAATATCGCACAAAGAATACATGACTTCGCTACTTTGAAGAAAAACTCTTGGTTTAGTAATGTTGATTGGCAAGCTGTCAAATAGAAGAAATCTAATCAGATGCCTATATTCATTGATATCTATGAAACTCATATTCATCAAGAGTTCTTGAAGATTGACGTAACTGATCTCAATAACAAGAATGAACAAGGCGAATTAAGCAGTTCTGAAGATCTCTTTGATTTCTTCAATTATGTCAATGAGTCATACAAAGACATATTTTAATTGAAATAAAAGATGCGAGTTCAAAGTGATCATCTAATAGATAAAAAGCTTTTACAAATCAGTTAATCAACTACTAAAAAGAAAAATCTATAACTCAACTTGAACGAAATAGAAAAGCAATTTTCTAAGACTCAGACTCAAAAGCAATCACTCACACCATAGAGTATTATGCCGCTGTCTTTATTACGCAAATCATTCTAATAAATGATGAAAGAGAAACCTAGAAAGAGTTAGGACAATCATCCAACTTTGAGTACTGTGCTATCAGATCGCCCTATCATAGATCGCAATTATGTAGCCAATTCATCCTAAATAATTGTAGATATAAAAGATGTTATAAACTTAAACAAGCAAGAAGAAACCACAGAGTCCTTAACATAATGAATTGTCTTGGAGACCACCTCAGGTAAAAAGAGGTTCTAGTTCATCAACTCATTTAAAATCATCTATAAGCTAACGAGGTCAGAGTTCAACCAGAAAATAAAAATGATTTACTACTTATTATTTAAAATTTCATTCTACTTCACCTTAAGATTAGTAGTTAAATTAATGTTGTCAATAATTATTTAAATTTATAAATCCTATTCATAAAGGATATTTTTCTAATTTCCCTATTGAAGTAGCCATAAATTTGGTAATTATTTAATACATTTACATAAACTCGCTTTAATATTCTATTATAGTATTGTTATCTTTATTTAGATTCTTGTAAATATCTAATTTCGTGTTTTGTAGGGTACTTGTTCATAATGAATCAGATGAAATTTAAAAATCTCTATTTTACACTACTTTTTATCTTTATGTACACTATCCAATCTTCAACACTTACAAATAAATGTTTAGTCAATTTACAATTAGATTCTAGCAAGATGTACTTTGGATATACATTGAATAATCAATTTTATTTATTGATTATAACTTAGTTATAATTACTATTAAATACTTATGAGTAAATAGTTTAATTTATTCTTAGTTACTTTTGAGAGTAAAAATGTTTTTTTGAATAAAATTATTTAATTTTATTGGAGAGGTAAACTGTAAAAAATTGATGCAATTATGAAATGTTTATAAATGGGATTTTGATTATTAATCAATTTGATAATTATACATAAAAATAAGACTTATGGATCAAAATCATCTGAAATTAAATTTTAGTCAATTCATCGTTGAGAAACAAAACTCTTATACGGATGACTATAAACTTGGTGTATGATTAGAGATATTGCTAGGGAGTATTGGGGGTTGGTGCATTTTCATAAGTTCGAAAAGTGACTCACAGAAAAACTAGAGCCATTAGAGCAATGAAAGTTTAATTACATTATGATTTATTATAGGTCATTAGCAAATCAAGACTCTCTACTACAGAATTGCAATAAAATTTTATAAACGAAATAAATGTTTACAAGCAATTAGATCATCCTCACATCCTTAAATTATATGAATTCTATTAGGATGAAAAAAACTTCTACATTATTATTGAATTATGCACAGGGTACTTATTGAATTGGAATTTAGTGGTGAATTGTTTGATAAAATAATTGAAAAAGGAAGTTTTTCAGAAAAAGAAGCATCCTACGTTATGAAGTAGATAATGTCTGCTGTTTTATATGCCCACAATCAAAACATAGTGCATAGAGATTTAAAACCAGAAAATGTTTTACTTGACATAACTAGTTAAGGCAATTACAATGTGAAGGTTGTAGATTGGGGAACAGCAAAAATATTTTCGCCCAATCAATAAATTAATGAAAAATTCGGAACTTTGTATTACATGGCACCTGAAGTATTGAAGCGTAATTATAATGAAAAATGCGATATTTGGTCTTGCGGTGTTATTTTGTATATTTTATTATCTGGTATACCTCCATTTGGTGGTAAGACAGATTTGGAGATTCAAAAGAGCATTTCGTATGGAAAATACACATTAGATGTAAGATGAATTTGGTCATTTTTAAGAGTGATGTTTGGAATTCGGTCAGTGCTCATGCAAAAGATCTTGTTTCATAAATGCTTTAATATGATGTATAGAAGAGATTAAGTGCTAAATAAGTGTTGGAACATCCATGGGTTTAGTTGCAACATTAAGAGAAGGTTGACAAACAGATAGTGTAATGCAGACTGAAGAATCTGGTCAATTTCAGAGCTGAATAAAAACTACAATAAGCCACTTTGATGTTCATCGGCACAACGATGATTTCGAAAGAAGAGAAGAACCAGTTAGTAGTTATTTAATTATCGATAAGATGTAAGCTTTTAAAGAGATGGACTAGAATGGAGACGGGATCCTTACAAAAGAAGAGATCCTCGAAACATATAAGAAGTATATGGATGATGAAACTGCTTGTCAGGAGGTTCAGAAGATCATGGACTTAGTGGACATGGATGGATCAGGTACTATCGATTATACTGAATTCATCATTGCTTCCATGGATCGAAAGAAAGCAGTTCAGAAGGAGAAATTGAAAGAAGTAATGTGAAAATCTAAGATTATGTAGGCATTTCAAATATTTGACAAAGATGGCAATGGATTTATTTCGGAATAGGAAATTAAGGAAGTGTTGGGACCATCTATAACAGGGATTGATGAGAAGTATTGGATGGACATGATCAAAGAAATTGATAAAAATGGTGATGGATAAGTAAGTTATGAGGAGTTCTGTGAAATGATGATGAAAATCATTTAATGATATATATAGACTAATTTCATCTTTATAAAAAACGTTCTAGCATTGCCTTAAACATTTCTTACATCTATGTATGATATTGCATAGCACGATTCCCTATTTTACTTGCAGTATCCTATTGTTTTTCAGCTACTTCCAGCATTGTGCTGTCAAATTTGGCTTCTAAGATACTCTTCCAAATATTGTAATGATTTTCTACAGTTTTGATTAATCACAAACTTACATTCTACTCTCTGCAGCAGATTTACGTATTGATCTTTAGCATTGATATGAGTGTGCTTGGATTGAGTGAAAAAAAGTTCCTTATCCAATAAATCAAAGGACTACTCCAATTGATCATTCATCATCGTTATCAGATACTCAGATATAACACTCCTCATTAAACTCAGCAATTAGATTGACTCTTCTTTTTTATGAGGATTTGATTTTTCTCGGAATAATCTATCAACGCTCTTCATAAAAAAATCCACTTCCTAATTTTGCATCTGCTTGAATGACCCTATCATTATTTTTGATTCCAATAATTCCAAGGCTTTATAGATGTCCTGTTGATCATTCGATTCTAACACTAAAACATCATTATCTAATTGATCTTACCTTCTTATATTTTTTGATGCAAATAATTAAATTCCTCAAAACGTTTGCTGATATCTTCAGGCTAAGAATGTTTTATCTTTGCTAGTTCTTTAATGTCTCCTTCTATGAGTTTTTCCTTATTTTATTAACTAATATACTTTATCTGCAATTATACGTTTTATCTTATCAATTGATTCTGGAAAGGTTTCCCTTAAGAACATCTACATGTCTTCCTTCTACTTCTTATGACACACCTATTCTGCTTTCAATGATTAGAGGAGCTACAAATTTCAAATGTCCTTACTTCTTAGTAATGCTCACTGTAGATCGTAAAACTTTCTTCCTCAAACTGCAAATTTTCTTTCGACCTTACCTCCAATTTCTCCAGAGCCGTATAATACTCCAATTGGGATAGGAATTCCTTTATAGAATTCATTTTGTTATAAACATCCATCACATGTTATTCCTCTTTATGCACGTATGCAAAAGCAGCTACAGACAGTAGAATTATTAATAACATAAATATTGAATAAAGAAGCACTCTATCACAAAGTAATTAAAAAAGAGAGGAATGAGAAATGAATCATTTCACAAATCATGATCAACTCCTACATCTCCATCCAAGAATAGAGTAAAATTAGTCATCCATTGCTGGCAATAACTCTTTCTTTATTCACAATTCACCCATTTCTGAACCCTTAAAATCCCCTTTACTTAATATTTTCGAATTCCTTCTCCCTTCTTTTGTACAAGAGTCAAAATGAAATGAAACAGGAGTTTTAAAAGAATATGATCGAGATTATTAATATTTAAATTAAACTAACGTATTTCGCATAATTTTTATTGATTTTGAGAGAGCTCTTCATTTTTTGATGCTCCCTTGTTATTTGTATATTAAAAACTGTATTTCTCAACACTTAAAACCCTATCTAAGATTCTATTCTATAAAATATATATATTATGGTTAATAATATGAAAAAATTGATTTTGATAATTCATTTCACTATTAATGCATTTCTTTCCAAAATTACATTACTTTCCCTGACATTATCTAATCTACCAAGTTTATGAATTCTTATTCTGGACTATTGGCTGGGAATTTATAATTCTCAACACCTTAAAATAAATTTTATTTGTTTGGAGCATATAATTGAGTGGAGAAGTCTGGTAATAGCAAATTCAGATGTTTGCAATCTTCTGATGTAAACTTTGGAATTGCTGGAGGAAATACCTTATTGGAATTATCAATGAGTATACTTTTAATTTATCTAAATTTTCTTTCTGCTTCTTATGATAATTTTTAAGGAAAATGGCAGCCATTTTTTTAAAACTCTCCTTGTCTCCTCCAGTTTACAGATAAGTCTAATACAGCATTTAACCAACATGAGTTTAAAATTCCATTTTAGATCCAACCAAAGTATTTTATGTTTATTAATTAGGTGCATCATTGGCAAGTTAATCAGCTTCATTGACCTTCTTCAATTTCTCTTTTTACTATTTTTGTTTCCTCTCTTCTTCCTCTCTTTATAGTTATTATCTTTTGTGTAAAGCCAATTACATTTTTTTTTTGAAACTGAAATAAGTTATATCTTATTCTTCCTCTAATTTCTATTCCTCATTCTCATTTTTGTTAGGATTTTCTGATTGCGATCTTGGCTATTATTTTGTGTTATCTTATTTAACCTAGACCTGCTCCTCCTACTTCTATTATTGCTATTGGGTTTCTCGTTACAAAATTTCCAAATAATCTACCTTGTCAACCTTCTATTTGAATATATTCAGTCTATGGTTGATAGTTTCCAAAGTGGGTAGAGTCTGTCCTCCTTGGCTGTTTCTTATAACATCTTTTCCAAGCAACTTCCAACCATGCACAAATTACTGTTACTCTGATTTAGAAATTAAAGCTGGTCTATTGATATTTCCTTTTAGTTTACTTGTGTTTAGTTTATTCATTCTTTTCAGTGTTGCCTTCATCTTTCTCCTCTTATTCAAATTTGATGGCTTCTTGCAATCCAGGATTTTCTGTAAAAAATTGTGCCATTTACTCTTTGAGATGAAAAATAGTGTTTGTGTCTGCTTCAGCTTCTTCCTCTTCAATACTAGAATTGAAGGAATTGTCACTGTTCATCGAATCATCAGAAGAGAATACTATAGCTTCCTTCTATATTTGGATTTATGATGCTCTTTTCATATTTATTTATTTTATAGTTATATTATATTATATGATATAAAAATATAAGTGATTTACTTTTATAGGAAGTTTCATCTTAGAATTTCAGATATTCATATAATGAACTTCCTAGTATGTTTGATTAATCCTGAATTTTACCATATCTTTATCCCATATATTATTTGGATGTTTTCTTCTATCAACCAAATACAGTGGAGTATGATTTACTAATAAATAGTATTGAGTCAGAATATAATCTATACTTAGTAATTTCATAAAATAACCATAATTATTTATATCAAAATTTTAAATATTCTATATTCGTTTATAAATGCCCTATCTTTAATTAGAATATTAAATTTATATGAGCAGTGCTTCTTTGCTCCACATTGAGTTCATTTTGTCTAAAAGCAACTGAAATAACATAAATATTCTTTACAAAATATTGATATGAATTATAATCAAATATAAATAGAGTCTGCCTCCTCTTATTGAATAACAGCGTTCTTTCTCTTGCATTATCTGTAAAGAGTGAAACCAATCGCAAATAAAATTGCCCAACCCCATGCAAACAATACATATTGCCAATCAAATCCATAAAAAACTCCTACTCATAAATATTGAATCTAACCTGGTTCTTGATACAAAACCTTCTGAGAATCACAAGAGTCTTCACAAGTATTACAACCACAAGGCTTTTTGATTTCAAATTGGTATGGATCATAGAATTTACCATCATCAGCCATTTCAAATGTTTGATTACAATTGTCAATGTTAGGCATGAGCAAAGAATCTTATTCCGAGAATTCAATAGCGATCAATTAAAGAGAGGTAGATCTAAGGATATATAGAATCTTCATACACTCCTTATTCAGCCTAGAAAGTGAAGAATCCACCAGGTGTTTGCATGGCACTGACTTGGGAAGCAAAGTTCGTTCTTTAACAAGAAGAAAATACATCCTTATTTTAATGAAATGTATTTACACATGCCACTTAGGGATGAATACGCAAAGTTACAGTCTAAACATCAATGGTTCGGTTGGGATTCCTTGGGTCAGTGACATTAGCTCTGCCAGTAATTTTAAGAAATTCCCCCTATCTTGGATCACATGAATATGCGCACCAAAATCTTTTCATGTTGGCTGCACAACTATTGTACTTGTTTTGATTTGTACATATCACATCCATCGCCATCACTTCCAAAAGTGGCATCTAATGAGACAAAATCGTTTCCAATTCCTTCATCTTATGATTGAGTGCAACAAACAGGAGAATTATCATAGAATCGACATGCACTCATTTTTTCATTAATCCATGGCTCCTTATCAGTTTCTATGGGTAGGTTATTTTCATCTAAAGTGTATCCACAAGGTATTCCATAGGCTGTCTGCATTAATGCTAAAATCCATAACATAGTTATTTTATAATTAAATAAATTCATTCAACAAATATAATAATTTATGGATTAATCTTTTTAAATTGAAAGAAATACCAATAAAATCCTACAATCAAGATACACACTCACTTACTGAGAAGTTTACATATGAAAACTTAAATTGTGGTACTGGAGAACTCTCCCTTTGAGAAAAGGAGAAGGAAAATAGGGATATAACAAAATTGTATATAAATTCAATATTGTAAAGGTCTATAGAACAACCAACAGTAAATTCTCATAAACTTAATAAGATGAAAGTATTAAGTTTGACTTTTAAGCTTTTTCTGATAGGAGGACCAATTTGAATGAATTGCTTTTTAGAATTGAGTCATTAATAAAATATATTGAAAACTTGACTGTTAATTAAATTTAATGTAAAACAACTCGCCAATCAAAGGTCGACGCATTTCAAACCAGATTAAGTTGACTGGGAAAGTTCTTAAAAAGAAGACAGCGTCAGAGGTGGAGATCATAGGTCCTTCTGGGAGAGATATGGATACTAGTGTGGTTGCTAAAATTTAAATAATGTAGTATGAGAACCTGAAATCGCATATGCAGTAGTGTCAAAGTGAACTTAAAGTTGCAAAGAGTACGGAAAAGATAAAGAAAAAAAAGTCACTAGATCGCCATGCTGCCATCAAGAAGAGTCAGCAGTTGTACAAGAAAAAAAAGAAATCTACGAAAATTAAAAAGAGTGTTAGTGCTGAAAGAGTTAAGAGTCAAACCTTAGAGTTCTCATCTCCAGAGTGTGTACGACGTAAGAAGGCAGCCACTTTTTTTAATGAAAAGCCCAACACTCTCTAAGATCATCGCGAACGTCTAGGACTTAGTTTCTTAAATAAGATTGGCACTAAGAGAATTGATTAAATTTTAGAGCGTATTTTAGTGATTCTATAGCGTTAGGTAATAGGATGTCATCAATAGAACAATCACATCATCCTCCGCTCACTCCTGAGAAACATCGCTTTCCTCATGAAATAAAGCATTACATGAAGGAGAAAAAGAAGTTCTATTCACAATTAGATTCCATTAAGCAACAATCCATGTTAGAAAAGAAAAAGCACATTGATGAGAATCTGCGTTCTTTGGCTGAAATAGCGAAAAGAAATTCTCTTTCGAATAGTAGATCACCGCCGAGAGACAGTACAAATAAAGTTAGTGCAAAACCACTTATGTTAAGTTATGTGGCTAATCGCAAAAGTACTTCACGTAAATCGGGAGTCCCTAAATCTTTGAGGGAACAATTTAAGTAATTGGAGGCTCGTTATAAAACTTTAAAGAGTAATAGTGATGTTATATCATTGAGAGAATCTAGAAACTACGAACACGAAATGAAAGAATAAGCAGCCAAATGCATCTAGAGATGGTTTAAAGGATTCAAAGCAAGGAAACTATGGTAGAAGAAGAAAGAAAAGAAGCTACTCAAAATATAGTAATTCTAATAATTGAAGGACTCTGAGATGGCAAGATGGGATAATCTTAAAGCATTCCTATAAAATCTATAAGTCAAGTAAGATATGGTTGTGATGGCAGATTTGATTGAAAGTTTAATTAAATATGCCGATTTCAACAAAGAAAATGTGTTATCAAACACTATTGAATAACCTTAAATCAAATTAAAACCTTAGAAGTTGATCATTGAAAAATCTGAAGTATTCCCTCCGCAAATTGGACAAATCCTTTACCTTAGAGGCGAATTAATTAAGGAGAGAGAAAAGAAGGAAAAGTAGATCTTGAAGGATCTCCTTGTTTAAGAGAGGATCTCTCCTCGCTCCTTTGGTTTGAAGGAACAAGAAATTTAGAAGTGGGGGGAAAAAGAATTGGAAGCTTTGGAAATCAGCAAATAAGCAATAAAGGATGGATGGTTTAAAGCCTACGAAACAATTCAAAAAACTCAAAAGGACTTAAGGTTTGTGCAGAAATTAGGGGATGATCATTTCAGCAAGATGATGCCAGTGAGTGTTAGTCAAAGTAATCTACTGAAAAATTAACTCAATGATTTAAAAATTAATGTAATTGTTATGAATTATCTATAGTTGTTAAGGGCTAGCTATTCTGAGGAGAATCTCATAGATTAAAAGAAGAAACCACTTTAACATTCGGAATAATTGGATAATTAAGAATAGTAATTAGCATCATACAACTCAAATTAATCAAATAAGACTTTGTCATCGTACATCCAAGGTCTAGAAGTAATATATTACCTTAGTAAGGGATGTTCCAATAGAAGCGGAAGAGTAGGGACAAGTTGAGAATCTGCAGTATGTATAGACTCATGTTGGCTATGTTAAACATTATTTAGAGGACATCAAATTAATAGTTAAAAATCAATATCAGAATCAATTCTTATAAATCATCAACTTGAGTATTGGTCCGTCTCCCTTTGAAATTTTGAGATTCTTTAGATTAACTGAAGAAATGCTGGAACAATCCTTGGATGGTGGATTCATTCATTAAGCAGTCTTGAATTTGGATATATTTTCAATTAAGGAGAAGGTGGGAACAGAAGAGGTTTGTGTCAATGAGATGGAAAGAATACATAACAAAGCTATTTTTGATGCTTTCAATGAGGCTTTGGATTATCACCGCCCATTTGGTATCAAGGGTAGACCATTACCTTGGAGGAAGAATGTAATATGTAGGCAAGTAAACTCTGTTGAAGATACTCTTGAGAAATCGGCAATAAGGGTTGTGCAATGGGCTGAAACTCTAAGTGGTATACTATTACCATAAGGTAGTTAAGTGGATAATGACATTTTGCCACAAGTTAGAGAAGAAAGATTGGATAAGATGTTAAAGTAGGAAGTAAATAAGCTATTCATTATATGTAGGTATTCGAAACAGATGACAGATGGTAGGAATTTGATGAAGAACACACTGAAGTAGCTTTGGAGTTGAGTGAATTGATATTCAATCATCTCATTACTGAAGTAATCACTGAATTAAAAATTTGATATTTTATTTTATTTTTAAATTATATCTCATTTTAATTTTATAAATTTGACATATATAATAATTAATTAAATGATGCCTATCAAAAGGGATTATTGCCATTTTTATTGTTTTCATTAATCATAAATAATTTCGGTGTGACAAAAGTACCTTAGCTGACAGGGAGTTTAAAGTTCTTCCTCACAGTTTCCTACTTTAATAAAGCTCTTTATTGAGGTTTCAAACCAGTAAATTTAATGTTTCTGATAGTTTCATCAGCTAAAAGAGCTGTTGAATACTCCTTCTTTAAAATTCTTTTCATACCAGAGGATTTTTCACTTTTTAATCTAACAAATTCTGTTTTTTGTTCTAAAATTTTAGATTCTGATTTGTATTCTAAATTTCTTAAAGTGATTTCTGATTTGAGTTCAGTTTTTTCAATTCTTTTAGATGATTATTATTATTATTGTTAATGTTATTATTAATATTATTGTTATTGTTGCTATTATTGTAATTGTTTTAAAGCTTTACTTGCTCCTGTTGATTCTTAGTATAATTATCCTGCATACTCTATAAATTTCTCATACTCCTCCTCATATTATTCTAATGGGTAGACTTTTTCAAAATTTCCTAGATTCTAATTTTCATACTAATCTCTCATGTCTTAACACTACTTTATTAGTTTTTGCCTCTCCTCAAATGTTAACCTGGTTGGTTTATTTGTCAACATTCTCTATTATAATATTTGTCTTTCTTAATTTATAATTTCCTATTTAGCCTTCCAAGTACAATTCATTAAAATCAAAGACTATGAAATCAATGACCTTTTTATGGTTGCATCTAAAGGAGTGTCTGTTGTAAAACTAGGGGAATGGTTAACTTCTAATAAATATGGCTTTAGCTTATGATCCAAGATAACATCCATGCCTAAAACTTCGAAACACATATTGTTCATATGATTATTAGGTTGGCAGGATTTATATTAATGAGCTAGAATAGGCTACACAGCACAGAATGTCTTAATCATCATCTTTTTTATTGTATTCCATAACAAATCAACATTTTCACCTTTACTCCTGAGCAATTCAAAAACACTTGTCATACTTCTCTTATGACCAACATCCATTTATTAATCACTCTAATTAAATACAAAGTTTTCGTTATCCTTATTAACAGCATAATTCGTGAGATGCATACAGATATTATCCAAATTGTCTTTACCAGGTTTCTTGTATTACTCAGTTGCAAATCTAGCAAGACCTTCTTTAAAGATGTAAATTCTTAAAGGATCACAACCAGCCAACAATACATAGATTCTAAGATCGAATTTTAAACCATCAATCAAATAAGGATTGCTCAAATATCTTTAAGCGACATAGTGTTCATGAATTGAAAGACCTTCTGAATCCTTAACCAGCATTATTCCCTTGCCCTGACATGAAGCCTCAGGTTTGATAATAAAAGTTTTGTTCTTGCCAATATTTGCTCTGAAATCACTTAATTCTGCTGGCAATAACCAAGTGTAAGGGAAGTAATTATATGCTTTAGGAAACTATTTGTGCATCTTCATTAAGTTCCTTCCCAGATGATTTTTGCGAGCTAAACTATACATTCCAGGGAAATGATTAACTTTTTGATGGGCTAAATGGTTTGATTAATTGATTACCATTCATTCTCCCCAAGAGATCTGAGAATACAGCACCATCAGTCCACCAAACATCCCAATTGGTACCATTCTCCTCTTTCTAAATTTTCCAATTTAACATCTTTTTACCAACATACCGAATCACAGGGTATTAAGAACCTAAAAAAAGATATCTTGATCATTTGTACTGGAAACATTCATTATGAGTCGTTCTTTGTTTTTCTTAGCCTTATTTTTTGGTTTGGTCACTTCTTTTTATGTTTAACTATCGTCTTATTATTACATAGTATATTAAATAAAATAATAAAAATCATAGCAATTATTAATAAGTAGAAACTAATAGTCTATTTTTGAAACCCTTATATATTCTATTCCCTAATTCCTAATGCAACCCCAAATTTAATAAACTGATTGCACTCGGAATGCATTACTAAATTTCCTTTAGAGAGTATTTTATTGTGACATTCTTACAATTTTTCATACTTGAAAAATACAAATGAAACTTTTTTCTATTTTCTTAGTAAAAAATTGAAACATAGATTTGGGTTGGTCTCATTGTAAAAATCAATCTCTTCAATAACACATACTGATATTACTACTATATTAATTAAGAAATACTTTAAATTCAGTAAATTACTTATAATTGGCGTTAACTTTAATTAATTAAGGACATTTCTCATCCCCTAATACATCTTAAACAATAAATGTGCTTGGATTCGATTTCAATTACTTTTTCAGCTTATTCAACATGTAAACTGAACACTTTTAAATATCCGATTATATGAATTCGTACGAATCTACTTAGAAATCCCTTATCTTATGATTTTATAGATTCCGTCTCTCATCATAATAATAACTATGCAGAACCTTGCGCAGCATTAATTTAAAATTAACTACCTTTGGATCTTCAAATAAAGTAATTCTTTGATAAAGTTAAAAGTTCTAGCTCTCATTTAACCTGATGGGAACACAAACCTTAAACATATCCAATGGTTTACGCACATTTTCAACAAATACTTCAAAAAGTGCATTGACTTCATTACCCAAATAAACTACTTTGGTATATAGATTTTCTCTTAAAACCCCTTAAAAAGAATCAAGATTAAAAATGAAATGATTTTGTGAATTTTTAGTAATAGTTATTTTATCTATAAGAGTTTCCCAAATCTTAATTTCAAATGAAGAAATCATGTCAAGGTTATTCTTCCTTACCAGCAATTGATTGAAAAATAGATCTTTATTGCTTTGATAGTAATTTTCCCTGCACTCTTAATTGGAGACTTGTGGGCTTTGTTTAAAAAAAAGGCTTTTATCAATATGTTGTGTACTTCTTTAGTTAGGCAAAATCAATAGCATTTTGTTTTAACTCCCATAAGAATGTTATATGCTATATTGTTTGGAAATCTATTTTTTCAATAAAATAGGAGGCTGGGTAGAGGATCTTGCATTTTATCGGCTTTAATCGCTGAAAGATTCAATTAATTTATTTGACTCATCATTCTATTTTCCTAGCAATTCATTTAAATTGGATAAATCAATTGATTATTATTTGCCTTAAGTTTACTTATATAATTCTTATTATGGGATTAGTTTAATTTAACTTTTCATTTCACTATAAAAATCTTCAAATTCATCTGGATGATTGATAGCCAACTTATATATTTTAGTTATTTCAGAGAATTTCCATCTATTTACATAAAATTAATCGATAGTTTCTTTCATAACTAGACAAGAAGGAAAAATAGATTCTAGAAAATCTGGATTCATTTATTGAAAGTCACTCTATTAAATATAACAGCTGAAATTCCTACAGGTTTATGGAATGTATAATCCAATCTAAAATTTGTTTAGAGACAAGTATGAGACAGTGATGATGACGTACATAGAATATATAACTTTTGTAGTTTTATATATAAACTTTTGCCCTCTAAATACTGGTGTCAACATTGAAGTATTCTTTAGAATTCCACTGGCTTCATCTGGTAATTATAAATTTTCAATTTAAACACCCATCATTAGTGTTGATGATTTCTAAAGATTCACACTTTCTTTCAATAGCATGGATAATTTAGGCTAAGTTGATCTTGCTTTTTATTGTTCTTCAAAGATATTACTTCCATTGGTTACATCACTAAATGTATTATAAAGATCATATTTGGATTAACTGATGATAGATGATAATGGTATTTTAATTCCATTATAAGTGTTGGTTCTGTAACAGATTAAATATGCTGTCAAAATGTTGAGAATCTCGTGTAAGACTTTATCATTAAAACCAGAATCTAGATCAACTTAAGGACAGATACTTATGATGTCAGCAAGATCCAATACAAGTTTGAATATTTTGGTTCTACTTTCCTGAGGTGTAATCTAAAGGTAAAAGTAGGTATGCACTCCATCTTCTAGATCAAGATAAAATTTATTGAATTAGTAGACTTCACATTCAACAAACACCTTTCCAATATTACTTACTCTACTTTGAAAATTGAAAGTTTTCCTATGGAAATATGTGCTCATAAAATGTCTCAAACGACTTGAAGATATCAAAGTTAATTTCAATTGTTATTTGAAGTAATAAAAAATGATAGTTTATTTCAATAGTCTTTGATTTTCACTGCATATGAATTATTAAGGATCAATGATATACATTAACAAAAACTGATCTAAAACGCTATACTTATCTCTATTTCTTTCTTCAATACTTATATATTATCTTTTAAATTGCAAAGCTTTTCCGATTAATCTGTGTTAGATTATAGATTGTGACCTAATTTGATAACCTATCAACTTTTTGTTATTAAAGATGTGCAATATCTTTTCCATATCTTGGGGTTCATAGATTGCTCTATAATAAATTTCTCTTTAATTGCGTTAATACTTTGTGATTTTTATTTTTATTTGTTCTTATCCAATCAACTCATGCACGCTCTTCTTCAGAAATATCAAATCTTATTGGGCTTATTGATCACTTAGATATAATAACTTAGTATCAAAAACTTTTGTCTCTCTAAATGATACTTCAATTTTTAAATAATAATCATTGTCTTTAAAATAGAATTTATTTCTCATTATATTGAACATACTTCTATAATTTCTGAATGATCTCCCTTCTAAAACATCCTCATCATAATTTTCATTTTAGACTGATGTTGCAATTGACAACTTGAGAATATCATCAGGTAAAATTTGATTTATATTTTCATAAATTGCTAATTAAGCCATTCTCTCAGAATAAATTAGTCTATATGAATTAGTCAAAGGAAGTAGTTGGCCAGCATTTAATTGTTAATGTAGCTCATTTTGTATGTAATTATCATAGTGATTGATTCTTTTTACATATCTATCCAACAAGATCATTGTATGTCTGAAATCATAACTAAGCAATTCTTATATTAAGGATTATTTTGATAAAATTTCATTTTGCATTAGTATTGAATTGATGATTTCAAGTTTCTTTTATCTGTTAGGCAATTTCATCCCAAAATCAATATTAATTTTCTACTTGGTACTACTTCCGTCTTTATAATTAATAATTAGAAAGCTTTTAGACTCTTCTATTATTACTTGTCCTATAACTAAAGTGTTTTTTTGCTTAATAATTAAATTAAGTGCAAAATAATTATCTGGATATTCGTAAATATAGTCTTGTACTTATGATTGGATGATTGTAGCTGTGAAATAAGGTTGCATATTCAGTTCAGAGTTAAATTTAATGATCGGACCCTCTTTTGGTTAGTAGTTTTGGTAATCTTTCAAATTGGCCAATTAAAATTCTGGAAAGTACTCTTGAGCCAACTAAATCTCAGCTTAAGATCTATCATTGTATTAATTAAAATCTTCTCGACTTTTCTAAGATAAAGGTGGTTCACAACCTTCCTTCGTTTATCTTTGATCAAATTCAGGAATAGGAGGGCTACAAATTTTTTGAACCAAATTGTTTTTGATTACAGCCTATGAAGAGGTTGCATGCTAGGATCTTAGACCTATGATATAATTTTTATTATTGATGGTAGTGTATTATTTTTTTTGATTTCTTTAAGCAGATTATCTATTATAGTCTATTTCACAGCTATCCTAAAATGATTTTTAATTAACTAAAAGTTATTTTTAATTTGAAAGAGAAAGATTATCATGTGAACATTCAGATTCTTAAATAGCAATGCTTTATTCATGAATAAATTCATCATTGGTATTAATTTATAATCTTTTTTATGCAGAGAAAGCAGATGTTTATAACTAATAATGTTAACTTTCAATTGATTTAAAAGGTTCATTTTTGAAATGTTTGAGAAGCATTATTCTCTTTCTTTCTTTATAAATCTTTTTATTCTTCTCTAATTTAGTGCCATCAATAATTTAATCGAGTAATTGTTTATTGATGGCATCCTTCATAGAAACTAATTGATAGCCAAAAAATGATTTAATTAAATAATAATGATTTCTAAGGGCGTACATCAACTTAGCCACAATCTTGGTGGCAAAATCATTTTTCTAGAATACCATTGTTTTGCAAGCATTTGGTTCATAGAGATTCTATTATTTACAGTATATGCTTAGGAGACCATTGAAATTTTCTAAACGATCTTATGTGAACCATCTCTAATATTCATCAAGATAACTAATAAAATTATTGATTTTGAAGTTCAAATTGTATTATTATGAATCATTTTACAATTAGAAGTAAACAATCAATTATAAAGCAATAATTGAGTGTTAATCACTGAAAATATTCTTGATTTGTTATAGTTATTATTCTAAAATTACATAAATCAAATTACTTAATAGTTAAGGAATGTTAAAAAATGATTATGTCTATTAATCATAAAATTTCTAGTTGTTTGGACATCCATGATCACTAAATGCAAATATAGAAATGTTAGATAATTTCCATATCTTAATCTCATTATCAAAGAACAACCTGCACAAGAACTATAATTCTTATTGTGGGAGATTATAAAAGTCTACAATGATTTAGGTTAACTAATATTTATTAGAATATTTTACTGTTTTAGCCTTTTTTGTACTGATTTGTTCGTCTTCATTGTTTTTCAGCTCTTTAACAATCTAGTCAAACCTACCTCCCCTCTTTATTGAATTCTAGAGTTCTTTCACTGATACTTTCATACTGGATCTAATGACTTAGACACTATCAAATTTCTCAGTACAATTTGTTTGACTCTATGGTTTTAATGTAGTAATAGATGTCAATTCAATTGTTTTAGTAGTCGTAATTTACTTGATATTGCATTTGTATCTTCTAAAATATATTTAAATGACTTTTGCAGCCTAATTCAACTAATTAATTGTGTATTTATTCAATTAATCTTTGTACAGATTCTCACCAGATTCTATGATTTCATTTTATATATTCAATAGTAGAGGAACCAGAACTTATTGTTGAGATATTTATTGTTGCTATGCCAATATTGATTCAGTGGTGGGCACTCTCATTTCATCCAATTACTGTTATTTATTGAAATCTTAAGTTGTCCTTACCTTTGATATCATGAATTCATTTTATTATGTATCAGATTTACTAGATACTATTTATGTAGTTTGTTTGTTCAGCTTTCTTGATACAAATCTTGTTGATTTGATTTTCGTTTTCTTTACGATAATTTGTTCAGTTTTATCTCCTTGTCTATCAGACTTCTTTTTTTATTGTGTATGTTCAGATTTAAATTGAGGTCTCATAAGCATCAACTCATCTATAGGTTCTGCTTTAAGTTGAGCCTCTTATAATTAAACTCTACAAATAATATATCAATTTTACTTAAATTTGTCCATCTAAGATCCCATTATTTAACTTGTTCTATGAGAATGTGTTGCTAATGACATTCGAGGAGAAAATAGCTTATCTTAAGGAAGCAAGGATTGATTAAGTTAAGTAGATGTTGCTCTAGAGGATGGTTTCTTGTTTGCTAATTAAAACGCCTTTTCTTGTTGTTCTTAATATTCTTCGATCTAAATTTAGTTAGAAAAAGTCTTCAATTTCTCTTAGTATTCCTGTCTGACTTTCTTCACATACTCAGGCATTTGATATTTGGTTGAATGTGATGACAATTGTCTCACTATTTATTGATAGGAATTCACATGTGTCTACATATGGTGCTACCCATGTTGAATAGATAATTACATCAAAATTTTTGTTTGGTTTTAGTGTTACTACTTTACGCAACAACTCTTATCCAACCTCCTTTTAGAGCGCAACTTTGAATTACTGAAAATCCACTTTCTCTTGTCCCATAATCATTTCGAATTCCATCTTTTAACTTAACTTCTAGTATTTGTCTCTAGCTTTCATANTTTTAGCCTTTTTTGTACTGATTTGTTCGTCTTCATTGTTTTTCAGCTCTTTAACAATCTAGTCAAACCTACCTCCCCTCTTTATTGAATTCTAGAGTTCTTTCACTGATACTTTCATACTGGATCTAATGACTTAGACACTATCAAATTTCTCAGTACAATTTGTTTGACTCTATGGTTTTAATGTAGTAATAGATGTCAATTCAATTGTTTTAGTAGTCGTAATTTACTTGATATTGCATTTGTATCTTCTAAAATATATTTAAATGACTTTTGCAGCCTAATTCAACTAATTAATTGTGTATTTATTCAATTAATCTTTGTACAGATTCTCACCAGATTCTATGATTTCATTTTATATATTCAATAGTAGAGGAACCAGAACTTATTGTTGAGATATTTATTGTTGCTATGCCAATATTGATTCAGTGGTGGGCACTCTCATTTCATCCAATTACTGTTATTTATTGAAATCTTAAGTTGTCCTTACCTTTGATATCATGAATTCATTTTATTATGTATCAGATTTACTAGATACTATTTATGTAGTTTGTTTGTTCAGCTTTCTTGATACAAATCTTGTTGATTTGATTTTCGTTTTCTTTACGATAATTTGTTCAGTTTTATCTCCTTGTCTATCAGACTTCTTTTTTTATTGTGTATGTTCAGATTTAAATTGAGGTCTCATAAGCATCAACTCATCTATAGGTTCTGCTTTAAGTTGAGCCTCTTATAATTAAACTCTACAAATAATATATCAATTTTACTTAAATTTGTCCATCTAAGATCCCATTATTTAACTTGTTCTATGAGAATGTGTTGCTAATGACATTCGAGGAGAAAATAGCTTATCTTAAGGAAGCAAGGATTGATTAAGTTAAGTAGATGTTGCTCTAGAGGATGGTTTCTTGTTTGCTAATTAAAACGCCTTTTCTTGTTGTTCTTAATATTCTTCGATCTAAATTTAGTTAGAAAAAGTCTTCAATTTCTCTTAGTATTCCTGTCTGACTTTCTTCACATACTCAGGCATTTGATATTTGGTTGAATGTGATGACAATTGTCTCACTATTTATTGATAGGAATTCACATGTGTCTACATATGGTGCTACCCATGTTGAATAGATAATTACATCAAAATTTTTGTTTGGTTTTAGTGTTACTACTTTACGCAACAACTCTTATCCAACCTCCTTTTAGAGCGCAACTTTGAATTACTGAAAATCCACTTTCTCTTGTCCCATAATCATTTCGAATTCCATCTTTTAACTTAACTTCTAGTATTTGTCTCTAGCTTTCATAGTTGCTGATGCATCAGGCCCGTATATCAATTCCTATATTTACCATGCTTTATATAGATTTTTCAGGGATTCCCTTTCAAATCCGACTTTAAATTGGGATTTTCCTATCTAATAGAATGCTCTTGCTAACATCATAAAGAATTCTTTATATTCCTGGTGAAACTCCTCTTTTGTCAATGTGCGCAAAGAGTCAAATGTGATTCCCAATCTTTACAAAATGTCAACTAATTTATTACATTAATCTAACATATCATCTTTGTGATGCATCATTCTACAAACATCACTACCATGAAATAGTAATTATGCATACACCTTTAGCACTTACTTATCATCTTCACAAATATTCACTCTTTTTGTATATGAGAATTTTTCCATAAAAGGCAATACTTCTCTTAGATTCATCCAAGCCTTTTAAAATTATCCTTGATGTTCATACAACTACGATAACTAGAGTATTGCATGACTTCTTGACTTCACAAAAGTATTCGTGTAAAATATCCCGCTTGTTATTGAGATTGGCGTTGTAATCTACTTAGTCATCATCCTAATACCTCTTTTGCTCTATTAAAATACATTTCTGCCTAGGTATAATTTCCCTATTTCAAAAGTAGCCTTCCATCTTTAATCAATGTATTTGCAAAATCTACAGCTGCGTTCACGACTAGAGGAGATTCCCATCCATTTTAGGATAGTGTCTGCAAATAAAAGCGTTCTAATCTCTAAAGATTCAACAGTTGCCCTGATTACATATTTATATAAAATTAATAAGAAGCCCATAAAATTTTATATCAATTTTATACTTTCAATTTAATTATAATTCCTATATTCGTTTTTCTTTAGTCTCCCAATCTTTATAGAACATTCCCCCGTTATTTGTTCGCATTCTATTAAATTAAACAAATCTTCTCACTCTTCCCTGTCTAAAATTTGTTGTTCACCTCATTTAGACCTTGTGCTGAAGAACCCATTATTTTTTGTTAATTTTAACCCAATTAAAAATTATAAATATTCCTATCCTTAGTAGAACTTGCTCTCAAGAGACAAAACTATCTTAGCTATGATCTTAAAATTTAATTTTACCTTTTCATTTCTAATCCAAAATTTTCCATTAAATCCGATATTTTTTGTCTACTCGTCCTAAGATCCTTTGTTCTAATAAATAACTAAGAATATATTAATATAATATATTTCTTAAAATGGCAATTTTATTTGAGTACATTTATTGTAATTAGATTGAATAAGAAAAGCGATAGTGATGATCTTAATAATTTTTATTTATTTGAATTATGATCTGAAAATAAATTTCTTCCATTATATGATTACTTTTATTCAAATAATAAAGAGAAGATTAATATAAATCTTTCAACAATTTATTATAAATTATAGATTTTCCCATTATAATGGTTTTACTTTTTTCAAGTTATCTATTGCCACTTTTCTATAAGAAGTTTAAAAAAAATGACATTTACTCAATCTTTGGTTAAATTTTATTATTAAAGTTTAACAAATAATTATTATAATTAATAGGCAATTAATAATTTACTATATAATATTTATATAATTCTGTTTTTCAATCGCATAACTATATATCTACCCTCTTTCACTAATTTTCTGTATTTCATTCAACGAAAACCAAGATATCATATTTGACTTTATGAACTTTTATATTGTTTTAAACTACATTTTAGAATATATTAATTTATAAATAGGAAGTCCCTTCTAGCCTTCCATGACCCTCATAGCTTAATAGTTTATTTTGACTCTAACAATTTATTAAATTTGGCCTTTTTTGAAATACAATATGTGTTTCATAGGTTGTAATTTTTTAAATAACAAAACTATTTGTAATTTTAAAAGAACTCAAGATATTTTTTTAATATTCAGCTAGAATTTCAGAAATTATTTCTCAATCCGCAAGTCATTTTGATATGTTACACAATTAATTTTATTCTTTGCTAATTATTTCCTATTCAAATTGACCTAAATTGATTTGAGCAATTGATTCCAGAACTTTTAATTTATTTTGTATTTTTACTATCTTTAATTATGAATTATATTTAATATTTTTCAACATCATCTACATATGGATAGAAAACCATAGATAATATTAGGTTTCAATATTATTTATCACTCCTAAATATTTTCTCTCGCTTTTTACTCTAATTATTTTGATATTAGGGTCAACGTTAACAATAAAATGTATTAAATTTTCCCATAATTACTCTAAATGGGAGCCAGACCAAAGATTTAATTCATTACTTTTTGAATCGTAATTGGAATAATATTTTGAAAGAATTGCTATGGTAGTAATTATATACAGGTATTCATATCCATTATTATGTAAAGATATTTCAAAAGTCTTATAATTTGGTTTATTTAGTTTCCTCATACAAGAAAGAATATTTTCTTATATAATAAGTGGATTTCTTTTAAGAGTTCATTAATTGATAATAGATTTAAATATTTAGATTTTTCAATAATTAGAAAATAAATAACAGATTATATTAATGTATCGCAATCAATCATTGAATATTTCATAATTTAAAATAAGAATGAAAGACCTAGGTCAATCTCTGATTTTGATATATTTGCTAATTCTCGTTTAAAACACTTCTGCAGAGCCAACCACTCTGAGAGTTTCTAATGCACCTTGTTCTTGCAATTAAGTTTTAACCGAGAAAGAATGCAAAGAACGCAAATGTTATTGGAACAATATTGTTTGTTCCAATTTAACATTAAAGACTACTAATTATTGCGAATTGATGGGGATAGAAGTATGCATGAGTACACCAGGTTGTGCTAATGTTTCTGAGAAATGCGTTTCTTTCTCAGGATGCAGCACTTATCAATACCCTACGAATGAAATATGCTAAAGCATCTCAACGAGTTGTACAACAGATGGAGAATAGTGTATAGAATTGGATAAGTGTAGTAATTACACAAATTAGGTAAGTTGTGTTAAGGATGAAGCTGGGAAATATTGTTATTGGAATACTGAAAAAAAAGTATGTTAATTGACAACAAGTTGTGATTTGTTACCAAATACTTTGAATTCTGATGGTTTATGTAGAGCCTAGATTAGTAGTTGTACAATGAAGAATGGTGGTGGATGTGAGGTAAGTGGAGAGAATTGTGAAAATCAAAAATTCGAAGGAGCATGTTTAACAAATTTAGATCAAAAAACTAAGTGTATTTGGGATACAAATATATGCAAAGATAAAACTTGCATAAACGCACCTCAAACAAACACAACTCATGATTTATGTACAACATATTTAGCCACTTGTACAGTTAATGATATTTTAAAGGGATGCCAAGATAGACCAGAGTAATGTTCAGCATTGAATCATTAGAATAATTGCATAATTAACAGTGCTGGATAAAAGTGTTATTGGAACAAAAACAATCAAAAATGCGAAGATAAAAATTGTGATAATGCTTCCGAAGATAATTAGAATCATGATATGTGTTAGTAATGGTTGAGTATATGCACTGTAAATTCTGGAGGAATAGGTTGTTAGACTAAATTAAGTGATTGCACAAAATACACTACTTCAAATCAATGTGTTTAGACATTATCTGGAGATGAATGTTTTTGGAGTGAGACCAAGTGTTTATTAAAATCTTGTGAGAATGCTCCCTCTACTAATATTACTGACGAGATGTGTTCTTAATTTTTATCTACTTGTACTGTTCAAATTGACTTAACTGGATGTGAAAGGAGAAAGACCGCTTGTTCTCTCTACACCAAAGAATAACAATGTGTATCTTAATTGAATGGAAAATTGTGTATATACTAGAATAATTTGTGTATTGAGAGACTTTGCAGCAATGCTTCTGAAGACTTTACCAATGATTAGGAATGTAAGAGGTTCTCGTCTACTTGTATGGCCAAATCGAATTATAAAGGATGTGTTTTACAAGAATGCAAGAGTATTTTAACAGGTGATCATTGTACCTTTGATTATCAAAATAAAAAATGTTATTATGGAACAAAATGTTAATAAAGAAGTTGTGCTAATGCCCCGTTGACATACAAAACAGATGCAGAATGTCGATCATTTTTAAATGATTGCACAGTCACTTAAGAACTTAAAGGGTGTATTGAGAGACCATTATCATGTGATAGATTGAGTGAAAAATAATGTATAATGTTAAGTGATAATGTGACAAAATGTAGTTGGAATGATGATAATGAGAATTTTAAAGTATGTAGAATCTTGGATTGTTCAGATATTATACCAGGAACATAAACGAATGAAACTTGTAGTGCTTTCGATCCCTCTTGTACAGTTGCTGATCTTTCAAGTACATGTATGAAAAAACCATTGGGTTGTTCTTTGATGCTAAACAAATAACATTGTTTTGGAGTAGTGCTTATAGATATGCAATCAACTTGTAGTTGGGATAATGATAATTCCTTATGCAGAGATCGTTAATGCTCAGATTCTGATTAGTCCATAAAGACAGAAGATGGCTGTAGACAATACTTAGCTACGTGCACACTCAGTCCAACAGGAAGTGGATGTGTTAATGAGCCATCATCTTGCAAAGGATACAAAATGAAAGATACTTGTAAGCGTTTAGTGTCTGATCCAAACAATATTGTGTTGTGTGGTTGGAATGGATGTGAAAATAGAACTTGTTTGAATGCTCCAATTGCCAGTTCAGGGTAATTATACACACATAAATAATGTAATTCATATTTAAGTTCATGTACATTAAATGCAGATTAGACTGGTTGTGTATCTTAGTTTTCATCCTGTGATTAAATTAAGAGTTAAGTGTAATGTGCAGACACCATCTTAGTGAGTGGGACGAGATGTTATTATGATGTTTCAACTGACAACTATTTCTGTAGAGACTTCAAATGCACTGATGAAACCACTTCATAAATGACTCACGCAAAATGCTAGGCTTTAAGTAGTTAGTGCACTCTTGGTGAAGTTGGTCTGGGCTGTGTTGATCTGTTAAGTTCTTGTTCAAACATCAAAGAGATGTAATAATGCGAAGGAACTATTTTGAACTTCACTCGTTAATGCAGTTGGGATACAACTATTCAAAATTAAAACCCAGATTGTAAGGATAGAGCATGCAAATACAGTCCTTTTAAAGACTCTTCTGTTAGCTGTGAGAATTACTTAGATTCCTGCACTCTAGGCGATCCTGAGTTGGGGTGCATTGAAAAGCCTATGTCTTGCAATGGTCTTAATCAAAAACAATGTGCAAATGTTAAATTAGTCAATGGAACCTATTGTTCATTCAATGGTACTATAGTTGATGAGGCTTTGTAATGTCGCGATAGAGTTTGTGCTGATGCTCCTACTAAATATCAGACTGATGCTCAATGTAAAACTTGGCTACCTAATTGCGCAGTCAGACCTGATTAAGCTGGTTGTATTGATGAACCTACAGATTGTACTTTAATGGTTAAATCATAATGCTTCACTTCCAAAGGAGTTACTTGCTTCTGGAATGGCTATGCCAATCCATCCAACTGTAGAGTGGCTCTGTGCACTGATGCAAGCAAAACTTTTTACACAAGTGATGCTCTCTGTAGAACCTATAGATCTGACTGTACAGTTGCCAAAGCTAATGGGTGCATTACATAACCAACTTCCTGTGCCTCTTTAGATCAAGATCATTGTCCTAGGATAACTATCAATGCCACTGACAAGGAGGCCAGTGAAAATAAGTGCAGTTGGAATCTCTCGACTTCAGCATGTTAAGATCGAGTTTGTATTGATGCACCCACTACAATCACTACAGAAGAAGGCTGTAGAGATTGGCTCAAGACTTGCACTCTTGGATTTACCAATTAAGGTTGTATTAACGAATAGACCACTTGTGATTTAGTATAAACATAGAATTAATGTTAAGTGCTATCTGATGGTACTAGATGTGGATGGAACACAGGTTGTGTGAATAGAACTTGCTCCAATGCTCCTGATACTTATACCACTGACGAGTAGTGTAGAACCTATCTTCCAACTTGCACTGTGTAAGCAGATGGAACTGGCTGTATTATTAGAGCATCCAAATGCGTTGATATTTCAATCGATAGACAATGCATTAAAATTGATGATACTAAATTATGTCAATGGAATTCAACTAAATTGAAATGTGAAGACAGAGCATGCACTAATGCTCCTAGTACTTTTAATAATCATGACCTATGTATTGAATTCCTGCCATCTTGTACCGTAAAGGCAAGTGGAGCTGGCTGTTAATCTCTATCTGATAAGTGTTCTGCCTACACCTCAAATAAGCAGTGTGTGTTAACTTTGGGCTATACTGGATGTCAATGGGTAATGATTTCAGGAACAGGATAATGTCTGGACATTTACGAATCCTGTTCATCTTACAATATTGAAGCATCTTGCACTGCATAAACAGATGAATCTAAGTGTATTTGGTTGAATGGATCATGTTATAATCGAGAATGTCAACATGCACCCAAATACTTTTCAACTCACGAACAATGTCAATACTATGGAAATTGTACTACAAATGGATAAGGATGTATAAATTATATACCATGTGATCAATATAAATATGCAGGTTCCTGTGTATACGGACTCAATGGAAAGTGTGTACTTGTTAACTAATGTCAAGATATCAGTTGTGACTAAGCCCCTGTTAATTATAAGACTCATTCTGATTGCCAGGCATTCCTATCCACCTGTACTACAAATGGAAATGGGTGCATTGAAATCAAGAGATGTCAAGATGCCTATGTGGAAGAAGCCTGTAAATTCAATGCTAGTAAGTAGGAGTGTGCTTGGGTCGATGGAAGTTGCTATGATAAAAGTTGCGACACTGCCGACATGACTATTCAATCAGAAAAAGGATGCAATGAATACTATCCTGAAGGCAATTGCACAACTAAAAAGGGAGGAGGATGTGTGACAAAAGGCAAATGCAAAGATGCGTAAGTAGAATCAGCTTGCATATCATAATCGGATGGATAGAAATGCTCATGGCAGAATGGAAGTTGTCAATTAAGATCATGCACAGACATATAGGGATACGATCATCAAACTTGCAATACTGCTTAAGCAGAATGCACTACCGATGGATTTCAATGTACAATGATGAAAACATGTTCGAATACTCTGATTGAACAAGCCTGTATCAAGGGAACTGATGGACCATGTCGATGGAGTTAGGGGAAATGTTATAGATATACCAAATGTACAGATCTCACTTATCCAACTCATGTTCAATGCAACTCTATCCATCCTTAATGTACTACCAATGGGATTAATTGTGTGTCAATCACAAAGTGTTCCAAAACACCTAAAATTGCTTGTTTTATAGGTATTAACAACAATTCAATTGAAAAATGCATTTGGACTCCTATGAATATAAAAGCATCAGCTTCATATCAATGTATTGAATTTAATGATTGCACAAATGCTTTATATCTAAATCACAATGATTGCTATAATTATTCCCTTGGTTAGTGTACGAGTGATGGTATCAGTGGATGTATTAAATTGGATAACTGCACAAAATACAGTGTAGAATCTGCATGTTTCATCGATTTGGCTGGAAAAACAATAAATTCAGCTGGAGCAATTACATCAACAGGAAAATGCAAATGGTCACAAGGGAAATGTGTTGCCTAAGGTTGTTCTGACATCATTGGATCTAATCATGAGGAATGCAATAGTTAACTGAGCACTTGTACTTATAATGGAAAGAGTTGTGTTGTGTAAGGGACATGCAGTACCTTTACAACAAGTGATTCCTGCATAATTGCAACAGGTACAGATGGGAAATGCTATTGGGAGAGTGGTGGTTGTACAGCTATGAAATGTGAGGATTATCCTGTCTCTTTATGTTCACTCTATTCATCCACTTGCATTCAAGATGGATCGTCATGTGTCTCTTTGAAGGACTGTACTTCATACAAAACTCAGTCTGCTTGTGATTACGGTAGTCCAACTAGTGTGTGTGCTTGGATTGTCACTTCTGTCAATAATAAAGGTAAATGCATCGAAGTGACGACATGTACTATTGCAACTATCTATGAAAAGGCATGCAGGAAATTATCTGATAGATGCTATTGGTAATCCATTGTTGTTGCCAATCAAACTGAATACATTTGTTCTCCCAAGACTTGTGAGATACAAACTGATTTGACTTGCTCAGGATTTTATGACTGGAATCTTACATCTTATACGGTGTGTTAATTCAGTCCTCAAGGTAAATGCGTGTCCACTGAACCCAATAGTTTATCTTAAAATGATTGCCCAGTGGCTACTTTATATCAATACACTTGGAATCCGACTACAAATAAGTGCTCAATTTGCAACACAGTTCAGACCAACAATTCTAGCAATTAGAACTAATCAAATTCAGCTGATAGTAGTTCAAAAATCATCTTATCGATTATAGTTCTTATTCTTGGCTTTATAATTTGATAATCGATATTAATATATATATAATTCATTTATAATAAGTTTATCCAAAATATTATGAAGGTTGCTTCTATATTAGAACTCTGCTATCCATTGGTAAGATTCGGCTTTGGGGCAACATCTAAGTCTGGGGGATGGCTTGTTGTCTAACCATCTTAAAGATGCTCTTAGGTTTTGCTTGTTATTATTAATATTGTTATTATTATTGCTGTTACTAAAGTAATTTCTCGTAATTAAGCAATTGCTTCAAAAATCCTGTATTAGGATTAACCTGCCTTCTTTTGGACTTCAATTTCCATAGGGCTTTCTCCATATTCAAATTGTATTTCCTCATCAAATAAGCAACCACTATGGTAGGAGATCTGCTGATTCCCAAAAAACAATGAACCAATATGTTTGTATGTTTCCTGTGTCTCTCAATAAAATCAAATGTCTAATCTGCGAATTGCAATATATCATAATCATCCTTATCATGTGCTTACACTACATGATGAAACTAAACCACCAAATCGCTATATTGAACAGCTGTCTCTTAACTCGCAGTCAATACTGCTCTGATTTTCAATCTCTTCAGCATCTCTAAATCCTTGGCTCCTTCATAACCTCCTACATATATCCCTCCCTCCTCATGGGCTATTAGCACATGTAAACAAATCATACTTGGTTCGATGATGCACGTGATGGGATCAGGATCAACTATCTATGGTACTGAATAAACGAACTTCAACTCCTCCAATGGAATCGAAGTCAATACTATGCTTCTAGAGAAGGCATCAGATGTTAAAGACATAAATAATAAATATTTTAAATTTTTCTGAGGTAACAATTCAGAATTATTACAAATAGAAATATATAAATAAAAACACTCGATGATTCAAATTTTTTAAGGTTAAATTTTGCTAGGATAACGTGCTCTAAAGAATATGGTTTTCTCCCTATTTAGCGGGTTATCTTAATTCGAAAGTTATTCCTTTTGATCTGTAATCTTCACTTCTGACAATTGCCTTTCCTTTTCAAGTTATTTCTATTTCTTTTCTCTAGATTCCAGTATTTTCTACTTCATCAATAAGTAAGCGTTGTATATCTCAATGAAAATAAAGATAATCAAGACGCTAACCAAGATTGACATTTATATCCAAGCAATATTGATTCTTTGACTGTATTGAAGATAATTAGAAAGGATATTCCAGTTCACAAATGTTGAAGCTGTGAATATCGTTAATGAAGTCTCCATTATAATAGATTTGACATATTCTAAGCTATCCTCAAAATGCTTGAAATGAATTACGTATAACAAGTAGAAAGCGTTAATCAAAGTCAGAATCATAGTTTGAAGTTCTTATTGATATTAACAGAATACTAGGACAAAAAGGATGAGAAATTTTTTAGTAACCTAAAAGATGTCTCTTTTTTATTGCCAAAATTGATAGAAGTTTTGTTTTTTCCATGATTTCAGTCCTGAGACTTAATTCAACAGTATAACTAGAGTTGCTATTAGAATTGAAATAGCAATCAAAATACAAATATATGATCTTGGGTTTTAATAATTGTGAGGAACGTTTAATTCCAATAATGCCATAAATAATAGATCCCAAGTACAAGCACGTAACGTATCTTTCAAAGAATCTCCTTTCGCATCTCTCAATTTAGCATTCACTTTCCTTTTTACTTTTTAGATCAACCTAACTAATTTAGGCTGTGTCTACAAGAATTCCCAAAGTTCCATTTTTGAAAGGATCTTTACTGCAGATAATGTACCCAAATAGAAACCAAAAAGAGTTGCAAAGACAAGCACTTCCACTCTAAAGCCTTCTGCTATATCAGCGTTAACTTCGTAAAACTCAAACTTCTCATAGGATGACAAGTAAGGGAACTGCAGGAATTTACCTTCGTTTTTGTAAAGTGTAATGGTATCTAAAGCTGGTTAAATTGATAACACTTAACTTGAGGTGAAATAAATTATTAATGTTTAAGGGTATAAGACATTAATGTATTTGAGATACGATTGCTCTTAGAGGGCATCCAAGATCCCCCAGAACGACAGGGCATTTCCTAACAGCATTAATAAAATAGTGAGGAGACATAACGACTTAACTGTAACTTCATTTATTTGTTGGAAAGCGCTGGCAATTTATACTTATTCTTCAGTTATATAATTTGGCTACTTCAATTACAAATAATCGATCATATACATCAAGGGAGCTTGATTATCGTTATATAATTGCTCAGTTAACATAATTTCTAAGATGGGATAATAATCTAGACTCTTGAATATTTCAATTTACAACATATATTGTACATCAGTTGCTTTGTCCTACTATGCTGCTTAAACTTCCATAATAGTGATGTTAAATAGGGTTTCATTCAAATCAACAATTGCTGGTTTGATAGTTTATAAATAGTTGATGCTTGATTACGTATATACTGGTTAAGAGAATGATATTTAAACATATTGATATTGGTTCTTCTGCATTATATATTCAGAGATAATGGTAGGATATTTAACATAAGTGCAATCCCCATCAACTTTACAAATCCAATTATTTTCTACAAAGCAATCCGATGAACATCCATCTCCATCGCTTTGATTTCCATCATCACACTATTCTAAATTTGATAGGATTCCATCTCCACAGATGTTGGTACAAAAATTGTCATACAACACAAATCCTGCATCACACATTAAACATTGCCCATGGATACAATCACTACAATCAAGTGGACATGAATACTAACACTGATAACATCCATCGTGACTAATTTTATTGCCATCCTCGCATTATTCAGTTCCTGCTACTACCATATCTCCACAAATTGTCATACAAATGTCATTCACAAGGTGGTAACCATATTAACATGAATCTAAACAGATGCCTTATTAACAATCTTAGCAATTTAAGGAACATGAAAATTGGCAATTGTAACATCCATCAAATTCTATTTCATTCCCATCATCACATTCCTCATTTTCTTAAACAATCTTATCCCCGCACTTACTTATACATGTATTATTTATTAATTGGTAGGATTCACCGCATTAAAAACAAAATCCAAATCTACAATCAGAGCAGTATGGATTACAGGCACACTCCTCAAGAGAATAAACTGCTAAGCTATTGTTTCCACAAATCTCTTAACACTATCCCAAAACGAGATTGTGTCCATATTGACATTTGTAGCAAACACTCTCTATGCAAAGTTCACATTAAGGTTAACATAAACTTGCTGTCTCTTATTTAATGCATTGATTATTTTAGAAGTAATAACCTTGTTAACATACTTAACAAACTCCAAACTCACATATATCGCAAAAGTCTGGGCAATAGAAATTACACTAACTACAGTTGTATCCATCGCATTCCTCATCGATTGTTATTATTTTATCTCCACAAATAGATTAACAAACGTTTACTTAATGTTTCAATTAGTATCCTTATTTACATAAAATGCAGGTTCCACCTAAGCATTCTTAACACCCTTCAATATAATCATAACAAATTGATAAAGATTAAGATTAAGCAATTTATGTATCTTAGTTTATTTAAGTAATCTTAGAGACTTTTTCACAAGTTGATGCATATCGTATATAAAGCCAACCAGAATAGCATCCTAGGCAAGTGCCTTAATTACATATTGAACATCCGTCTGCACAAGAATAAACACAATTGAAACATCCATCAAATGGCTCCAAATTGCCATCATCACATTCTTCATTTTCTTGAACAATTTTATCTCCACATATTGATTATTCTATAAATATAGAGATAAACTATTTACACACAAAAATTTCAATATCTCTAATTCCAAATGATTCATCAGTCTGAGCTTGATCTAATGTATTTGAAAAAGTAATTGTTGAGAATGTTAAGTAATGTGGAAAGGTAAGCTCGACATTGATAAAACTTTCTTAAGCTGATCCTCCACATACTCCATATAAATATTAGTCAAATACGGATAAGCTATTCTTCCATCGAAGATTTTGATTCACATATAAAATAGCCTAATCACTTAATTCCCAACTATCTATTTTGAGATATTTGAATTTAATTTTCATTCTTGTATGGAATGGCAGCTAAACAAAGGTAATAGTCAGTTGTGTGTCTTTCCCACACACGCCATAACCGCAAACAGATGGAATCACTATTTTAATTGAGGTCTTTACTTGAGCATTATTATTTTGTCGAATCTCCATTGAGAACGTTCCACCCACTAGTTGAAAACGAGCTGTATTGGATGTCAGTATAAAATGAGTTAGTGATGATCCAGGTTTGACATTCTGCCTAAGAATTTTCATAAGTGCAAGTAAGACAGCCAGATGGACAAAGGTAAAGGAAAAGTCTGAAATTCCTAAATCCCCAAGATTCCTACTTTAGGAATATTTTATACATCAAAAGGAATTTAATCCAAAGTAGTGGTTAGTTCAATGAATGCCGTTGCTCCACTATGTAGAAATTCCGTCTAGATCTCTTGGATGGAATCTTATCGATGATTTCCTGTTTAGCCACAAATGTGAGCTTGACCTTATGAATAATCGTATAGTTATTTGAACACTAAATTCTCATCTACGTACAAATGGCAATATTCATTAGCATCCCAAGTATCAATTCTGATATTAATAAAATAGAATACACAAAAAAAGTGATTGTAATTTTCATTTTATAATGAGGAGGTAATTATAAGAATTTAGTAGCAGCTACTCCAAATGCAAATTTTTCGAATCCTCCTACTATGCTATAAGTACCGCATAGTTAGATTACACTAAGAGGGTCAGCTCCAACAAATGACCAATCTTATGTTAATAAATTTAGTACTTTCAGAATTTGTCAAAGTAGTGTCAGTGAATGCAGAATAAAAAAGAGTTTGTTAGTAAGTAATTTTGAGTAAAAAGGCAGTGAGCCAGAGCATGTGATCTAACGGAAAAGAAAGTTGAAAACTTAAATTATTTTGATAAAGCTTTAATGAATTAATTTTAAATATTAAATTTTATAATAATTATTTTTAGAATAATTAATATGTAATTATTAATTGATTCATTCAAACAACCATTTATGCAATTATAATGATTGTACTTAAAATTTTGGAAACCAATATTTCTGCTATTCCTTACCCTTATGGGATGGGCGATCGATTCGGTTCCTGATTGTTCTCTCCTGTGTCACATTCAGTACAGGCAGAACTGATTGGATTCCATTTGTAAAGTTCCAAAGAATACAATAAACATGTATGTTCCGTCAAAGACTTTACATCAAAATTCATGCATTTAAAAGAAACAAATCTACAAATGTTGTAAGATTGCCAATCCCAAGTTAGATAATGTGAGCATTCTCCATTTTGACTTTCAAAAGTGGAACAAGTATGCTCTTTGCATTGGCTTGGCTCATTGTGAGTTTTAGGTTGCCAATAACATCTATCATTCGCTTATTGACATGCAATTTAATCGTGATTGGCAGAACTACATCCACTCATCAAATGACATTGATTAATAGTAGAATCCCAATAGCATAGACCATCTAACCCAATAGAATTGCATGAAACTTGATTCTTGTATTCAGAACAATTTCTTTTAGGAATGCACTTGATCCCATCTGATATGCAATTATCAACTTCTTCGCACTGTTAACTGACGTCTGAGCAGGTTTTCTATTGACAACGCTACTATTTCCAAATACAAGATCCTTCCATCCCCAAAGCATAATTACATAACTCATCATTTTGATAATCAGCACACATCATTTTACTTATACATTTCTATCCATCCGAAGTGCAAGATTGTAATGCACCTTAACATTCTTCCCTAGTCTTAAATTTCATATCTTTGCAATCCTCATTTCTACATATATTATATTGACCATCCCAAACACAATTGCCTGTTGAAATAACCTGATTTCTTTCATTTCTCTCTATTCCAACATTGTTAAAATGACAAGCTTCTTCAACATAATAATCACAAGATGTCAATGATCTACAACCTGAGATTCCATTTGTTGTGCATTATGGATTTGCTCTTTGACATTCTTAATGAGTCACATAATAGGCTTGACTACAATGTAAGAATACTTAACATTTCGGTTATTCCAAAGCCCCTAAGGCTGTAACAGACTATATGCACATTCCTTCAATTCCTGTTACACACCCACCACTAGTATTAGTCTCCTAACATTTTGTAATAGGAACACATTCTTAACCATTTGTAGTACAATAATTGGAAATAAGTTTACACTCTTTATCTGTTTTCCATTTCATACTTGAACAAGAATTGTATTGAATACATTTACCTCCTTTATTTGAATAATTATCAATCCATAAACATGGCCCATCTTATCCAAAAATGCATTCATATTTATTGGCAATTTCATTACACTATCTTAATGGAACACAACGACCATTCAATCCAATTGTACAATTATTATTAAACGAATAACACTCTTAGAATGAATTACTTTGAATATCATTGCATTCTTTTAATTTACATAACTTAAGTGAATCATTCCAAAAACATTGATTTCCTTAGTTATCCACATTGCAAGACTCTTATGTCTATTGATTTTGACAACTACTCTTATTCTTGCATCCTCCATTTAACTTAGAAGTGCAAACTGTCCCATTCATTGGATTAAAATACTCTTAGCATTATATTTCACTTATAAGTTATAATGGGGCTGTATCACAAGTCTTTTAAACACACTTGTTAGATGATATCCAATCACATGCCTAATTATTGTTATCCTTAATGCAATCCTTCTAATTTAGAATACTCTAACATGTGGTGATCTTTTGACATTTATTCTCCTAATAATTCCAAAAACAAGTAGCACCTATAGAATCTATCTTGCAAGCCTCTTCAGTATCAATATACACACAAATCACATTCTTCCTACAACCTCCTCCTTTTTTAGTGATACACTAATTATTTGGTAAATACGACTCGCATTCCTAATTTGAGCTCAATCTCAATGGAGCATTCTGACAAGTCTTCTCAACACATCCTCTTGAATCTATATTTCCAGTACACAGGAACATAAATGATTCACATTATTCATGTCCAAAATAAGTGTCTCCAGCTTATTAACATTATTTTCTTCTGCAATGATTATCTCTCCAAATACATTCATTTTCTTCGCCATCTTTGTAACAATATTACTCAGAAAGGGCAAACTCACAACCATAATTAGTTACGCAGCCATTGCCATTCGTAATACAGATTTTATGTATGCTTTGGCACTGTTCATAAGTAGTGTATGTTGAAGGTGCATTTTCACATAGGTTATCCATACACTTAACTCCATTCCATAAACAGCCTTCCCCATATTAATTAACAACACATGCCTCCTCCACTTGAGCATCTTAACATTTTGATCTTTAAACACATCCTCCTCCTTTTTTTGTTGTGCATTCTAATAAGAATTACTTACATTCTTCATCACTCCTTAAAGTGTTTGATGCATTATCGCAAGTTCTTTCTAAACACTTATTTCCATTCCAAAAACAATCCTTATTTTTTCCACTATTGGTGAAACATGACTCTTCCTCCATTAAGTCGTAGCATTAATAAGTCAATGTTATACATCCACCTCCTTTCTTTGTAGTACCTTTCGCATATAATCTAAATTATACAATTATCGAGTTGGCTTTGGCATTCCTAATGTGTTTTTAGTACCAAAGGTAACTGATCACACTACCAAGCACTCTCACATTGACGTTTAACCTTATCCCAATTACAATACTTCCCTTATCTATCGTATTAGCAGGAATATGAATTTTGATAAGTACTACAATCATCAATATTCACACACGTCTCAGAATCTGATATGCATAAACTTGACAATCTCTAACACTCCTCATGAGTCTCTCTCATGTATGCAGTGCATCCTGTGAAATGAGTGCACTATTCTTTAAACCATATACATGAAGACACCTTTTTGCATTGTTCTTAAGTCATTTGGTTACAATAGAAGGAATAAGCTTTGTTCTCTTTCATTTCATTTATATTCTCAAGTAAATACTTCTAGGAGTAAACATCTATTGATGTTTTACATTGCATCAACTAATTATCCCAATAACATGATGAAATCTTTTGGCAATCGTTTTGAATTAATAATTGACTGCATTAACACTTCTCTCCTATCTTAATTGATTAACTTGAAATAGATATTATGTTTAAACATATGAATAATAACATTTTGATTTTTTAATATTAATAACTAATTTGTACTAAANAAGTAGCACCTATAGAATCTATCTTGCAAGCCTCTTCAGTATCAATATACACACAAATCACATTCTTCCTACAACCTCCTCCTTTTTTAGTGATACACTAATTATTTGGTAAATACGACTCGCATTCCTAATTTGAGCTCAATCTCAATGGAGCATTCTGACAAGTCTTCTCAACACATCCTCTTGAATCTATATTTCCAGTACACAGGAACATAAATGATTCACATTATTCATGTCCAAAATAAGTGTCTCCAGCTTATTAACATTATTTTCTTCTGCAATGATTATCTCTCCAAATACATTCATTTTCTTCGCCATCTTTGTAACAATATTACTCAGAAAGGGCAAACTCACAACCATAATTAGTTACGCAGCCATTGCCATTCGTAATACAGATTTTATGTATGCTTTGGCACTGTTCATAAGTAGTGTATGTTGAAGGTGCATTTTCACATAGGTTATCCATACACTTAACTCCATTCCATAAACAGCCTTCCCCATATTAATTAACAACACATGCCTCCTCCACTTGAGCATCTTAACATTTTGATCTTTAAACACATCCTCCTCCTTTTTTTGTTGTGCATTCTAATAAGAATTACTTACATTCTTCATCACTCCTTAAAGTGTTTGATGCATTATCGCAAGTTCTTTCTAAACACTTATTTCCATTCCAAAAACAATCCTTATTTTTTCCACTATTGGTGAAACATGACTCTTCCTCCATTAAGTCGTAGCATTAATAAGTCAATGTTATACATCCACCTCCTTTCTTTGTAGTACCTTTCGCATATAATCTAAATTATACAATTATCGAGTTGGCTTTGGCATTCCTAATGTGTTTTTAGTACCAAAGGTAACTGATCACACTACCAAGCACTCTCACATTGACGTTTAACCTTATCCCAATTACAATACTTCCCTTATCTATCGTATTAGCAGGAATATGAATTTTGATAAGTACTACAATCATCAATATTCACACACGTCTCAGAATCTGATATGCATAAACTTGACAATCTCTAACACTCCTCATGAGTCTCTCTCATGTATGCAGTGCATCCTGTGAAATGAGTGCACTATTCTTTAAACCATATACATGAAGACACCTTTTTGCATTGTTCTTAAGTCATTTGGTTACAATAGAAGGAATAAGCTTTGTTCTCTTTCATTTCATTTATATTCTCAAGTAAATACTTCTAGGAGTAAACATCTATTGATGTTTTACATTGCATCAACTAATTATCCCAATAACATGATGAAATCTTTTGGCAATCGTTTTGAATTAATAATTGACTGCATTAACACTTCTCTCCTATCTTAATTGATTAACTTGAAATAGATATTATGTTTAAACATATGAATAATAACATTTTGATTTTTTAATATTAATAACTAATTTGTACTAAAGTAGAATCCAAGTACCTTCTTCAATAAATTGATCATAAATCATGCAATAATATAATTATTAAAATATGCAAGAAATGAAAACAGAAACAAACCTTCAAGACACATAATTTGATGATTATGGTGGAGGTAAGAAACCTAATAAATGCTTATTTGATAAAAATAGCTAATAGGATCTTTCATATGATCTGTGTATAATTTCTAATCCTCCCTCTAATAAAAACGGTGTCAGCCCTATATAAGAGTAGTACGATTATTGAAATGAATCAATCCCAAAATGAACCCAGAGTGCATATATATGATTATTGTTTTTAATTTCACCAAGAGAAACATCAAATGGAAAAGTGAAAATCAATGATTTATATATATATAAAAAAGTATATATCAAACATTATTATAAAATTTAAAAATTTCAATCTCCATGATTGATTTATTGCAACCAAAATAGCTGAAAAGTTATTTTTTTAGGCCTGTTTTCAAATATTTACAGATGTAGTCATCTTTGTAATTAGCTTAGGATCCATTCAATTTAGTAATAAGAACTTGTAGATGAACAATCTAGAATAACTATTGTGCTAGTAAAATTAATCTATTTGGTTATTAATCTTTGATATCTTAAAATTTATAAACATAAAATTGAATGAGGCTGAAACATGGAATAATACCTTGTCTATCATTGATATCTATTGGAATCAAAGTTCGATAGTGTTCTTTTTCTAGAATCTCTTGAAGGAGTATCTGTTGAAGTGGATTCAAAGCATAAATAGACTTTAAAATTGATTGAATAATGTAGTGATTAAAATAAGTGAAGAGAATATGCTGCATTTGGTAATGTTTTGCCTCTTTTGATAGTTGATACAAGGTGATAAACTTTGTTATGAGTGTAAATTTCTCGTCTTTTGTACTAATGATTGTACTAAAAATCATATGGAATAAAAGATAATCAAAATAATCGCTAATTTCATGATTCCTGTAAATTATTACTGACAATACTTGATTAAATGATTTTAGTTAAGCATAGCTGTGATACTTATCTTAGAGAATTGTTCAATATCGATAATCCAAAATTATTTTTAGAGAATTTCAATATTGCAATTTAGATAGAATTGATTCCCATCGAACTCCGAGGATATATTCTAAATTATTGATTAATTTGATATTTGCATTGATAAATTTCTGAACCTTTTGCTCTTTTACGGATGGTCAAGACTCTATTTCCTTTATAGCAGAGTTGGGGAAGGTGTATTCAAAGTTGTAGTTAGAATGTTCTTTTTTCCATTTAAAATATTTGTTATCTTCATTTGTAATTCATCCTGCAATTGTTATTTAGCAGTAGCAATTAGTTCAACAAGATTCAAAAATTACTAAAATATTGTGCAGAACGCACTATTATCATTAATCAAATCTACTTATCGATAATCCAACCATAAACTTAAATATGACAATGTTTTTGAGTTCCTCTCTTAAATGTACAATTTAACTACCTCATTCAATATTTCAATGTGGCTCAATCCCAATTTTTCATATATCACAATAAACACTCCAAATTCGTAGTCATTATTGAATCCCTTTATTACCCAAGGATCAACACATTTGGACAAATCCTTAAAAACGTAGATTTCATCCTTTTTAACCTATTCCAGTTTCTTTTCTATATTCATTATAGCAAACATTCTATCATATCCATTGGGTTTCTTGACCCTCTCAGTTGAACTTGTTTTTCTGTTTTTTCTAAGCTACCTTAATTTTGGAATAGGTCTCAGATAAATGGATTTCTAGATTAATGTTTAAAAACTTAAAATATTAGTTTCGATGATTTCTATTGGTTGATTGAAGTAATCCAATATTATTTCAAGTGCATGCTCAAACATATGCACATCCTCTTTAAACACAACGGGGATATGCTAAAAGTAAAGAGTAAATATTGTACATTTTTGATTAGACTTATGAGCAATTGCGATTCACTTTTCATCAAGGCCTCTACATGTTGTTGATTTCGAACAACAATAATAAATTACCCGTTCAACTATCCCCATTAGGAATCACACATTATAAATATAAATAATTCATATTTTATTTTTCAATTCACAAAACAATTATCATTTCAAAGAATAAGTAAGTATTAGTTATATTGCATCCACATACTAATCCCTTTGATAATCATCTTCTACTTAGATAATGATTTTGCACCCCTATGTCTTATACTGTAAATGACATGTCAGGACTCTCGAATTCCTCGACTACTAATGATTCTTAATTTATTTCTATAGATATCCTCCAATTTTTTATATTTATAAATATAAAAATACAAGTAATGAAAATATTGGATGACATCAAATAGTAGGTGGAGAAGGAGATGTTAAAGTTTGATCCTCGTCTAGCTTAAAAGAAATATCTAAAGATGACAGAATCTATTAAGGATTTGTTTTTAAAAGCTGTTGTTTCTGAGAAGTAATCTATCAAAGCGGTGCTATTGATATATTTATTATATTAGGCTGCCAATTCCATAGGTATTAATTACTCCTCAGCCAAGGCCATTTGGGCAGAATTTAGAAGGAAGAAACAGAAGAAGAAGAAGAGTAACAACAAAGAAGACTCAGATTAGAAAAAAGAAAATCCTCTAGTCAAGCGGTGTTCATATAAAATATTGAATGGTTGTAATAAGATTAAGAAATTTTTTATGGAAATAAAATCCTCTGTCTCATAGAATTTGAATTCAACACATTTCTGTAAGATGGACCCTCACATTTGAATAACAAATTATATAATTATATTTAGAGTAAATAAATCTCTCAAAATAATTTTACTTTATTTCTAATTAGTTATTTTATTAAGGGACTGCAAAACAAACATAATAAATTATGTAGATACTAGTATTAACAGAAAACTTGCAAGAAAAACAATCAAATCTGAAAATTATGAAATTTAATTGCATTTTCATATATAATGATTAGAAGGTAGCTTTGATAATAGCTGATCAAACAGAAATGTGATACTCCATATTGATAATCCTTTTGTCTATCTTGGAGTAAGTAAAACAAACAATTAGCACATAAAGTTCTTTTGTATAGTATCTTTATTCTATAATATTGGAGAGTCATGGCAATGTTCTGATCTTTAGAATGTGAATTAGTGATTAATGATAAAAAAGAGTTTACTTCTTATTTAATTCGATAATGATTAGTTTTTAGTGATAATTTATTTATATAACAATGAGTGCATAACCTAGATTAAGCCCAAAGAATTACAAAAAGTACAGCATCTTCAATGATTCAATCAATATAAGAACATCTCGAAACACAAGCTTTGATTATGAATTTTAAAAGAGAAGGAATTCGAACCTAAAGTTCAAAAATTCTGGGAGCGTATTGAGAGGTTCCAAGGCTAATGACTTTATGGGAAATCTCATCGCACATTTTTAATATGTATTGATATAGTCTATTGCCGTTATAGGGTTAAAATGCATTCAGAGAAAAGAATTTAATTGAAGCAATTAAATACTATAACGAATGTATATTGATAGATTCTTTGCATGTGCCAAGTCGGTATATGTTGGGAGTATGTCATTTCTCTTAAAATTAATATGAAAAATGCATTAAGGAACTCAAGTTTGTGAAAGAACAATAGCCAAATTACAATAAAAATGTATATATTATACTTGCACTTGGTTACAAAAAGATAATGCAATTGGAGTGGTCAATAAGAACTGTATTAATTCTATTGTCATAATAGTTAGATGAGTGTTTANTAAAAGAAATATCTAAAGATGACAGAATCTATTAAGGATTTGTTTTTAAAAGCTGTTGTTTCTGAGAAGTAATCTATCAAAGCGGTGCTATTGATATATTTATTATATTAGGCTGCCAATTCCATAGGTATTAATTACTCCTCAGCCAAGGCCATTTGGGCAGAATTTAGAAGGAAGAAACAGAAGAAGAAGAAGAGTAACAACAAAGAAGACTCAGATTAGAAAAAAGAAAATCCTCTAGTCAAGCGGTGTTCATATAAAATATTGAATGGTTGTAATAAGATTAAGAAATTTTTTATGGAAATAAAATCCTCTGTCTCATAGAATTTGAATTCAACACATTTCTGTAAGATGGACCCTCACATTTGAATAACAAATTATATAATTATATTTAGAGTAAATAAATCTCTCAAAATAATTTTACTTTATTTCTAATTAGTTATTTTATTAAGGGACTGCAAAACAAACATAATAAATTATGTAGATACTAGTATTAACAGAAAACTTGCAAGAAAAACAATCAAATCTGAAAATTATGAAATTTAATTGCATTTTCATATATAATGATTAGAAGGTAGCTTTGATAATAGCTGATCAAACAGAAATGTGATACTCCATATTGATAATCCTTTTGTCTATCTTGGAGTAAGTAAAACAAACAATTAGCACATAAAGTTCTTTTGTATAGTATCTTTATTCTATAATATTGGAGAGTCATGGCAATGTTCTGATCTTTAGAATGTGAATTAGTGATTAATGATAAAAAAGAGTTTACTTCTTATTTAATTCGATAATGATTAGTTTTTAGTGATAATTTATTTATATAACAATGAGTGCATAACCTAGATTAAGCCCAAAGAATTACAAAAAGTACAGCATCTTCAATGATTCAATCAATATAAGAACATCTCGAAACACAAGCTTTGATTATGAATTTTAAAAGAGAAGGAATTCGAACCTAAAGTTCAAAAATTCTGGGAGCGTATTGAGAGGTTCCAAGGCTAATGACTTTATGGGAAATCTCATCGCACATTTTTAATATGTATTGATATAGTCTATTGCCGTTATAGGGTTAAAATGCATTCAGAGAAAAGAATTTAATTGAAGCAATTAAATACTATAACGAATGTATATTGATAGATTCTTTGCATGTGCCAAGTCGGTATATGTTGGGAGTATGTCATTTCTCTTAAAATTAATATGAAAAATGCATTAAGGAACTCAAGTTTGTGAAAGAACAATAGCCAAATTACAATAAAAATGTATATATTATACTTGCACTTGGTTACAAAAAGATAATGCAATTGGAGTGGTCAATAAGAACTGTATTAATTCTATTGTCATAATAGTTAGATGAGTGTTTACAGTTTTATCCACAATGTTATGACGCATTGATATTCAAAGGCAAATTGGAACTGAAATTAAGGAGATTCTAGGACTGTGAGTCAACTTTGAAATAAGCCATCAGAATAAATTCAAAAAGATCAACTGGATACCATTATCTTGGAGATTGCCAGAGACTCCAAAATAATTTGGATTTAGCAATCAAAAATTACTAGATAGCATTACAATTTGATACAAGCGACAAATCCAAATTGAACATTCTAAAAATGTCAATATGTCTTTATGAAATGGCCAATTATCAGTAGGCTTTATAGATGATTGATTAGGTATTATATTCTGTTAATTAGTATTTAAGTCAAGATGAATAATCATCTGAAGCAAACAAATTGAAGGGACAAATATTGTACAAACTTGGAGAAAAACAAGAAAGCTAATTATATTACGAATAAGCTATTTAAAATAACAATTCTAGAAATGCAGTCTCCAAAGCCATGATAGAAATTAGCAAATTTAAAATAGAATCTAAAGACTATTATTCCTTATATCATACTCTCTTGAGGACTGAATATTTGGATGTCGACAAATAATAGTTGTAACCCTATATCTAATTCTCTGAAGCTGTAGTGAGCTTAATGAAAAAGAATTATACTTAAGCAAGTGAAGCATTCAAAAAATTAGAATAACTTGAAATCCCAATTCTCATTCAGGAGATTTATCATTCCTATTTGGGATATTTGAATATGATGCTTAACAATTTTGAAGAGGCTTTGAAAGACTTCAGAAAGAATAAATCCTTACCATATAATCAAATTATATGTGAAGGCATCATTAATTTTAACTCATTTGAAATTGCCTATTCCAAGTTTGATCAGGCCTTAACTTACAATTAGATTGACCCAAACATGTATAAAGCAATCCTATTAATAAAAGAAGGATTAAAATAGGAGAATTCTGATTATGTCAATAATTCATTGTAATGTTTAATTAGAGCCTAACAATATAATCAGAACAACTCCTAATTAATGTATTTAAAATCATTAGCTTATATGTTAATGGACAATATTGAGGATGCCTACAAAGAAATATTAACAACTATTGAAAAGGCAGATGAAAATTTGGCTGATCACTATTATTTGAAAGGATTAATCTTGGCATTGAATGGTGATATCTTAAATGCAGTTCAAGACTTTTCAGTCTGTCTAGGAATTGATGAACAATATCAAAAAGCCTATTTGCAAAGATCAAAATGTTATTCCTATTTGGGAGAAATGCAATCAGCATTTGATGATATGAACAGCTATATCTAATTTGTAGATGACTTCTTGAGTGCTGGCAATCTACTGTACAATAGTAAGATGTATGAAGAGGCCTACAAGACTTACAAATAAGAGCCAAACCCAACACTTGAACATCAATAGCAGATGGCGAGTTGTTTATTTTAATTAGAGTAATTTGATGGAGATGAAATCCAGGAGTTTATCAGAGATAAATAATTTGATCAAAATATGATACTTGCTTATTAGCATATTCTAAAATTTGAGTATGATTCAGCTATCTTAACCTTACAAAAGAAGATTGATCCTCAGTCCTCTTTTTTCTTTAATAAATAATACCTTCATTAATACAAGGGTGTTTGCTATTTGTATCTATAGAAATACCAAGAAGCAATCTAAGAATTTGAAAGGTGTATTCAGTAAACTAAGTCAGACACCTTGATTTACATAACAAATTATAATATTATGTTCTGTTGGATGATGTTGAAGAAGTTTAAATATTCTCATACTCAACTAGAATAATTAATTAAAATTTCAGAATAGAAGCACGTTTTATTAACTATTAGGAATCTCTTAATTGATTAAACAGAATTTTAATTAGCAGATAATCCTTAAGGAATAGAAATTATGTTAGCAGATACAATTAAATTATAACCTTTTATCTCAACATAATATACAATTTATCCATATTTCTCATTGCCTATTCCATAACTCAAAGACATGACTCCTTAGTTTGATTTCAAAATAATCCAATCTTTAAGTGTAATTACATCTATTATCATCTTAGGCATAATCGATTGAATGTAGACCTGAAGCCCCGTGGATAAGAAGAAATGAAAATGGCGTTCTATTTACTGATAATTTGTAATAATGTGAATTAAGTTAAACAGAAAACAGTTCTCCAGAAAACTGAATTTATTATAACTGTAGAGCTAATTTATTTTTTTATTTTTGAGTCTAATTTAATTTAATCAGTTTGTATAAGAATTTAAAATATTCTAATATTCTTATTAGTCGAGGATTATTATTCATAATTGTAATTATATGTTATAATAATAATAACAAGACAATAAATATTACTTTATTCAGAAAGTAAAAAGTGTTTGAAAATGTAAGTTTAATAGAATTCTTGAACCAAGTTTTGAATTTTATAAAATATTCTTAAGAATTATTCAACACAATCAAATTGTTCCCCTTCTTATCAATATTCTAAATATAAACCGATAATTAAATAATCATGCTGTATTTTATGATTCATTGCATCTTTTTATTTGATGAATTAATTCAATTATTAATCTTTAATTCTTGAATTATGATTGTAAGTAAATAATTATTTTTATAGCTTCTTAAGTAAGCAGTAGAAGTTTTATCCTTTAAAATAGTTATAGTTTTCTTTAAAGGAATTGAGAAATGCAGATAGGGTATGAAAATTAAGAAGCATCCTTTTGTTAATTTAACAACCAAAAAGTAAGGATTTGAATTATGATAATTCCAAAAATTAAGAACGAACATGAATAACAATATTAATTATACAACAAAAATTGCTTATTCCCTGCATGAGAATATAGAAATATATATATCTTATTCAATTTCTTGTTAAATTAATGGAATTAATTCGTCAATTAAATAATTCTATATTACATATTTCGAAAACATTGAGAGCTAGCTGTCAGAAGAAAGTGTTTAGTTATTTATTTCAAAGTAGGCTCTTCTCAATTAAGTACTTTTTACTGAGAATTGCAATTTTGCAGCTAAGTTGATACAAATCGATAAAGCCAATAGAAAACAATAAGGGCATGAGCTATTTTATACTTTAAGGCTCATATTGAGAAAAAGGGTAATTAAGGAAGCATTAAAACGAGGATTATATTAAATCAAACTTATTGGAAAGGAGGAAATATGCCGATATGCTTGTCTGAAGGTCGAGTGAAGAATTGTAAAAGATGGTTAGGAAGAAGGTGAATAACAGAAAACTGTTGAGGAGAGTAACATTGACGACTTTGTAATTTGAAATAAACAATAAATGAGGAAGAGTGAAAAGAAGGACTTGAAGGTGAACTTCAACACTTGATTTATAAGTATTTGGTTGAGATTGTATTAATGAGATCGAGATTGTGAGGTGATTTTATACTAACAAATTGAATGCAGATTTTAATCAATATGTATTCGTAATTTATTTTAAGTGTGATAGGATGCTTCTTAATTATCTTCTCAACTTTTTGGTTCAGGACTCCAATTAGAGATATCAATGAAATAGTTGCATTTCGAAAACCAATATATGATCAAGTAGTATTGTTCTTTTTGGATGCCACAGGTTATCGGTACATAATGAATGAAGGAAAAGATCATCAGATATTCTAAACGATTACTTTATTGAAGGGATTGAGAGAGATTTATCCTCAACATACCTTCCTTCAGAAAACTAAGGCTGTCCCACCTTCAACTGACTTTACTATTTTGAGTATAATTAATGGAATCAAACAAATGTAAAACAACTTGGATGTGATATTCAAGTCTTATCCAGCACCCTATGAAGATTCCCTCCTCAGAAAACAATTTAAATCAGCTCTGTATTCAAGTAAGAAACAGGACTGGCTAAGAATGACTTCAGGAGAGTTCACTTATATTGAAAATCCGCAGTTTTTTAATTTAGAAAACATCTAAATAGCAGACCTCTCATCCTATTAGTTCTTTAAATAATCTTTCTAATAAGCTCAGCCAGACTACCAGTTGTATGTGGTTCATATGATGGGATTCGATGCACTTGGACATGCTCTATAGTATTAAGATTACGATAAAGGAATATAATTGTTAAGAATGTTTAATACTATGTTGGAAGGAGTGGTTAATGGTCTAAAGGAGAATCAACTCTTGATTGTGATTGGCGATCATGATCAAAGTAAGAGAGGAAAACATTATCAATGTTCTTAAGAATCATTTGAATGCGAAGGTTTTATATTTGCATTCTCATTCAATGAACTATTGTAAGGTGATAAAATCTATGAATTTTATGAACCCACTGATTTATCAGCTACCATTGCAACCCTTCTAGGATATTAACCAACTAGTTAAAATCTAGGAAAGATTATTCCGTAATTTTATCCAAATTCAGTCAACAGAACAGAAATTTAAAATGATTAAGAAATGATCAAAAACCAAGTGCTCAAATATCTAGAGACTCAAGGCTACAAAGTATCAGCTACATTCGTTGAAGAATTAAAGTAAGTGCCTGCTGATGAAGTGGTTACTCATGTCCAAAGAAACTTACAAATTGGTGTTCCAAGAAAAGAATCTTTTATAATTGGATTAATGTTATTACTTTTGAGTATCTACTAAATTAGAAGCTTTTGGGGATTTCAAGAAATTATAATCATTGTATCAAGTGGATTCTTTAATGCTTAGATTATGACTCTCGGATTGTTGGTCTTAGTGATCCTTAAGAAAGAGTATAATTTGAAATTAATTCTCAAAATAATTGCTTTCTTGGTGTTCATTTAGCTTCATGATATGGGTTATATCCCTGAAATCCTCTTGTCTATTGAAATATAATTCTTACTTATTTTTGTAATCAAATATCATACCTACATTAATTCAGGCTAAACTTTCACAAAGTGGAAAATATCACTGTTATTCTTATTGGTAATTTTGTCATAACTTACGGTTTATGTATTTTTCCTATTGGGTCAAAGTGAATTCGAATTCAAGAGGTCCCTCTTGTTTATTCTAATATCTGTTATTATCTTACTTTGTGTTGTGGATCCAAGATTTTTCAATCAAGGAAAAGTGAAGGCCTTATATGTGACAATACTCTTTATATTGTCTGATGTTACTGTGATATTCTAACTCAATTACTCCAAGAATTTTATACAATTTATTCTATAATTTCTGTTATTGCAATTCACAGATGTCGGATAGAATATACTCATATCTAAGATCATATACAATGCAATCAATCCCATAAAAATAGATCATTAAGTATTCAAAGGTCATTAATAAGTGAACATGAACTCCATGATAATACTCACGTAAGAGTTTGATATAGGACCATCGTTATTTTCTGTTTTTGTCGGTAGTTTTGGGTGCTAAATAATAGGAATTGCCTCTTTGTTCTTTAATAAACTAAATTAAAATAGACATAGAATAATTGGAGCCTTGATTATTTCATCCGTATCTAATCTACTTTTAGATTCCTGGTAGATCCTAAACTATAAACAGTCAATTCTCAACACGAATGAAATGATTGAAGACTAGATTGCATTGTTAAACAGTTTTCCATTAAAATTAGTGGAATTGATCCTATATAACTTAACTTTTATTATATTGATAAGACAATCCAGGAAATAGAGAGAGATATGACAAATATATATATGATTTAATCAAAAGTATAGTTTCTTATAAATTAATTAATTTTAAAATTGCTGTTGCATCAATTAGAACTGCATGTCAAATTGAATTGGCTGCATGAATCCTCTCTTTGAATATACACTATATCCTTTGAATTGACACACTGGTTACTGTGAAAATGGTTGAAACTACACTCAATGTAATTATTCTTACGTAGTAACATTATTGGAGACCTGTTCTAGTATCCATCGGTGTTTGGGGAGTGCTGATTTCAGTGCTTTTCTCATATACGGTATTAAGGGTAATGCCATCTTTTTTAAATTGATGCAATGCTTCTGAAACTTAACTTAAGAGACCAGTTCTTTCAGCAAAGCAGATTCTCTTCAGCTTTGGCATTTCCTTTAGAGTGTCAACCACTATTGATGAAATTGTGTATAAAAATACATTTAATATTTTCTCTTTGTACTTTGGCTTCTATGTCGACATTTTTGGAGCTTTTATTTTAGGCATTGGAGTTGAACTTTGTAGTAGGTTTCAGAAAGAAATTTTTATTGATCTCTACATAAGATTTAATTACATAATACCTATTTTCAATTATTAATATTTTTCAGCTGAATATGAACTTTAACTTTTGTCATCGGAATCCTTTTAGGAGCAGACTGAAAGAGGATTGTAACCGTGGGATGCCACTTTGTTCAGGAGTGGTTCAGGAGATGTGTTGCAAGAGGAGTTACTTTTTTTGAGTTCTGGGATTTGCTAAACGAATTCATAGAGATCGGAAGGAGTCTTGGACTAGAGTTATTCTTTGAAGTCCGAGACGATAGAAAGCAATTGATCTGGCAAGAGAGGATTGAGTTTGTTGATGAATTCAAGGAAGGCATTTTTCAATGTATCGATAGTATCCATTTGATAAAAATTAGAATATATAAATTTGTATAGAATAAGTTAAATATATCATAATGAATGCATAATAAATATTATTAAAATGGAATTGGAGGAGTCGTGTTCTAGTTTCAAGGACTTCGACGATGATGAAAGCGACCTCTTTAAATCTCTGATAGACGAGGATACAGATCATTTGAGTAGGAATTAATGTACAATTCAAATTGGAAATAATTTGCAGAGAAGTGTGGTTTAAGATAGTTCCTACTTGGTTAGGGGGAGTGATAAATCAGGAGAATCTGAGCAATCACTTATTTTTGAATATCCCCAAATAATATAGAAACCTAATAATAGGCAACCCCACAATCGGTTCGATGTGATTCTGCAACGAACCAGACCGAAGAGGAAGTTGGAGAAATAGAAATTTAATTTGGATACATCAGCTATTCTGATATAGTTGTTGAATTAAAAAAGAATGTATAGATTGGCATTCAATTTCTATATATTCTTGAACATCGTGCTTCGAGTCATGTGCTTTGGAATCACATTTTTACAATGTATAGTTTACAGTTTGGACAACAGATGGTCTTGTTGGGGATCATTTGGTGGTTTTTGTTTGACAAGGATATTGTTTGGTTTATCAATTTATAAGTTATTAAATATTGGGGAAGAAACAAAAGATAAGTCTATAAAGATGGTTTATGAGACTTATTTGAAGTGGTTTGAGGACATTCAAGTGAAGATTAGAGTATTGGAAAGGGAGACTAATTCTCTGATCAGAAGGAATCAAGCTGATGAAGATCAATTTCATAAGTAAACCAAAGAAATCAATCGACTATAAAAGAGGTTATTGTTTTTAAAAACCCATTAAATATTTATACCACCTGAACTGTCATTTTTATATTTTAGGAAATAGAGCAATGGATTCTTTTAGGTCCAGAACTTTATTATGAAGAGTATTGAATTGTTCTACTTCATGCCAGCTTTTCTCTATTTCATCACTGTATTTAATGTCAGTGATGTCGAAAGGATTGTTATCTTGGATTTCACAGAACATCAAATATAACACATTTTTAGTATTCTAGTTGTACTAGACATTTTTATATTCCTCCTTATATCTCTGGGCTTACTTTACTTGGGAAATAAAAAACAGAAAGTCAAACCTCTTTGATTTAATTACTTATTTTTATATTTAATGAATAATTAAAGTGGAAAGTATATTAAACTGAATCTATTCTCTAAATTGAAAACCATTATGAAACGTAAAGGACAAGCAGATACAGAAACTATCAGAACCGAATGGAGTTAAATGATTGGTAATGTTGTGAATGCAAGACTTAGCTGACAATTCAAGAATTGAATCTCGCAAACATTATCAATAAAGAAAGAGACTCTACTACATAGCTACTGTCAACTCAGTCTTTATGCGCAATTAGTATTTTATACAGAATCTCCCGGAGTAAGAGGACTAATTGCTATAATAAGAACAACCACCAAATTAGAGTGAAGAATCCAAAATGATTGAAACTGTCTAGAATCTTGACACTATCAAGAAGATAGTCAAAGTAAGATTACCTACAGATTTTGTATTAGTCATCTGGAACATATATATTATGATATTAATATTTAGTCAAATGCTCTTAATACCCTTAGTGTTATCATTTGACATCAACAACGAAGGTATCTCTATATATGATTGGATTGTCAACGGATGTTTCTACGCTGACATACTCTTGCAATTTAATACAGCAATCTATATTGATGGCAACCTCGTTTAAGATAGAATTGTGATTGTCAAAGAATATTTAAAATTGTGGTTTTGGATAGATCTCATCAGTTCCTTTCCGTATGATATCATTTTTGATTCTCCTGAAATGCAAAGCAAAGCTCAAGTTATCAAACTATTAAGGTTCATAAAATTTATAAAAGTAATTCGTTTATTAAGAGCTTTAAAATTGAAGAAAATATTCGGGAGAATAGAAGAATACATTAGTGTGATGGAATCATTATTTCAATTCACTTAAATGCTGAAACTAATAATACTAATACTCTGCATTGCACATTGGTGTGCCTGTGTGTGGAATCTATTTGTCGATGGAGGAGATTCCAATTGGGCTGCCAAATATAAAATACAAGATGAAGATTGGACTGTCAAATACATGACGTCCATCTATTATAGTATGACCACAATGATAACTGTGGGATATGGAGATGTTCATGCCTATTCTTATTAGGAGATGATCTACGCAATATTCCTAATGTTATTAGCATCTGCAGTGTTTGGTTATACCACCAACATTGTAATGGAATTGTTTAGTAATCAATATGATAAGTTCATTGAAAGAGAATAGAATATTAAGAGTTATTTAAAAAGGAAAAAGATTGATGTTTCATTGGCATCAAGAGTTACTAGTTATCTAGAATGGTTATAGATCTCATATGCTAAATCTTAACAACATGAATCAACTGTTATCGACAGTCTATCAGCCAATCTTAAAAGTGAAGTCATCTGTCTGATTAACAGTAAAATCATTGAAAAAATACCATTCTTTGAATCCTTCTCCAAAGATCTATTAAGCAACATTGCCTATAGATTATAAGAGAAGGTTTTTGGTCCTGAGGAAATGATATTTGAATAAGGATCAATCGGAGATGAAATGTATTGCATTGTAAACGGTTCAATCCAAGTCAAGTATTTCTAAACCAGAATTGCTAATCTAGGCAAGGATGAAATATTCGGAGAAATCTGTCTATTCTCAGAACAAACTAGAAGTGCCTCCATCATAACAGAAGACTTTGTTAATTTATTGGTCCTAAAAAAGGAACCATTCCTTATGATCATCAAACAATTGTAGAATGACCTAGAAAAGTATCATCAAATCAAATACTATCTTGAAATTGAATAAGACTATTCCGTTCTTGATATTAGATGTTACATTTGTCAGGAATTCCATCTGGCTTTGAATTGTCCAATGGCACATCTTATCATAGACAAATAAGTTCTATTTCTTGAACCACACAAATAACTATGTCCTAAACCTAGGTTTAAAATCAAACACAAACACTCATACAAATATTTAAGAGATCAAACTCATCTCAGAGCATTGAAGAAATTGCATCAAAAATTAATGAAACTACACTTATTAGGTAGATAGAGTATGATACTCAAACCTTAACAATAGAAGATAGATAACAATTTCATAGACTCTGAACATTTTGATATTGATTAAGTGAAATAGTTTGAATTTTATATTACTAAAGGAAATGTAGATGAAATCATCCTTAGTGTTAATCTCAATGCAGATATTAAATTGAAATAAATCTAATAAGAAAAGGAAAGCAGAGTGCAATAAAAAAAGATGTAACTATCTCGAGTCAGAAAGGCTATCTTACACAATCCATTTCTTGGTATAGTTAAATAGAAGAATGATCCATCCACCATCTTTTCATTATAAGCTCCACAATAACAGATTCAATAAATATGCTCTCCATCACCCCTCCAAACGAAAAGAAACAGAATGAATTAAGTTAAAAATATGAGACAGCATTCCTAATCGTAATTAATGAAAGCATTATCAAGATAAGATAATAAATAACAGTATCACAAAAGTCAATTTATGCCTATAGACAATACTGATGAAGTAGAAATCGAAGTTGAAGAAAGCATATAGAAATTGAGATCAATCAGAATTAATAATTTCCCTTAAGAACCACAAATCAAACCTAAAAGAACTTCCTCATTTAAACAAAGGAAAACTAGAAAATTAAGCCTCTAAGAAAAGAGAATACTAACCATCATCAAATAAGCCGAATTAGGTTTGAAGAATTGCGTGATGAATTATACATGAAAATTTAATATATATTAAGTTATTAAATTATTCAAACTTGACATTCATTTTTTAATCCATACATATTAATCATTGCTAAAAAAGAATCTTTTCTGAATATTGGTCGAATTATGTGAAATGGACCAAATTTGATTTTATTGCCTTGATATTAATCGATACTATCTGAGAGACTCACATCCTTAATTTCTTCTTGTGAAAATCCTCTCCAATATTTTGTTGGACCAAAAACTTAAGTGTATTAATTAAATTCAATAGGATAACACCATTAAAAATACTCAATTAATTCATTAAAAGTAGTATTAGGTGCGATTTCCACTTGTAAATTTTATAGTTTGTTTTTTGTATTAACATTGCTCTATTATTTTTTCATTAATTTTTTTGGTGGAATAGCATCTTTTTTATATTGTTAATTAATCTTTTCTTATTCCTTTAATAAATTAAATTAAAACTTCTTTAACCCTATAACTATAAATTATACATGTTCCAAGCAATTCTTCTTATATTCTTTAAATGATTTAAATTTTTAATAAATCCAATCAGAGTTATTTATATTCGATTCCTTTTATAATTATTTTTAAACTCTAATATCTCTCTCATAAAATTCTAATTCTTTCAAAATTTTTTTTTGTGATTCTTCTAACGTTTTCATTAATGACATTTCTAAAATTTTGAATTTTGAGTTGATCAACTCTTTCAGTAATTATAATTCAGATAATTGAGAATCAGTTTACATTTACACTATTTCTTATTTATTTGAGCTTTTTTTGTTATTTTGTTCCGAACACAAGCAGTTTTAATTATTGGATTTAGCTTTAATTTTTGGTTGAATTAAATTCTCTTTTAAATTAAGCAAATTATATATAGTGATTCCTTCATCGGTTTATAGAAAACCATCTTTATAAATTTCAAAATTTATTTATTCTTATTTAGATCCTTCATTTAAATACTTCTAAAGATTTTCTTTAAGGTCCTTAATTGTATCTAATTACGACAGTCTCACTAATTTGTTTTCTATAACGCCTCCAATATCTAATTCAACAATAAACTCTATTTCTGCTGAAATTATTAAAGTATCCATCTCTTTCACATATTTAAAGTTCTCATCAAGTTTCAAATTTTATTATTTTTACTCAGAATAGCATTAAAAGTTCTTAAACTCAATGTTTTTATATAACTGGAGAAACTCAATTAATTCCTCTAACACTACACCTTCTTAGATTTGTAAAGAAGTTCTGTTTTTTTCTTTAGAAGGATTGAAAGTAATTAACAGTTCCACTTCCCTTGAATCCACCTCCCTTGAATCCAATTTCATTTAATCCATTTTAATAATTTATTAATAGAAATACAATAATTGTATGATAAATAAATGTTATGATTCGACTCTAATAGAAATATATATTAAAATAATTAATTTTCTTATTATATTGAGTATTAAGATGGATTTAATAAAATTAATATAAAGGATTGCTTTATTTATTTGAATAACATTATATTATTTAATGTTTATTTTATAATTCCTATTACTAAATGGAATACTTACGGAACAAATTTAATAGCAAGAAGTTAAGAGATTTTCAATAATTCATGGAAGAATTTCAACTATTTAGGTTCCAATTTAAAATGTATTCAATGTTGAAATACATCATTTAAATAAAACTCTAAACAATACGAAAGAAGGGGAGGAACCATCTGTATTATTTGCTGATTTCTGTTAACCAAAGAATCCATCGATTTACTTAGAGCATATTCAATCAATTAATGTATGTGCAGATTAATGCGAAATAATTATTCAAAATAATAAAGTAAATATAATGTTAAAGAATAGATTTATAGTTTATTGCCTGGTTACTTAAAAGTATTGGAGATGAATGATGAATAGGGATTTACATTTTTTAGTGAAACTCTTTTATAAATCTCATAAAACCTATCTGAAATACTAATTACGACTAACATATAGTAAGACAATAAATTAATAATTCTGGATGGAGTTAATTTATTCATCATAAATATAGACTAAAATGATGAAATAAATAAGCCAGTTACATTGCAATCCAAGATAGAGGCGGTTACATAAATAATGTATTTCGATAATTTGATCTATGTCTTTGGTAATAACACTTTAGAAATATTTATAATTCAAGATAAACAAGTGGAATTAATATAATCAATCAATATAGGAAAATTTGAAAGTTAGAATACAAGTATTGTAGGAGTAAAATTAAAAAGTGCAAACCGTATCATTTGGATTACTGAATCTAGTTTGGGTTATGTTTAATTGGATGCATAATTTCAGCCAGTCCAATTCAACTCTTTTTTGCGTTTGGAAGGCAAAATAATAGATGTGGAAATTTAAGAGGATTTGACATATGTGATCTAGAAATTGAACAATAAACTTAATTAACAATATGTTTTAGAATATGAAAGTGGTATTTTGAAGTAGAATCTAAGTCTTACTACCAAAGTGCGTTAGATATTTTCAACATAGAATGTATATAATATTTTAGATTTAGTACATTATAATATTATAAGAGAACTTGATTCAATTGGCATTTGCTAAGATAGAGACACAGCAATTGTTTAGTAAGAATATTTTAGAGAATACAAATAAGATTTTGAAATATGATTAGGGATAGTTGATGGTGCAATAATAAAATGAGATAGTTCTATACGAAATAAAACAATAGTCAGCATAATTGGTATGTGAACCAAATCAAAACTATTCGACTGGAACATATATGATGGAATTAAGGACTGGGTATTTTGTAAATGAAACAAAAGCATATCATAATTAGTTAGTTGAGATTAATGTTTATTTTGAAATATTTGAGAATGGAAATGTTGGACTGTATGTGGGTTTAACAATTGGATTAGCATTGACTTTTATGACAATGATTATATTTTGTGTATTCTTTTACAAACTTAAAGCAAAGTATCAATTAGTAAGAGAGTAGTATCATAAAAATTCTACTGAATTTACTATTGAATGATTTTGTTATTTATTTATGTATGTATATATTCAAAATTTATTCATTGATTTTTTTATGATAATTTCTGCAATTTACTTGAACAAATTATAGAAATATTTAAACAGAAATAAAGATAATGTTATCATAGAATAATTTTGACTTAAAAAATGTAATTTTATATTGATATTCATTATACCATAGTCATTATATTATCTTATAAGAATCTGAACTTTAGTTTTTCATTCTTTTAAATAATTGACATAGGTATCATATTCAACATACCTTTTGTCTACCAAATCTAAATGCTGAGTTTTGTCAAATATGGCATCCAAATGATGAAGAACAAGATGATCCATGCAATTATCAACACTACAAATTTTACAATCTCAATGCTCTGGGAATAATTAATATAGTCACGTGAATCTGTAATGTAAACTTCATTCAGAGTACTAACGGCAGGTCGAATATACTTGAGTATATCATTTATTATTTAAAATGTATTTCCATTTATTATTGTTTATTTAGTATTGTTACCAGTTATCTTTAATGAATCATTGGAGTAAAGTGCTAGATTGATTATTGAAGTTCTCAATCCTTTTTCTAAGATACCATTTTGAACTTAACGACACCCTGATTCAGTGATAGTGGTATCAATAGGAGACATCAATGTAATATTAGAACACATGTCATTGAAATTGAACCAATCATAATATTATTGATATGTATCAAATCCACTCAATGGAAACTAAAAATAATTATTTTATATATGTAATTACCGATTTATAGGATTCAAATACATCTCTCTCTGCATCATAAATTAAAGTATGATATGATTGTTACATCCAAACATTGTCAATAGTAATTGATTTCTCTTAGATGATGTCTTCTAATCCGTAAACCACTCTATACATCATTATATAATATCTTTAATGAGATAATTTTAGATGTTCAAATAAAAAAGTTACATTATTTAAATAGATGACTTCAAGAACTAATTAGGTTATAAAAAAGCCTGTAAATAAAATAAAGAACAACATGAACTTGAGGAGAGCTGAAGAATCATTCTTTTCATTAGATCTCTCTAATTTTTCTATACGAGTTCTTTCATCCTCAGTTAATTCTATTTCTTAAATGTTATATTTGTGTTTCTTTTTCTTTTTATGTCTCAAATACCTTTTTTATTTATTTTCCTCTTCTTACTTCTTTCTTTTATCTTCTTCCAACTTTTCTAATCTCAATCTTTCCTTCTCTTCATCCTCTATTCTCTATAGTTCTTTTTGCTTTTCTATCTGTTCCTTCTGTTTCTCATCTATGTGCTCTTCATTATTCATCTCAATATAATGTTTATCTTGTTATTACTACTGTTTCTTTATCTCTTCCTGATTTTTATTATTGATTCTATTCTCTAGTTCTTTTTTCTCATTGAAATCTTCTATATAATCTTTTAAGAACTTTTCACATTTATCCGATAACTCCTTGATCTCTATTGGTGGAATCTAATAATAGAGATAAACAAATAAATTACCAATCCAAACATACTCAATACCTTATTATTTGCTTTATCTACTTTTAATAAGATTGGTATTACAATAGCATGAGTGATAATCAGAATAATAATACTAATAATCATCAAGGCTAAGAATGTACCGAACTTACTAGAAATAAGATCTTAAAAAAATGTGTAAAATTAATCTAATCTCTCTACCAATCCTTATCTTATATTTCTTAATCCATTGTAATTTATGTAAAAGAAAGACTGTTGGGCTGGAGTAATGTAATCACTGGTCTTAAAATTCTTTAAATCAGTTCCAATCATAATCACTAAATGACTAAGGGCTTCTCTTATCGAATCTATTAATGTTAATTCGGTGTCTTTATATGAGTTATCAATCAAAAGAGACGTGAAATTGTAATGATATTCAGTAGGCACCTGTACATCAGATTTCTAAAGGTCGTTCTTCACTTTCAGAGTATCAAACTGAAATTATTATACTACTTTCAATCTCCTTGTTAACTATTATAATTGTATTATATTTACATCATCTCTCAAAAATTCAGGTTGGAATCCATTACTATTGTTATATTCACCTGTGCCTATCATGTCCAATATTCTCGAATGCAAAGTTATTGTAGACATTTAATTTGTAATTGAGAATGAGTCTGATAAGACCTAAGAAGAATATTTAAATGAAGTATTTTGTATTCCTTTTAATGCTAAATCTACAATTGAAACTGTCAATAATATTAATGTTAATGATAACATAGTAATTTAGATTGTTCTTATATTTCTAGGCACTTTCTTTTCACTCATCAAAGCTTTGAAATCTTTCAATCTACGCATATCATCATTCAAACTAGATTAAACTGAATTGACTGATGATCTGTCCTCATTCAAATAATCCTCATTAACTTGTTAATCAGCTTTCTTTTTGGTAGCAGACGAAGAATACTTGGTTTATTTTGATTTCAACTTTATCTCACTCTAATAATAATTACCACTCTTTGATGCTTCTTAAAATGCCGTTGCTTCTGTAAACTTTAAAATTGCCACTTCTAAATCAGTGTATATTTATTTCTCAACTGTACAACTAATCTTGTAGACTTTGAATAATGATTCCTTTTTCACAGAAGATTTTAAGTTATCGGATGTCCCATTCTGATTCAGTTAATTATTATTATTATTGATTTCACCTTCATCCATTAAAGATAATCGATCAACTGAATCTTCCATGATGAATTATTTTTATAATTTAGTTGTATCCAATTAAAGTGGAAATGCAGTCTAAACATTTTCCTATGAAATCTTCAATTTCTCTACCAAATGGTTAAAATCAAGAATCAAAATTTCCATATTAAAATCGTTTGAATGAGCGTTGTTGCCATAAGCAAAATTGACAGGTATACCAAATGAATCTTAGCAATTCTAACTCAAACCATATATCAAAAAGGATGTAGGATTAAATAAGATATAATAATGGGAATCATAGTTTTCTAATACTTTAAAGAAATTCACCATTCTTAATCCCTTTTTCAATTATGGTAGAATTTTGAACATCAATAAACAAGGAACTATAGATCCATTCTTATGTTAACAATATACTGTTCTCTCCTTTCCAACTATTTTACTTTCATTTGTTTCCAAATACTTTGACATAAACTTATCATGGTTATCGGCATAACATTTTGGCATTAGACGAGTAATAAATTAATTGATCAATTCATATTTATGATACCCTAATTTTTCAATTTCCTTATTACAACTCTAAATTAGTCCCAAGGATTTAGTTTCAGCTGAACATGTCATTATACAAGTATTACTATTTTCACCATATTTCTCTGTTTGAGTTTCATTTGA